TGAGAATAATTTTGTGTATGGAGTTCAGGGTATCACGAGGGACCAGTAGGAGACAAAATCTCGACAAAAAAAAATTTGAAATTTCATCATTTTAGTAAGAAGGTACCTACCTTATGATTTAGATTTTGGAAAAATTTGAAAGTTCATAACTTTTTTTCTATTATAGATAGAAAGCTGAAACTTTCACTGAATTTTATCCCTTTCAAAGGACTACAATCCCTGAAAATTTCAACTCATTTACACTTATAGTTCCTGAGATAAAATCGTGTTAAGTAATTTGGGGTGATTTATCAATTTTTCAATTTTTCTGAGTGCCTTTTTTCATAGATTTCGGCTTCAAATCTGAGAATAATTTTGTGTATGGAGTTCAGGGTATCACGAGGGACCAGTAGGAGACAAAATCTCGACAAAAAAAAATTTGAAATTTCATCATTTTAGTAAGAAGGTACCTACCTTATGATTTAGATTTTGGAAAAATTTGAAAGGTCATAACTTTTTTTCTATTATAGATAGAAAGCTGAAACTTTCACTGAATTTTATCCCTTTCAAAGGACTACAATCCCTGAAAATTTCAACTCATTTACACTTATAGTTCCTGAGATAAAATCGTGTTAAGTAATTTGGGGTGATTTATCAATTTTTCAATTTTTCTGAGTGCCTTTTTTCATAGATTTCGGCTTCAAATCTGAGAATAATTTTGTGTATGGAGTTCAGGGTATCACGAGGGACCAGTAGGAGACAAAATCTCGACAAAAAAAAATTTGAAATTTCATCATTTTAGTAAGAAGGTACCTACCTTATGATTTAGATTTTGGAAAAATTTGAAAGTTCATAACTTTTTTTCTATTATAGATAGAAAGCTGAAACTTTCACTCAATTTTATCCCAATCAAGGGACTACAATCCCTGAAAATTTCAACTCATTTGCACTTATAGTTCCTGAGATAAAATCGTGTTAAGCAATTTCGGCTTTAAATCTGAGAATAATTTTGTTTATGGAGTTCAGGGTATCACGAGGGACCAGTAGGACACAAAATCTCGACAAAAAAAAAATTGAAATTTCATCATTTTAGTAAGAAGGTACCTACCTTATGATTTAGATTTTGGAAAAATTTGAAAGGTCATAACTTTTTTTCTATTATAGATAGAAAGCTGAAATTTTCAGCGATTCTTATTCCAGTAGAGGACTACAATCCCTGAAAATTTCAACTCATTTGCACTTATAGTTCCTGAGATAAAATCGTGTTAAGTAATTTGGGGTGATTTATCAATTTTTCAATTTTTCTGAGTGACTTTTTTCATAAATTTCGGCTTCAAATCTGAGAATAATTTTGTGTATGGAGTTCAGGGTATCACGAGGGACCAGTAGGAGACAAAATCTCGACAAAAAAAAATTTGAAATTTCATCATTTTAGTAAGAAGGTACCTACCTTATGATTTAGATTTTGGAAAAATTTGAAAGTTCATAACTTTTTTTCTATTATAGATAGAAAGCTGAAACTTTCACTGAATTTTATCCCTTTCAAAGGACTACAATCCCTGAAAATTTCAACTCATTTACACTTATAGTTCCTGAGATAAAATCGTGTTAAGTAATTTGGGGTGATTTATCAATTTTTCAATTTTTCTGAGTGCCTTTTTTCATAAATTTCGGCTTCAAATCTGAGAATAATTTTGTGTATGGAGTTCAGGGTATCACGAGGGACCAGTAGGAGACAAAATCTCGACAAAAAAAAATTTGAAATTTCATCATTTTAGTAAGAAGGTACCTACCTTATGATTTAGATTTTGGAAAAATTTGAAAGTTCATAACTTTTTTTCTATTATAGATAGAAAGCTGAAACTTTCACTGAATTTTATCCCTTTCAAAGGACTACAATCCCTGAAAATTTCAACTCATTTACACTTATAGTTCCTGAGATAAAATCGTGTTAAGTAATTTGGGGTGATTTATCAATTTTTCAATTTTTCTGAGTGCCTTTTTTCATAGATTTCGGCTTCAAATCTGAGAATAATTTTGTGTATGGAGTTCAGGGTATCACGAGGGACCAGTAGGAGACAAAATCTCGACAAAAAAAAATTTGAAATTTCATCATTTTAGTAAGAAGGTACCTACCTTATGATTTAGATTTTGGAAAAATTTGAAAGTTCATAACTTTTTTTCTATTATAGATAGAAAGCTGAAACTTTCACTGAATTTTATCCCTTTCAAAGGACTACAATCCCTGAAAATTTCAACTCATTTACACTTATAGTTCCTGAGATAAAATCGTGTTAAGTAATTTGGGGTGATTTATCAATTTTTCAATTTTTCTGAGTGCCTTTTTTCATAAATTTCGGCTTCAAATCTGAGAATAATTTTGTGTATGGAGTTCAGGGTATCACGAGGGACCAGTAGGAGACAAAATCTCGACAAAAAAAAATTTGAAATTTCATCATTTTAGTAAGAAGGTACCTACCTTATGATTTAGATTTTGGAAAAATTTGAAAGGTCATAACTTTTTTTCTATTATAGATAGAAAGCTGAAACTTTCACTGAATTTTATCCCTTTCAAAGGACTACAATCCCTGAAAATTTCAGCTCATTTGCACTTATAGTTCCTGAGATAAAATCGTGTTAAGCAATTTGGGGTGATTTATCAATTTTTCAATTTTTCTGAGTGCCTTTTTTCATAAATTTCGACTTTAAATCTGAGAATAATTTTGTGTATGGAGTTCAGGGTATCACGAGGGACCAGTAGGACACAAAATCTCGACAAAAAAAAATTTGAAATTTCATCATTTTAGTAAGAAGGTACCTACCTTATGATTTAGATTTTGGAAAAATTTGAAAGTTCATAACTTTTTTTCTATTATAGATAGAAAGCTGAAACTTTCACTGAATTTTATCCCTTTCAAAGGACTACAATCCCTGAAAATTTCAGCTCATTTGCACTTATAGTTCCTGAGATAAAATCGTGTTAAGCAATTTGGGGTGATTTATCAATTTTTCAATTTTTCTGAGTGCCTTTTTTCATAAATTTCGGCTTCAAATCTGAGAATAATTTTGTTTATGGAGTTCAGGGTATCACGAGGGACCAGTAGGACACAAAATCTCGACAAAAAAAAAATTGAAATTTCATCATTTTAGTAAGAAGGTACCTACCTTATGATTTAGATTTTGGAAAAATTTGAAAGGTCATAACTTTTTTTCTATTATAGATAGAAAGCTGAAACTTTCACTGAATTTTATCCCTTTCAAAGGACTACAATCCCTGAAAATTTCAGCTCATTTGCACTTATAGTTCCTGAGATAAAATCGTGTTAAGCAATTTGGGGTGATTTATCAATTTTTCAATTTTTCTGAGTGCCTTTTTTCATAAATTTCGGCTTCAAATCTGAGAATAATTTTGTTTATGGAGTTCAGGGTATCACGAGGGACCAGTAGGACACAAAATCTTGACAAAAAAAATTTGAAAGGTCATAACTTTTTTTCTATTATAGATAGAAAGCTGAAACTTTCACTCAATTTTATCCCAATCAAGGGACTACAATCCCTGAAAATTTCAGCTCATTTACACTTACAGTTCCTGAGATAAAATCGTGTTAAGTAATTTGGGGTGGTTTATCAATTTTTCAATTTTTCATAGATTTCGGCTCCAAATTTCAGAATAATTTAGGGTATGGAGTTAAAGGAGCCTCAACTGATCATGTAAACGTTCAATTTCTCACTGGTCGCACATTATAGAAAAATATTTTCAATCAAAAGCTAAAAAGACCATAAAATCCTTGATTTCCGCAAAAATAATTTTTAATATCACTAATTTGACCCTGCAAAGTCGTATTTTATTGAGTAGTACCTACCTGTTAAGCATATTTATTTTTAATTAATTTTTATAGTGGGTACCGTTTGAGATTTTAAAATTCTATAGACGTGGCCTGACAAAAATAATAGGAAGTAAATTCAACTGTTTGTAGATTATAGTCTGGCTCTCAAGAGCCCGGAATAATTCATATTTTGATCATTACTGGCTTTTGAATCGTTGGAAAATTACTCTAAAAGAATTCGAGAACCGTGAATAGTTCAGATTTTCATTATTACCGGCTCTTGAAAAAGAATCCCTGTAGTTATAGCGATAAGGAAGAAAAATTGTGTCAGTATTATTTATTAATAATCAAAATTATAGAAATTTGGATCAATAAACAACTTTATCAGTTCAATTATTGGGATTTCATATAAAATGGATAAAACTTTGATCAAGTTTATTGGAATGAAAATTCAGGTTTTTTGAAAAAAATAAAAAAGAAATTAACCGGTCCAGTGAGTGGCATTTTAGCAAAAGTATAATGATTCCATATATTGGAGAATAATTTAAAGATTACAATACAATAATTGTCAATTTGAAGAAACATTATCAATTTTTATCTCACAGATTTATATGGAGATGTCGATAATATTTTTGTAATCTTTTTACTGTGACCTGATTGCATGCCAATGAAGTTTGTTATCTGAAAACACTTCTTTTTTATCTTTGTAATGCAATATAAGTACGCACACCCATTTTCTAATTGAAGGCTAAATTGAATAGTAGAACACCTAGAGGAAGGTAATAAGTAATAGAGAAACCCATAAAATTTGATAAAAGTGAAGGGGAAAATAAGTATGTTTAATGAAAGAAATAAAAACAACTACATAAGTAGCGTAATCTAGACCAAAACAATATAAAGTTAATCCTACAATGGATGAATCGTTTTAATAATTTGTCTTTATCTTTGTGACACAAAAAATACACAATGGAGCAAGATAATAAGAATATAAAATTGAATCATATAATAAAAACGAAACAAAGGATTTTAGCAGATAGAAAATCAATGACATGAATGTGCAATAATTATCATACTGAAAGAAAAATATATCATACAAGAAAATCTTACATTGATAAAGCAGACACTGTAAAGTCATTATTGATTGATACAAATCATGTTTGATTCAAAAAAATTAAATCCCATATTGTTTTCCAGAAAACCATCATCGAAAGCATCAAAAAAGACAATGATTCATTCGAAAACGCTGACGCCTACTACAGCTTGGCCATCATCTACATTTTCATGGCCGTATTCAACTGGACATCTCCATCAGTTATCAGCGTTATTGGAGCCAAATTTGCCATGCTTGCAGGAGGAATAACTTATTTGTTAGTAACTATTTGATCAATTATACAAAATTAATTATTCAATTTTAGATTATTTATCATGTCTTTCTCTATACCTCATACATGGTTGCTTTATTTAGCCAGCGCCATTATAGGCATAGGAGCAGCTCTTATATGGACAGGACAAGGCAATTATTTGGCTCTAAGTTCTACGCAAGCAACTATATCTAGAAATTCTGGAGTGTTTTGGGCTATGCTTCAAATGAGGTACCTAAGTTCAGTTAATCTCAAATAATCAATTAATAATAATTGTTCTAGTATGTTTGTTGGCAACACTTTTGTCTACTTTGTATTTCGTGGAAAAGATACTGTGGACAGTACCACAAGACAAATAGTTGTCTGGGTACTATCAGCTATAGCCCTAGCCGGTTTAGTTGTGATGGTTTTCTTTCCGAAACCACCAAAAAAAGAAGAGGATGCTGATACTGAACACATTCCAGCACCTTCAGGGCCTGTTGCAGCACTTAAAGGGGCCGTTCGGTTATTTTTCACCAAAAACATGCTACTTTTGAGTGTTACATCTTTATATACTGGTAAATTGAATATGCTGTGCTAACAACAAAAATAATTATCATATTTATTTTAGGATTGGAATTAGGCTTTTGGAGTGGTGTTTATAGTTCCTGCATTGGTTTCACTGAAAATTTGCCCAATAGAAAACAACTTGTAGGGCTATCAGGCATTTTTATTGGTATTGGAGAAGTGTTAGGTAAAAATATTACAAACCAGCAAAATACAATATCTACTACACAATTTATCTTTATTATAGGTGGTGCCTTCTTTGGTATTTTTGGCTCCCGTACAATTAAATGGGGCAGAGACCCAATTGTAATAGCAGGATTTATCATGCACATAATAAGTTTTTTTGTAATATTTCTAAATCTACCCAACAATTCGCCATTCACAGACACTCCGGATGAAGCATTTATTACAAGCAATGCATATTTGGCCATTATGTGCTCGTTTTTACTTGGTTTAGGCGATGCTTGTTACAACACGCAGATTTATTCGATTCTAGGGGGCGTTTACGCTGACGACAGTGCTGCTGCTTTTGCCATATTCAAATTTACGCAGTCGGTTGCAGCTGCGATAAGTTTCGTTTACGCATCGTCTTTGGTACTTTACGGGCAACTAGGGATTTTGGTGGGTTTTGCCATTTTGGGTACCGGCAGTTTTGTATGGGTCGAATGGCGTGCGAAAAAAGTAGTTGTGGCAGCAGACTCTAGCTAAACATGTTTATGAATGAGAATGTTGATAATTATATTGCAATATATGGGCTGTGCTCATTTAATAAAAGTACCTAAAGTTACCGGAACGGTAGTGATAATAATATGAAACTTGTTTTTATGTCTGGACAAATATACTTTTTTATTTTTTATTCCAAGGTTTTCCTGTAAGAAGCCATAACTTGTTATAAATGTATATTAAATTTTTAATAAGATTGTTAAGACTGAGAATAAACTTTTTATACATACAACAATTATTGTATTTTATTTAATTTCCAAAAATAAAAATGCAGATGAGGACAAAATTTTGTATTGCCAACGTTTATAGGAGGTATATCTCCTCCAATTGGATTGCGAAATGAATTTTCAATTGCTATTGCTTGATATTGTGCGAAATTAAAACTGGAAAATCCACAGGTTGCTGATAGAATGGTAGTCGATGAAAGATTTTTAAATGAAATTGAAAGATATCGAAACTGTAAAGGATATTTTTTCATCTTAACTGGATTTACTTCCAAACTCCACTCAGTTGGCCAGCTCTTCCAGGAAGTTCAAGTCCAATGCATAGGAGTGCAACGAGACCATTTTAATATAAACCGGTCGCGGCAAACGAAAAACCGCGGGTCTATTTTCTCGAACCACACGTGTTTTTCGCGACTGATTTACTTGCTGGCAGTGTAAGGACTTTTCTGGTACCTATCCTTTTTCAGTGTTTAACGCGCGCATTTTTAAAAGCCAAATTTAGCAAAGCCGTATCAATTCTTAGGCATATAGCCACAGTTTATATAGCACGCGCAATTCAATTAGAATAAAAGAAAAGAAAAAAAAAAAGAATCAATTTGCCCCCCCCCCCCCCAAGACAAAAGTCAATTTTTAATTAATAACATCAAACCACTATCATATGTGTATATGGTGTACATATCAGGTTTTAAATAAATAAACTCATCTCTAAAATGTCGTATGTCATACGAATAGTCACCTAACGTGCTTCTACAATTCTTGTTTTATTTTCGAGACCACAGCCGTAGAGAGCGGGGGTGAGGCCCCTCATTCGCCGTTTAAGAGGGCGACGAATCCTTGTTCTTTTAACGACTTCTTGGCAATAATTGGGCGTGGCAACCCGGCTTTCCTCCGGCGGCGCCTGCCATTTGCTGCCCCCCCTCCAAATGTTTTTTCTGGGTACGCCACTGTAACGGATATAAAGGTCTGGAGTTCAGAATAGACTCTACCTGACAAATTATCGAATATATTACCACAAGAGGTTCCAGTATTACCTGATAATACTTTTACCTGTCACGAAACGCGTTACGCAGCAACACCACGACTCCGAAGGAGCAGTGGTGTTGCTGGTAACGCGTTGAGTGTCAGGTAAAAGTATTAGGTAATCCTGAAACATCGAGTGGTATTCAAAAGGTTATACAACGAACTAAACTTCAATACTTTATTAATTTTTATTATTATTAATAACAATATTGCCACCATGCGCGATAATCCCAAAAGGCTTATCACTTCTTAAGCCTCTCGTGTCATATAGGAATAATGTACAGTGAGTTGTATAACCGTATATAATTCCTCATATAATAGAACCTGCTCATCAATTATTTTGACGAGAAAGGATTTAGCAGCCTTGATTCCCGCCTCGAATAGCCCAATAGCCCACCAAAATGGGGGGAGGAAGGAGGATTGAAAGACCATTTTACCTTTTCTGCATGGCAAAAGATCTCGAACATTATTTTTTTAGCGGATCTGGCAAGGTGTGCGCATTCTAGTTTTTGGTTATAGTTCATTGGTCTTAATAAAGCGTACCTTAACTCTCACGCGCATCTTTTCTGCGCACGTCGCCATTAGGGGATATCATCCTGTCATTAAACGGCAGGGGCGCCGATTTTTTTGTTTATTTCTGACGGAGGTCATAGGCGTGCGGTAGGGATGCCACCTTGGAAAGTGAATTGAACCCGAGACAAAAAAAACCCCCATAGAAAATAAAAATCCTTCAAATCTGATAACAAGATGCATTAAATACACTCTATCTATACACAAGTCTCCCCTGGCATCACCGGATGATGCTTAAGGGTTGGGAGTTGACACGGTTGGAGAGGAAGATCCAAGGATTATTACACACGTCAGAGGATCGGACAACCATAGGATAGCCTATCCGCATATGGCCTCTGTAGATCAAATCTCAAGGCACCCACCACGCCAAAGCACCAGTGATGACGCAGACAGCGTGTCATTCCTCGCCTTGATGTAGGGTGTTTGCACCACAGGCTGACTTTTGCTTTATGCATACTTGGTTTTAGTATAGATCGTCAAATGGTACAGTAGAAAAAATAAAATTTCTTTGGCCATCGGCGTTTTCTTTATGACGCACGGGCGGGGTAAGAGAAATTTATTAAAACAGTTTCATATAAAATAAAACATAAGGCACGACATAACTCAAATAGGAATCAAATTTATAAAAAATATCTACTGCATTGTCTTTCCAGACAAAACGGATTCCTGTGCGGCAGGCGCTTCAAAGAAATATGCCGCCAGAGACGCCGCTAAAAAATCTAACCAATAAGATGCATTGTTTGCACGTGGATTCGCATCCAATGTAATATATATAATATACGGGCAGGCTCAATATATTTTGCCTAATAATAGAATAATAATTTTATGGATACCCCAATTTTTGCATTGTTTCATTAGACCCCGGGCGACAATAGCCTATGCTACGCCACTGAGTAGTAATAAATTAACTTATTTAAAGCCAATACGACTCTGTGACATGGAAGGAAAAATCTAATTGTTTAATCAGGCTCTGTCTCATATCCCAAAATGGCCGCTAGTGACATTCCGACAGCAGGCACTGGTACCATCTGTTAAAATGCCAAAACGCGTTTAGTTTTGGAAGGTGGTAAATTCGAAATGTCCGGAGGTGCCCCATGTCCGAACCTGCCCCACTCTACCCTACTTCGAGTAATAGGAATGTTAACTATTTTTCAATTGTAATAAAAAGTGGTGGTTCTAGGTTCACAAAACACGTATTAAACGTTAAAACAACTAGAAACCCTTAAATTTTTCTAATAAATCGAAAACAAAAAACAAAATTAGCGAGGCTAGCAAAACGACCCCTTGCGGCGAGAGTAGCGCTTGTGACGTCACGTTGCGGAATTATTTACGATATAATAATTGCCTACAATGTATTTGTCTCTCTTCCGCTCATTGCAAAAAGTATTTGGACAATTAATAGAGTTCACTATTCAGGATGCTTCCTAACATTCAATCACCAATTGGTTCATCAGTATCTTTATCTAAATGCATATGAAAAAAAAAAGACACTAATAGTAATAATAATATTAATATTATTTATTGCCAACAAAAATCGCAAAAGCAACGTCACAAAAGGCTGATCCAAGTAGAAAGTAGCGCCACTGTACTTGCGCGCGCTAACTCGTTACACATTGTGACGTCAGAGAGCCTTTCTTGCTTTTAAACGAATATTGATATTTCGTCTCCGTTTTTGATGATTGTTAAACGGGATTTTTTTATTTTGTGAACATCCCTATTGTCAAAGATTATATTGTCATCTGATTATTTAATTTTGTATTTTTTACAATAAATGCCTACTCGTAAAACTATTAAATGAATGGATTTGAGGTCAGTGTATATAATTATATATTTTTTTTACTACTAACCTGAGAAATAGACATTATTCAATCTATTTTTCTAAGAAAAAATTGAATTTCTCTCCCTAGGTTAATAATGAAAATAATGAAAAAATACCTAGGTCAATAATGAAAATGACGTCATGACGCAAGGATATTGTCATAACGTAACAGCAGGTTTCTATTGGTTTAGGGCCCAATTACAGTATATTTGCATCTGCAAATTTGCAGTTCTGCAAATATGGCCGACTTGCATATGTGTTTTATTTGCAGCAACGAGCAAATCACAGAAAAAATCTGCAATTCCGTCATATTTATCGAAAAAAATGTTTGGGCGCTACTGATTTACTAGTTTTAAATGTCAAAGTTGTCAAAGTGATTGCAAGGACTTACGGGACCGTTTCACCACGTGCAAATTTGCAGGCGACTTGCAAATGCATTCTGCTTCTTCTGTAATACCTCTATGTGTAATACCAATACGAAAAGTCAGACTTGCAGGTTTTGCATTTGTATTTTGGTAAAAAAAACAGGTTCCTGTATGTACATTATAGGAAATTACCATAAGTTGTTGATAGAGGGCAGCACTTCCGACAAGAAAAAATAATTTTAGCACAGATTTCAAACCTATTTTTAATTTTCTACTAGCAGTAGTAAAAAAAATTCTATATATTCCTCGGTAGAGAAAGTCATTACATATACCCTACGCATTATAAACCTCGCCCTGGGATCTGGTTCTGGGATTGCACAGCACTGCTTGCGTACAAAAAATAATAGGGGACTGTTTCAATCATTGGTTTTAATATTAGTTCTGAACCGATTCGGAACCAAAAAAACCAAAACACACCGCAAATCATAAAATTCCAAAACAGTTCTTCCTTCAGAGTAAGAACTGCCAGAACCGTTCTAGAACAATCCCAGAATTGTTCTTAAATAAATAGATAAACTAAAACGTCGATTTACGATTCTTAAAAAACGAAAACTTTCCAAACTAGTTCTGAGTGAAACCAGGAACAAAGCTACTATTGCAGTTTTTTTTTTTTGTTTTTTTATTTTATGTATCTAAAAACCAAAAAAATATTGAATAATAATAAATGCATGTGTTATAAAAAATCCATTACCGACGCCACTGATCGTTCGAGTGTCTTCGGAATTTTGTCAAGGCGAGTTCGGTTAATTCTCCGCGAGTTAAAAGATGACACTGTTGACAAAAGCTCACGTGATCTTCCATTTGAAGTAATAAAACTGGTCACGTGGGGCCGGTCATTTTTTTGCTCGCAGAGGATTAACCGAACTTGCCTTCGGATAACTTTTGTCAGGAAACTTCACAACTCTTTACAGTGGTCCAAGTCCAAGGTTGTTCGAGAGAGGTAGGTTGCTCGATAACTTTATGACGTCATCTAGGGTGCTTCAACATAAAGCAAATCTCCATAAGGCACCCCAGGTGTGTCATCAAGTTACCCATTATTTTTTATTAACTTCAGGAACCTTGGTCCAAGTCCAACTTATAGACGACAGACGTGACATCTGTGTGAAAAAAAGCCTGATGATTACACGCGCCATCTATTATTTATTTTTTAAAAAAGGAGAATTTAAACTTGTTATTGGCGAAAAGTAATTAAAAAGTAATAATTAATTAAGGCATAGTATGGTTATTTGAACTGGCAACATCGCGTTGTTTACCGTTACACGTGATCCACATATAGAAAAAAAACCAACAAAAGGGGATTGCACCAGCAAAAAAAAAAACAACCAAAGCAAAAGAAAAAAAAACCATTCATTTTCAATGTCAGCCTGTCTTTTAGCTCGGTTTCTCTCCCCTTCACGTCGGTGGCGACAAACTGGTTCTTTGCTGCCGAAGAAAAATCCGTGCATTAACGAAAATCGCACAAAAGTCCCGTTAATAAAAGCGGCCGACCGTTGTTTCTCTTGGAACGGTTCGGGCCCATTTCCATTCCGCCTGCGCTCAACGTGCATTGTGTCAGTGGGCTATCGGTATCGGCACACTCCTCTTTATTTGGTTCACGGCGACGAAAGAAATTTCTCTCGTTCTAGCGTGAGTGTGACCAGCAAAAAAATGCCCGAAACTGTGAAACCGTTCCAGCGGCTGCCGAAAACAGTGAAACCGGAACATTACAAGCTCAATTTGGTGCCGGATTTTAAAAGTTTTACCTTCAAAGGGGATGTGGCTGTGAAAATTGAGGTAGGTTTTTATTTCATTCCATATTGCGCCCGTATTTTGATTATTAGAAGCCGAAGGGGCGAATAGGAAAAGTATATCGATTGCACTACTTACCAAAACAGTATGTTGAAGTAAAGTCTATTTTTGGCCCAGAAAAAAAAAATTTGGTTACTGAGACGGTTATTTTTTTGACTTATCATCCTTGCTTTTCTGAAATTTTTACCAAAATGTGATACAAAGCTTTTTTTATCCTGCTCAGATTACACACTTTTTTCATATAGTTTTTAGTGTTTTTTTGTTGTTTTGAACTGTTTAAATAAAACACCTAAGAAAAAATCGCCCTTAGAACACCTCGCACTACATTTTATACCCATTTAGTTCACTGGTAATCCTTTTTGCAAGATCATAATATTTACCTCTTCTTTTTTTCTCCTTAAGGGCCGGTTTATTCTTCTTCTGGTAATCTGTCAGGCATGCAATCTGACGGATAAAAACGCAATCTGTAATCGCATTGGTCGGCCAGTGTTATCCGCTAAAATTAATTATAGAACAGTGAATTTATTTTGCAGATACTTATAGTTACCAGTAAGTTTTTCTGAAGATGAATAAACCAGACCTAAATAGTTTCCAACCTAGTAGAGGCTACTTTCGCACGTGTCGGAAATATGGCAAATTATGATATTTTTTGACGCAGTACCTTTAGGCACTAAGAATGAACTATATTCTGCAACATTTCAGTAAAATTATAAATTAAAAGCAGGCATCGATTTTGACAGTTTCTAGAACCGTCTCAGAACAGTTTATTGACTTTAATCCGAACGCCAAAGTTCTGAAACCAGAACCGTTCTAAATTAGTTCGCACACTCCTGACAGTTCTGAAACAGTTATTGCGAGAACCAATAATGCGAGAACCCGAACGAAACTATTAATAAATAAGAATAACAATTCTATTTTTTATTTTTTTATAACGTAGTAAAAGGACGGAAATAGTTTCTAGCTAATGGTTCTTAAGGCGATTTCGGCAAGCTTTGGTATAGTCCCCGCCATAGATAACCGAGATTCCTACAAAAAATGATTTCTTTGTCGGCGATGCCCGGATAAACAAAAACAAAAAATTGATGCTCTTGGACTAAATTTATTCTCAACCCTTATCTGTAGAGTTTTTGCAGTGGTTTTTGTTTATCCGGGCATCGCCGACAAAGAAATCATTTTTTGTGTAGGAATCTCGATTATCTGTGGCGGGGACTATACATGGTTTGGTACCCTGTTTGGTCTGCCAATAATTGTACCGTGGTCAGCAGCATGGTTCTTCTCGTTTGGTATAGTGCTATCCAATGATGATACACACGGCTTTGTACACACCTACAAGGATTGCTTATTTGATAATCGCCGCCATATTGGTGTGTTACCATTTCCGACGTCATAACTAGGTCGTCAGCTGTTTAAATAACCTACCTCAAAGCGAAAAATAACATGCTGCCTACGTCACAACTGGTAAGTTGGCGTGGTGAGGGGTTAGGGGGGAAGTACATCTATTTTCGTTTTGTCCTGCTCTGGAAACGTAAATAAATGGAAGTTTACTTACTTTTATTTACTTACTTTTTAAGCAAATGTGTTTGTGTTTCGCCTTCATCTTCCTGTTTCTTGTATATTCTGACTGCTAAACAATTCCTAACAATCATTTGAAAAATGGCTTTGAACAACAGATATGGAATAACTTTTTTGCTGAATGGAATAAGCTTTACATTTACAGAAAACGCCGAGTTTAGCCAATAGGTTACAAAGATAAATATTTCTTTCCAGTTTTTCTTCCAGACAAAAAAGTTAGGTTAAGGCTCGTCCCTTCCCCCTTTCTCATGACATAAGCTCACTACCTACCAAAAGAATTTGCAGGGATCAGAGCTGGGCAGTATTTGCAATTCTAAATACTTTTTAGTATTTAAATACTTTAAAGTATTTATTGTTTGGCAAGGAATGGTAAGTAAGCAAGTAAGTTAATTACTTATTAGAATGGGTAAAATTAGCCATGTTCGAAATTCGGAAATTTTTGATGCATTTGCCACTGCCAGTTTTCCACTTTTGCCAGAGTATTTCCGCTATCAGAATTTATAGAACATTTCGTTACTAGTGCGAATAGCAAGTAGTCTATTCGCACGAGTGACGACCGATATTTTTCATATCGAAGTCTTGATTTAATTTGATTTGGACAGTGCAAAAAAGGGCCTCCAGTAGTCAAATCAATCGTACTTTATCGGTATAATAACACTGTTGTGACAGAGTTAATCTTGGTTCAATGTTTCTAGGTTGATTAGTAGCAATTTATTGTTTTCGCTAGACCTTGGCAATTACCTTGTGTTTAATGGTGGGAATGAATCTATGCCCTTCAACACTTCGTTATGAAAAATATCGTTCGTCACTCGTGCGAATGGACGCCTTTCTTTTTTAAACTCGCCTCCGCCGATGGCTCCTTCTGCTACACTGAGAAAAGTCCCAGGAGAAAATTCTTTGCTGGTTTTTTTTTAGCTGTTACAGTGGAAAATGTTTTAGAGGTAGCAATGTTATTTTGCTTCTACAGAAAAGACCACTTTGCTGAAACTACTTTATTGAAACTGCAAAGATATTTCTTATTCCAAAACCCAACTTTGCTGTTATAGCAAAATTAAAATTTTATGAAAATATTTCTGCTTCTCCGAAATAGAACTTTTCTAAGATAGATAGATACTTTACTGTTGCAGCAAAAAAAAATTCCTGTAATTTTTGTTATTGTTACAGTAATGTTTTTTGCTACCCTAGCCAAATAACTTAACTAAAAATACTGTTCGGACATTTCCGTGATTTCTTCGGGTCCAAAAATAACCGATAAAATATGTTTCGTGTTCATTTTCTTCCATTTTAGTTTAGTAGCTAACGCCGTACGGTATGGATCGTGGATGCTGTCGAGTCAAGTCGAGTGTCGGTCGCTGGGAATCTTTTTGAAAATGGTGCCAGCGCATCCATCAAAACTAGCAGAAACAACTCTAGCGCCAAACTTTTCATTAATTGACATTATTTCAGATCAGGTAATGAAAGTTTAGGGGTTTAAATAGAGTTTGTTTATCTCCCGGTTTTGTTATGATGGACGCGCTACTACATATTTCCAAAGATTTCCAGCAAAATATTTTTGCTATTGGTGAGACAAATAACTTCCCATGAATAATAAAACACTTGGCTGATTCTGGCAAGAAATTTTTTGTTCTGAGACAAACGCTTTCCTATTTCAGGAAGCATTTCTAATAACAACAAATATCTTTTCTGTCTTAGCAATCTACTTTTCAATAGCAAAAAAGGATGTTTTTGAGGGTATATAACCTCTTTTCTAGGACAGCATAGTTACTTTCCTACGACAGCAAAGTAGCTTTTCTATGCCAGCAAAGTGACCTTGTAGAAACTGTGAGTAAATTCTTTATAAAGTCACTTTGCTACCGCAAATAAACGGTGCCAGTAAAGTTATCTTTTCGGCGGTAGTAAAGATCTTGGCTGTCCCCTATGTAGCCAAAATTTTTGGCTACGGCAGCAGAAAAATTAGCTATGACAATGAAAAAAATTTCTCAGTGTACGAACTACGACTCGTTCCAAAATCATTGCCCTCGTTTGAAAAAGGCCGTCTGCCCGTCTATTCGCACTAGTGACGAAATGTACTATTTGAAGTTTTTGAATAAGGTATTTGCCTAATAAAAGTATTTAAATACCTTTTAAAGTATTTAAATACTTTTTAAAGTACTTAAATACTTAAAAAGTACTTTTTGTATTTAGTATTAATTTCTTTTCAAGTCAAATAGTATTTAGTATTTAAATACTTTCAGTCTTTATTAGGTATTTAGTATTTAATTACTTTTTGAAAGTATTTTGCCCAGCTCTGGCAGGGATGCTATTTCTAGTACAATTGTACTAGATCTAGCACAATCACGTTTCACATAGTACGCTAGTACAGGGCCGAGTTCAGAAATAACGCACAGGGTGCGAGTGCGATTTTATGGGTGTGCCTGAATTGACAATTGGCCATTGGACCCATAGCACCGTCTAGCATTTTTGAACAGCTAGGGCGTCGCACCGATGTCACGCTCACACTAGGTGTGTCATTCCTGAACTCACCCCAGTCGTGAGCACAAAAAGTGGGACACCCGTTTTTTCCTATTGTAAAACGGGCTCACCAGCTATACCTACGGCAATGACAGGGATTGTCATATTTGACAAAAAATCGATTGTAGAGGAAAGAATGATTTACGCAAAATAGCGAAAAATGACAAGACTTGTCAGTTGGGTGTCCCACTTTTTGTGCTCATGACTGTACCTCTCTCATAAATCTAGTACAATTTGGATTACGAGTCGAGTGTCGCTCTTCGCTCTATACCGTACCCGAGTTCTGCGCTCCACTCTCTACTTGTGGGTTCGGTTTTACGTTCTAGGGCTGGGATCACGACAAGTAGAATTCTACTAGAATACTACTTTCATGACGTCAGGTTTCCTAGCGACCATCATCATCGCATGTACTGTACGCAAAAAATAGGTCGCAAGTGACGTCATTAAAGTAGAATTCTACTGGTCGTAATCCCAGCCCAGGTCCCACTACGGTGCGGCCAAAGCCGAACAAGAAATTGGCGTTTCGAATATGAGGCAATTTTTGGCGAGGATACTTCAAGCATAATCTGATTATAGCCTTCTACTCATAACTGCGAAATTCGCTTTTTTTTTGACATTGCTTCGACAATTTGACGTTTAATACACGCATGAAACGTCAAATTGTCAAAAAAGTGCGAATTTCGCAGTTTAAGCTGGGTTATGTAATGTGTCAATTGTGTCATACTTCCCTAACTCCCTCTCCACATTGAACTAAATAAACACACTGGAACGGTGTGGCTGCGTAATGTTTCTAACGCAAGGGTTTGTGCCAGGAAGGACAACAAACAAGAGGGATTTGCGTCTCTCTCTGCACTATGGCGGCTATTGAGAACAGCTGTTTGAAGTGTTTGGATCATTGAGGTTAGGAAGATGAAAAAGCTCTTCTTCCTCTTACGTTGCCTCAATGCCTCTCCATCAAATTCTGGGCCTGCGAGTGTCGTCACTATCAGCTAAAAATAGCGATGACGTCACCCGCAGACCTCGATCGAATACTTGCAATTCAGGCTATATTAGGGAGTCGATTTCAAATGAAGAATAGGTGATTTTCGATCTGTTCTCACAGAACAAATTAAGTGTTCTTGATCCTCGAGTGTCTCAGAATTTGATGGTGGGGGAGTTTTTTATTCTGACTTGACGTGGGTCTCATGTATCGGTGGTTATTCGGTTATTTTAAGGGTTATTCAGCGGATCATGGTAATCGGTAGTCGATTTATAACTAAATATGTAGAAACTTATTTATTTTTATCATTCAGGTGATTCAGGGCTGGTTTCCCAATAGCGAATCACCTCTAGGTTAAGGATAACTCTAGGTAAACGTTGCAATTGGACACGTTTTTTACCCTGGAGTTAAAACCAACCCGCAGCTGACTGAGGTGACTCGCTATTAAGGAACCGACCCTAAAACAAGTAATATTTACCCGCATTGAGCACAGTCTATATTTGTATTCAAATTTCAATATTTGATGCGCTTTCAGCTAGTACACAGTGTCGCTAATCTAGTACAATTATTCCCTACTTTCTGGTACAATTTTTTTAGTGCTGATACCATCCCTGCGAAAGAAAATGGTGTCTTACGTCATTACTATGACGTTGCAGGTACCAATTGGTTAACCAAATGGTATACCAACCAAAGCTTGCCGAAATCGCCTCTACTAATGGGAAGTTTGGCATTGTAGTATTTTCCGGAAAGTGACGTCACTTTCCGAGCCCGCGTTTTCGCTGCAGTTTGAAAATTCGATTTTCAAATCGTGATTGCTTGATAGCTAATTTTAGAAAAATTTCAAGATTTTTTGTGGATTAAAATGGGAAAACTATCATAAATCCCAATGAGCGGTTTGCCAAATTTGTTTTTGAAATTACAATTTTTTTTTGTTGAGATTTCGTGTCTTAATCTCAGACTAGTCTTAATCGTCCCTTGGGATCTCCCAAACTCTGTACACTATATTATTCTGAGATTCTTATCCCAATAGAGGACTACAATTCCTGAAAATTTCAGCTCATTTACAGTTATAGTTTCAGAAATAAAGTCGCGTTAAGTAACTTGGGGTGATTTATCACTTTTTCAATTTTTCTGAGTGCCTTTTTTCATAGATTCCGGCTGCAAATCTTAAAATAATTTAGTGTATGGAGTTTTGGGGATCCTAAAGGACCGTTAATACACAAAATCTCAACAAACAAAATTTTGAAATTTCATCGTTTTAATAAGAAGATAGCTACCTTATGATTTAGATTTTGGAAAACTTTGAAAGGTCATAACTTTTTTTCTATTATAGATAGAAAGCTGAAATTTTCACTGAATCTTATCTCAATAAAGGGACTACAATCTCTGAATATTTCAGCTTATTTGCACCTATAGTTCCTGAGATAAAATCATGTTAAGCAATTTGGGCTGATTTATCAATTTTTCAATTTTTCTGAGTGCCATTTTTCATAGATTTTGGCTTCAAATCTGAGAAAAATTTAGTGTATGCAGTTTGAAATGTCCCAAAGGACCATTGGGACATAAAATCTCAATAATTCATATCTCCCACAACTTACAGTCGTGGATAAAATGTGACACATTATATCTGCGGTGAAAAGCATGATGTTTATGTCAACTTATTTAATGTATAAACTGAAATCCACATCATTTTAAATATAAAAATCTATATGTCCTATAAATACTCTCCAGGCATAAATTATATGTTAAAAATTCAACTATGTACGCGCTTATTTTTTACTTTCACCTTTATCAAATTATTTATATTTATTGTATAATATTTATCTACCTTATCAATTAATGCGGTTGGAAACTGATAATATACCTAATACAGGCTAAAAATATTACTTATTACGTGACATTTATGAATTTATATTGAAATTTTTTTAACATTTTTGATTAATTTCTTAACTCTTTTGTCCAAAAATTAATCAAATTGTAATCAATCAAATCATTATCCCAATATACACATAAAAACCCCCAATACAAAATTCTCCAACAGTAAACTGCATAAAAGCATGCGACACCCTGTAAAAGTAACAGTAATCAATGCATTTACCATCACTAACAGTAAAATGAGTATTAATATATCACCCATGAAGCTTGTCAATGTTGAAGGTAAAGCTTAGGTAGAAAAAAACCAGCTGGTTATATAAGGGTCCCGGTACCGTTACAATTTGAAATTCCTTTTAAATAGTACCGTTAGATTCTGAGAAAAGCAATGATTAATTATTATTTTCAGGTGGTCAAATCCACAGACGAAATCGTTCTCAACTCCCTAGAACTTGTCATAGACAATGCACAAGTTAAAGGCGACAAAGTTTTCATACCTAAAGACATCCAAGTGTCTCATTCTGATGAGACTGTTACATTTAAATTCGATACCCACATTGCCCCAGGGTCGTACAGCTTAGATATTGTTTTCAATGGTAAGGAAACTTGCATTTGGGAATAATTAAACTATTTAGTTGTTTTATTTTCAGGCGAAATCAATGAAAAAATGAAGGGCTTGTATCGCAGCAAGTATGTAAATGAAAAAGGTGAAAATTCTTACACTGTAGTGACTCAATTTGAGCCTACTGACGCGAGAAGGTGTTTTCCTTGCTGGGATGAGCCTGCCTTAAAAGCAACATTCGACATCAGCCTAGAAGTACCTAAAAACCTTGTAGCCTTATCCAATATGCCAGTGAAACAAGAAGAAGAAAAGGGCAGTCTTGTTAAATACAATTTCGAAACGACTCCAATTATGTCTACATACCTTGTAGCAGCGGTAATAGGCGAGTACGACTACGTCGAGGACGTATCCTTAGATGGGGTGAAGGTGCGCGTTTATACGCCTATAGGGAAAAAGGAGCAGGGACTATTTGCGTTGGAAGTCGCTAGAGAAGTACTACCTTATTATAAGGAATACTTCAATATAGCTTATCCTTTGCCTAAAATCGATCTTATTGCTATTGCTGATTTTAGCGCAGGCGCTATGGAAAATTGGGGACTGGTTACTTATCGGTGAGTACTTCTACTTATTGAAAACAACGTGATTTTTCATTGCATGCAGATGTTGCAATTTTTTTCCTGCAATGCGTGTTATACAAGCGCCTTTCTATTGATGGACTGGGAAAACCTGTTATTTATGAAAATGGTTGTTCTACCAAGCATAAATACATACTTGATTAAATACATAAAAAGCGACCTTTTTTTATTATTATAGTAGTTATGGAGAAAATGTTTGAATTTTCAGAACATTGAAAGTTGAATATGCTTTGACATAACTTAAAATTTATCTTAGAATTCTGCTGACAAAAACCTGGGCTCAAGGAAGTTAGAAATTCAAAAACAAACTCAAGGAATCTAGGAGAAAATCATTGATTATTTTACTTTTAGTACAATTCCCCCTTGAATTTCCCATTACATTAAACAATCTTGAAATTTCTTAACAATTTGGCCATGTATGTATGTATGTAAAGTCCGTCAATTTTAATCTGATACTCCAAAAAAATGTGAGCTGGTGGTTCCCTACATAAGAACGCCAATGATCACCTGACGTCACACCTGTTTTTGCCATATACTTCACCCTCTCGCTCCTCATACGGAAAGTGTCAGATTAAAATCGACGGACAATATGTATGTTATCTCAAAAACTCTTGAAGATACTTTTTAAACAAACACTAATTTATTTCAAAATTTTGCGATACTTTGTACGACCATGGTGATGAGACGCGTCTCGAGATCATTGTAATCGTGAAATCCATATAACATATACATCCATCTTAGGATTGATGGGTTACAACCCCATGTTTTTCCCGCAATGTTTTTGCAGACTATGAGTGTTAAGGTTGCTCCAATTTGCTCATCAATTTCTAAAAAACCTTACCTATAATTTTCCTTCCAGTGAATCTGCACTCTTAGTAGATCCCCAAAACACTTCAGCTGTCAGCAAACAATGGATTGCATTGGTCGTAGGCCACGAACTGGCCCATCAATGGTTTGGCAATTTGGTTACCATGGAATGGTGGACTCATTTATGGCTAAACGAAGGTACCCATATTAAACAAATTATTCAATAACTAAACTTTTCTCTCATTTAGGCTATGCTTCTTTTGTGGAGTTCCTTTGCGTCAACTACCTCTTCCCCCAATACGACATTTGGACTCAATTCGTCAACGACTCGTACATAAAAGCCTTAGAATTGGACAGTTTGAACAACTCCCATCCCATTGAAGTCCCTGTAGGTCACCCATCTGAGGTAGATGAAATATTCGATGATATCAGTTACAATAAAGGAGCTAGTGTAATTAGAATGTTGCATCACTATATTGGAGATGAAGATTTCAGAAAAGGAATGCACAATTATTTGACAAAACATCAATACAAAAACACTTTCACGGAAGATCTTTGGGAGGCACTTGAAGATGCTAGTAAGAAACCTGTAGGTGAAGTTATGTCAACTTGGACCAAACAAATGGGATTCCCAGAAGTTGCTGTAACTAGTAAAGCAGCTGAAGACGGAAAAGGCGTCACTCTTACTCTCACGCAAACGAAATTCACTGCCGATGGCTCACCACCATTGGGCGATTACTTGTGGATGATTCCAATTTCTATAGCTACCTCAAAGAATCCTGGCAAAGAAGTTATTTCGACAGTTTTAAAGGAGAAAATTACTGAAATTTTTGTAGCTGATGTAACAGAGACTGATTGGATTAAAGTGAATCCTGGAACGATTGGGTTTTATAGGACGAAATATACACCAGAGATGCTTGAAAAATTTGTACCTGCTATTAGGGATAAAAGTTTACCACCTTTAGATAGGTAACAATGTATTTCCGATTTATTTTTGGTTATAATTAATATTGTTCTATTCAGGCTAGGTTTGATTGATGATCTCTTTGCAATGGTCAAAGCTGGTCATACAAGTACAGTGGAAGTACTCAAATTTCTTAGGGCGTTTGAAGACGAAACTGACTATAACGTTTGGTCATCAGTCAGCAACATTTTGAGCAGGCTTTCGCAACTTCTTGGCAATACTCCTTATAGAGAAGGATACGAAAAGGTACCTACAACCAGAGTTGTCAATATTTGAAGTAAATTACTTGAAATTCTACTTCAATGTACAGTTGCGATCAAAAAAAAGTAGTACAAGAAAAATCTCCAAAATCTCTTGGTCTATTAATTCATAACCAAAAATGATATATTTTTGGCATTTTTGACAAGTTTTTAACCTAAAAAGCTTCAGATGACATTATTTTGACATTGTTCCACCTGTTTTTAACCAAGAATATGTCATTGCCTGTCAACACTTTGTATCTTACACCGGGAGCTCAAATTGGGGTGAATAATTTTTGTACTACTTTTTTTTTGATTGCAACTGTACCTACTTTACTTGAATTACCTTTTTTGTTATGTACTTGTACTTGTACTTCCAATATCTATTTTAAAATACCTACTTGGATTTTCACTTGCTTATGTCAAGTATTTTGCTTGAAGTATTTTAACCCGCACTCTATCGATTGGTAAAGTCAAAATTGAGCAAAACTGCAAAATAAAAAAATCGAGTTTTTAATAAGGATGTACCTCCTATGAATTCTGATTTCAAAATATTCAAATCTCAATTGCTTTGTAATCGTTAAACAAATTGCATTGAAATTTTCAGCATTTGTAGCTCTTTTTAAGCTCTAAAATGACCTGTAATTTACAATATTCCTAGGTTTATAGTTTTTGAGCAAATTGAGTTTGAAGTTTTTGACAAAATTCAGACTAAAAGTCAACTTTGAGGCTCAATTACTCAAAAACTGTTCGAGCTATTAAACTCAATTTTCATAATTCTGATTTCAAAATATTCAAACCTCAATTGCTCGGTAACCGTTGAGCAAATTGCAATGAAATTTTCAAAATTTGTAGCTCTTGATAAGCTCTAAAAATCCTGTAATTTACAATGTTTCCAGGTTTATAGTTTTTGAGCAAATTGAGTTTTAAGTTTTTGGCAAAATTTGGACTAAAAATCAAGTTTGAGGCTCAATTACTCAAAAACTATTCGTGCTAATAAACTCAATTTTGCACGGATTTATAGAGAATTTATTGCTCTTTCCAATGATATATAATTTATTTCAATTTGCTCAAAATTTAACAAAGATATCGCCAATTGTTCATGAGCATGTCAAGATTTTGAAAATTTTCCAGTCAAAAATAGGATATTTTTTAAAATTTCTGTTTCTGCTTAAAATGGCCATTTGGAAACGATGTCAGGGTTGTTTTCCACTAATTTTGACCGACTCTATCGATTGGTAAAGTCAAAATTGATCAAAACTGAAAAATAAAAAAAACGAGTTTTCATAAGGGTACCTCCTTTGAATTCTGATTTCAAAATATTCAAACTTCAATTGCTCGGTAACCGTTGAGCAAATTGCATTGAAATTTTTAGCATTTGTAGCTCTTAATAAGCTCTAAAAACCCTCTAATTTACAATGTTCCCAGGTTCATAGTTTTCGAGCAAATTGAGTCTGAAATTTTTGGCAAAATTTGGACTAAAAATCAAGTTTGAGGCTCAATGACTCAAAACCATTTGAGTTATTGAACTCAATTTTGCACAGGTTTATAGAGAATTTATTGCTTTTTCCAATGATATATATATTTTATTTCAATTTGCTCAAAATTTAACAAAGATATCGCCAATTGTTCATGACCATGTTAACATTTTGAAAATTGCCAGAGCCAAAAATAGGATTCACTTTTTAATTTTTTCTCAGCTTAAAATGGCCATTTGGAAATAATATTAGAATTATTCTCCACTAATTTTGACCCACTCTATCCATTGGTAGAGTCAAAATTGATCAAAACCAATAAAAATATTGAGTTTTTCATAATGTTACTTCTTTGAATTCTGATTTCAAAATATTCAAACTTTAATTGCTCGGTAACTGTTGAGCAAATTGCGTTGACATTTTTAGCATTTGTAGCTCTTAATAAGCTCTAAAAATCCTGTAATTTACAATGTTCCCAGGTTTATAGTTTTTGAGCAAATTGAGTTTGAAGTTTTTGGCAAAATTTGGACTAAAAATCAACTTTGAGGCTCAATTTCTATTAGAGCTATTGAACTCAATTTTGCACGGATTTATAGAGAATTTATTGCTCTTTCCAATGATATATAATTTATTTGAATTTGCTCAAAATTTAACAAAGATATAGTCAATTGCTCATAACCATGTCAAGATTTTGAAAACTTTTCATAGCCAAAAATAGGATTTCCTTTTTAATTTTTTTTTAGCTTGTAATGGCCATTTGGATATCATGTCAAAATTGTTCTCCACTAATTTTGACCCACTGTTTCAATTGGTAAAGTCAAAATTAAGTATATAACTAAAAAATAAACAGAATTCGTATTGGCTCTGCCTACAACCAATATATGTGTAAAATTGTTTATTAACAAAATGTATTTCAGTACCAAAAGCAATTATTAAGCAAAGTGCACACACGTTTGGGCTGGAACAGCAAGGCCGAAGAGACCCACTTGCATACACTATTGAGAAGTTTGATTTTGGGCCGTATGGCCTTGCTCAACGACCAGAAAACTATTCAAGAGGCCAGGACAAGGTTGGACGATCATGTTTCTGGAAAACAAGTAAGAATTTGAATATTTTTCAATGGAAGATTGAATTTGAAAAAAATTAATTTAGGTTTTGCCAGCTGATTTGAGAAGTGCCTGTTACAAGACTGTTTTGAGAGCAGGAGGCCAACAGGAATTTGATACATTGTTAAAATTGTACAGATCTTGCGATTTACATGAAGAAAAAGACAGGTGAGTTATTAATAATGATCATTTATTCATTTACATCAAGCAGACTAAGCATGTTTACTTTATGACTGATGAATAAGGTCTAAGATGTCTAAAGGTGTTGAAGAAATCAAAAGACTTAAAATTCATGACTTAAAACATTAAAGGTTCTAAAAATGCGACATTGAAGACTTATTTGAGTCCTTAAATTGAAGTCTTTGAAGACTATGGATACCTAAAAACTAATATCTCAGGTTGACCATGAATGATCATGCTTATGTATTTTTGAGTGTTGCCAATCCATATTATTTTATTGACAATCCTCTTTTTTTTCAGAATAAGCAGATCACTGGGAGCCGCAACTGATCTTGACTTATTGAAAAAAGTATTGGAATTTGCCATGTCTGTACGTATTCCTTATCTAATACAACCTATATCTTCTAACAATTTTCATAATTCAGGATGAAGTCCGATCCCAAGACAAAGTCTTTGTAATCATATCGGCCTCACTCAACAGCAGAGGTCGAGACCTGGCCTGGGAATTTTTCAAAGACAATTGGCCCATCCTGAAGGAACAATTCAGCGGCGGTTTCCTGCTGGCGCGATTGGTCAAATATTTGGCTGAGAATTTCACCAGTGAAGAAAAAGCGGTGGAAGTGGAGGCTTTCTTTCAAACGAATTCAGCACCAGGTACTGAAAGAACTGTTCAACAAGCCATCGAGACAATCAGATTGAATAGCAAATGGTTGAAGAGAGACGGAACTGCCATAGAAAAATACCTCAATTAATTGTTTTAAAATTTCAATAATAGTTATAGATGGGTACTTATAGTTTCTGTACTTATGTCTTGTTTGTTGTTATTATATTTTTTAATGGTTTAATAATTTGATTATATGCCAGTTACTTGTACCTACTTTATTATTATTATTTTTTTAATTTATATTGCATTATAATATTTATACAAGTCAAATGTTTTGTTTTTATTTTATTAATGTATCCTATGCTGCTTCCAGCCAGGCCCATTCTCAATAACAACTTTACATACGAATTTTACATGGTCTTCGAGAAGGTCCTGCGAAAAAAATTATAGGAATATACACAGACTCACTATCTTTTGAACCAAAAATCAAAATTTCTGTATGAAAAATTCTGAGAATAATATTTCAAGCCGCACCATTTTATGCCTGACGGTTTTCGAGATATTCGCAAAACAACCAAGGAATTGTGACGTCACAACCACTCGAATACAGTAGACTTAGAGAACTCAGATCTTTTAATGCTCAGACTCTTAATAAAATCTTGCGACTCTCACCTTAATACGGATTGACTCAAATAGGTGAAACATGAGTTTTGGTTTTGAACCAAACTACACAAAAGTAGAATCTGTGGGGCTTCAAGCAGTTGTGACGTCACGTCTACGTTTTATTGCAAACTCTAAAGACTGATATGATATCTTTTGATAGATATTCGGTAGAGACGCGAGAATTTCGATGTTGTTCTTAGATTTTTTTTTACACAATAAACCTAAAACGTATTTTTGGTTTACAACCCCTGCTTTTTATGATATGAGCAGTTTACAGCTTTTGTCTAATTCATTATTTTTCTATTTTTCTCTGAAGCCTTTTGGGGGGGGCCCGGGCCCCCTGGCCCCGCCACTGGTATTTTTATCAGAAACCTGGCTCAATGATAACATTTTAAACTCTAAAATATTTGATCCGCGCAGGGATGCAAGTATGGGTTAGTTTGGGTTAGTTAGCAACATGCTTTTGACTTTAATTTTTTTAGTAAACATGTTGATTTTACCAGTAGCGTTCCTAAAGGGGGGCGAGGGGTCTGTGCGTCCCCCAAATTGACTCATTTGCAACGGATTTTTCTACCTAAAATGTGAAGTCACGAAGGACATATTGGGACATTACTAAAAACTCTAGAAACTGCTTACCTTATTATGAAACCTATGTTTTAGCATATACCTACTTTTTGACCCTCAAAATTTTATTCTTTTCATATAAAGCATTTGGCCTTGAAATTCTACAAAAATTGCGCCTGCGGCGCAATTTTTTTTCTGACGCCCTTATGGTCATGCAATGTTTCTCAATTTCAATAGCCAAAAACTCCCCTTTTCTGAATTTTCTGGCTACGCGTCTGCTAGTTGGGATTTTCAAGAAAGACCAGTTGGGAGATTTTACTTACGCTACCCCCACAATGAAAAGTTTTCGGGACGTCCCTGGATCAACATTTCAGTGTCTTTCGGAGGGACCGTTATTATGGTGAACTAAATTGTCAGCGTAATGGTAGAATTTTGATTGCTACCTCCAAAGATCTATAGGTTCGGCTGCTCTTTGATCATATTAAGGTCATCACTTGTTGGGTTTCTATTCTATCTAATTCATCTGTTGAATGTTATCAATTGTTCTGTGACACTTGCGAATCTCTGAAAAATGAATATGTTAATCATAAATTCATTCTGTGTGGTAACTTTAACCTTCCCAATATCCAGTGGTTGGTAAAGGATGATACATTAATCCCTTCAGAGCTGAATTCCACTTGTGCTGAAGCAGTTTTGGATTCCATGTTTTTTCTGGAACATCAGCAGATTAATCTGCACAAGAACTGTCATAATCGAATTCTGTTGTGAAGTTTACTGTTTTGTTGTGATGAGATCCACTATATTAACAATCTAGGAATAATTTTCGTCGTTTAATTTGCATATTGATAGCATTGTTCTGAAGGGATTTAGGATGCTGGGTTTCATTAAGCACATTAAAAATACAAAAGCAATCACTTGTTTGTATAATTGTCTAGTTCGAAATTTGTTAGAGTACTGTTCTGTGATTTGGCCACCTTGTTACGCTTGTGATGTACAAAGACTGGAAAGAGTTCAAAGTAAATTTCTCAAATGTTGTATAAATTTCACTTTTCTTATAGTAACTTTCCTTAGACTTTTGCTTTTTGGTGTCAAAAGCCCTGAGTGTCGTCGAAGAAATGCTTATTTGTTGTTTCTCTGCAACTTCTCAGTGGAGTAATTATTGCCTGCACTTACTTGATCACATTTTTAATTCCAATAAGACGTACAAGAGAAATGCAGTTATATTACAATAAGCATTATCACAGAACTAACTATGTTCTTAAGGCTTTTGTAGATCGTCTAGTTTAAGTATTTCCACGATTCTGATCTTTTTTCTGTTAGTTTGGTATCTGTTAAGGTTAAGCGGATGTTGAAAGATTTGTAATTTGCTTTTCCTATAGAGAGTGGCTGACTGTACCACTTCATTATGTGCTTTGTTGGTTGTAAATCTTTGTTTTTGTTTTTTATCTTTATACCATTTAAAATATTTTATTCTGTAGTGTATTGAATTTCTAAATAAATAAATAAATAAATAAAAACTTATAGAATAAATGTATTGCCATTATAATAATATAATACTGACTTACTAACCATTTTTATAAAAATGGTTTCACTAAATATTTGATTAAAAAACAATATACAAAATAAAAGAATAATTTACTTAGATACTAAAAAAAAAAAAAATGGGACCGTGTTTTTAGTAGGAATACAGGGCTTAATTTTTTCTTAAATTATAGACATATATATATAAAAAAAGATCTTCAAAAGAAAATGTATCACATAATGGAACATTCACAACAAGTCATTGTAACGTAAAGACATTTCACTATACAGTCGTCCTCTTCCCCATCATCATCTGCTTTTTGTTTGTCATTGTTTGGTACCCACACACCATCAAGTTTGTCTAGGTTGCCGTTTTTATGGAATTTTTCGTCTTTCTTGTCACGACCTAAAGAAAAATTCTCAATGAAATATTCACTATGTAAATTAATCTAGAAATTATTCAGTTTTAGTAAAATGTAGTTCCCAAACTAATATTCCATAATTTGTGTGAATTTATCTAACAAATACAGAAAGTAATACTTTTCAAGTGCCAAAGGAACTATTATTTGGTGTGTTGTTGAATGACTAAGGGCAGGTATTATGAAACTCTTCTGACAAATAACTAAAAGTTAACTCCTGGAATTCCAGAAGTTAACTAACTTTTAGTTATTTATTGACTGGAAATCTTATCATAGTATACAGAACATCTATAGGTATATATACATCAGAAGTACTTATATATAATGTATTTCAAGGTGGATACAATGAAAGTGTTGCAAGTATAGGTACTTCAAAAGTATACTTGAAGCTCGACTTGAAGTAAATAATTTATATTTTTAAAGATTTTAATATTATACAGATATTACAGGCTGCTTGTTGGTTAATATTTGACAAAGGTTCTGAGAAAAATGAAAACACCCCACCTACAGCCTTTATCTTTACAGGTAGAAGAAAGGTGTGAATACAAAAGCTGTACAGTTTTGGCTGAATTTTTAGAAACCATGGTCAAAAACAAAATTTGAATGTCAGAAGTGTGAAATTTTACATGCTTCCAGCTTTTTTTAATTGGAATGCCCTATATTTCATCCTATACAGGGTGTCCCACGGTGGATGGCGTATTAGACGTTTATGGAGAACTAAAAAGCCGGATTATTCTGAAAATTTGGCAACCGGGATAAACGACCATAATTTACACTTTAAAAATATTTTTGTTTATGCGGGTTGCCGCTTCTACTCTCAACCAGTGGCAACATCGCTATTTTAAATAGAACACCCTGTATGTGATTGCATATTTGGATTCTACGTAAAATTCTGAACAGATTTCATGTGATATATCCTATACCTAAGTTCAACTGTTTTGGAAATATTGACAGTTGAAAATTGACTTTTTGCAACTTTGACAGGCTGTAAAACCTAAACGGTTAATTTGATAGGAAAACCGATTTTACATTTCTATCTTAGATTTTCATAAACTATCATTTGACACCAACTTTGAATTTAACCGGAGATGAAATTTAATTGGAATTTTTAATCATGGATTAAATTCAAAGTTGGTGTCAAATGATAGTTTATAAAAATCTAAGATAGGAATGTAAAATCGGTTTTCCTCTAAAATTAACCGTTTAGGTTTAACAGCCTGTCAAAGTTGCAAAAAGTCAATTTTCAACTGTCAATATTTCCAAAACAGTTGAACTTTAGGTATAGGATATATCACATGAAATCTGTTCAGAATTTTACGTAGAATCCAAATATGCAATCACATACAAGGTGTTCTATTTAAAATAGCGATGTTGCCACTAATTTATAGTAGAAGTGGCAACACCGCATAAACAAAAATATTTTAAAGTGTAAATTGCCAAATTTTCAAAATGATCGGCTTTTCAGTTCTCCATAAACGTCTAATACGCCATCCACCGTGGGACACCCTGTATTCTTGAAAAACACAATGCCCCGATTCCAAAAATATATAGTTTGTCTATATTTGATTGAACAGTCTCTCATATATTCGACTCCAAAAATTGTAAAAATACTATTCTACTACTGAATTTGTGAACCATTTCACCTGTACAGATGAAAGCTGCAGGTAAAATTTGAGGTACTTGGTTTCTCTGATAGTATTTTTAAAATTTTTAGAACCAAGTATGTTGGAGACGGCTCAACCAAATATAGACAAACTATATAGTTTTGGAATCGGGAAATTGTGCTCTTTAAGAATATAATAGAGCATCTTATTTTAAAAAAGCAGAAAGCATGCAATATTTCACATTTCTAACATTCAATTTTTGTTTCTGACCATGGATTTTAAAAAGTTAGCCAATACTCTACAACTTTTGTATTTACACCTTTCATCTACTTGTAAAGGTGAAGGCTGTAGGTGGGGTGTCAATATACAAAAAAAAATGCTGTAGTTGAACAATACTTTATTATATAAAGTCACAATTTGTACAATTTGCCTTTCAACAGAAATAAATAATGTTACTTTACCAAACTAGTAACATAATGTGACAAGTTATTCAAGTACAAATGAGTGAATTGTTGCGGAACTTATGGGTAGACCTCTGCGGGACGAGCGCAGCGATTTCCGCAGCCATCTATTCGTCAATATGTTGTTTAATTACGATACTAACCTGACTCACTCAAATATCAGTTATTCTCATTAGTTTAAAAACTACATGTTGTCTTACTTGAATAGTTCAACAGTATATTGGTGAGTAGATGGCTGCGGAACTCGCTGCGCTCGTCCCGCAGAGGTTCACCCATAAGTTCCGCAACAATCCACTCTTTGTATTTGAATAATAACTTATTATATAAAGTCAGAATTTGTAAGATTATTCACTTTTTGTCAATTTGCCTTTTAACAGGAATAAGTAGGTAATAAATTCTTTACCAAACTAGTAATAATATATTGTGACAAGTTATTCAAGTACAAACGAGTGGATTGTTGCTGAACTTATGAGTGGACCCAGCCATCTATTCACCAATATGTTGTTCAAGTACAATACTAACTTGATTCACTCAGTTGTGAATTAGTTCAAAAACTACACGTTTCAGGTGAGTGTCTTATTTGAACAGTTCAACAGTATATTGGTGAGTAGATGGCTGCGGAACTCGCTGCGCTCGTCCCGCAGTGGTCTACCCATAAGATCCGCAATAATCCACCTATTTGTACAGAGTGTTTTTTTATATATTGACATTCTACCTACAGCCTTCACCTTTACAGATAGAAGAAAGGTGTAAATACAAAAGTTTTAAAGTTTATTTGGTTGAATTTTCAGAAACCATAGTACATTTGAATGTCAGAAATGTGAAATTTTGCATGCTTCCAGCTTTTTTCGAATGGGATGCCCAATATTTCAGTCTATATTCTTGAAGAGCACAATGCCCCGATTCCAAAAACATATAGTTTGACTATATTTGATTGAATAGTCTCTCAAATATTCGGCTAAAATACTATCCTACTATTAATTTTGTGAACCATTCTACCTGTACAGGTAAAAGCTGCAGGTAAAATTTGAAGTACTTATTGATTCCTCTAATAGTATTTTTGAAATTTTCAGAACCAAATATGTTGTAGTCGGCTCAATCACATATAAACAAACTATATAGTTTTGGAATCGGGAAATTGTGCTCTTCAAGAATATAGAACCAAATATAGCACATCCTATTTGAAAAAAGTTGAAAGCATGCCAATATTTCACAATTCTGACATTCAAATTTTGTTGCTGACCATGGATTCCAAAAAGTTAGCCAATACTCTACAACTTTTGTATTTACACCTTTCTTTTACCTGTAAAGGTAAAGGCTGTAGGTGGGGTGTCAATATATAAAAAAACACCCTGTACTTGAAATACTTACTTTAATTGTACTTCAAGTTGAGAACTCTAAAAAATTCCAGTAATTTTATTGAGTAGGTACTTAGTTGGTAATTGGGGTATATTTGAGAAAAAAAAGTACTTTGTACTAGTTTGTACTTCAATTACTTCAATAAAACATTGAGTACTTTGTACTTTTACCCCAAGTAGGTATTTTAGTAATGTACTTGTGACAGCTCTACCAACATTGAAGGCAGCTTGATCAGCATTAATTTGGTTAAATTAATATTAAAGAACTTCAAGGCAAACCAGTAGCTCAATATTTCATTGATATTTTTAAACCCATATAGTTGGACATAAGAAAATTTGATAAAATCCATTTTACCGGACACTATACTGTAAACTCTCATTTACAATACTTATGCGGTAGGTAACTGTAGGTAAAGTGTAGCTCAATACTGTTGAAAACTTTCTATCTGGACTGAAATCAAGCACCCAAAAGATGTATTTTTTGGTGAAGACTACTAAAATTAACTTACCATTACCTTCGTGAGCTGCATCATTGAATTTTCCAGTTTTCTCTTCGCCATTCTCGTCTTTTTCCCCCTTATTATCGCTATTGTTTAGTGTGGGCGATCCGAAATGTTCTTTGTCCTCGTCATCTTTGTCTCCGCCTGGCTCGACCATGACTGCTGAAGCTTGAACTTCGCTTTTATCTAAAGACAATCTAATAAGTATTTTTTGAAAAATATTTGAAATACAATTTTACCTGTTTTGTCACCAATTTTACTTTGCACCCCGATATCTTTGCTAGTGGTGGCAAAAGCTGTACCGGAACCAGATTTGGGCTCTAATGCTAATGTGGAAGTGGCAGGGTGGTAATCGAAAACTTCTGCTGTGCGATTGTGATGAGCGGGACTGTCACCAGACATAATTGACCTATAATTGATTTATATATTTTAAGATAAATTCTGAATCCGTCACTGTATCCATGTGGAAAAGCAGCTGTGTAGTGAATGGCCCTTTTTCTTTAGGGTTTTGTGTGTGGGTTAAAAGACAGAGGGGATGTTTTTGTCGGTTTAGGGTGCATATAAGTCATTAATAATAATTGTCAGTCCAATTTCAACATATAAGAGCAAAATAAAGCAAAAATTATTGAAAAAAAAATGCAGAGAATATCACAAGATATATTTATAAGCTGACTGCAAAAGAAATGTGACAAAAAGATACAATTAAGAAAACCAGAAATATTATAGGACAATGCAAGAAATGATGGGAAAAAATGAGATTTATCAAATAACAGTGATAACAAAACTCGGCAAATTAATAATAAACTCAATAAACAATCCCAACAAAAATAAATATTAGCAATAAACTTAAACAATAAAAATTCTCACCCGTCTGTATAATCAAAATCATACCCATCCATTATTCTTTAGAAATTCAACAAGAAGTCAAAAGACCTTTTATTCTTCAGCTATTTTTGTCACGAAACTAAACAGAACCGATTCACTATTTATTTTTAAATCCCATTATATTTCGTACGTGCTGCGGAAGATATGGTATTTTCACGGTTTAAATATGAAAAATTGTTACTGTTGGGTATGGGTGCCTGAGTTCGACTGTGTATTGCACATGGTAGCCGCTATTTTTTTAAGTCGGGTACCACCACACACTTCTTTGGTCGGGTACGAGGTTATCCTTCTATACTCGATTCAGTGAATCGTGCTAGGATGGTAGTACCGGAATTTTAAACATTTATGGGTATAGAGGAGACCACCCAGAGTTTTGTACTTACATGAATAGATGGTAGATGAATAAAAATGCTATGTATTCGGAAAATTGCACAAATAAATCCATAATTATTATTGGATTACATTATTGAACTTTTCTTATTACAATACAAGTTTAAAATGGTATAATATCACCGACAATTTGCGATAAGCACAAAAGCAAAGGTCAACTAAATTTCAAACCGTAAGCGAATTTAATTGATTAAGCAGAATTATGCTTTAATAGACTTGTTGCAGATCTGTGACTATGAAATTGTTGCAAAATCTACGTACCGAAAATTATCCCTAAAGTCTATAAACGGGAACTTTCTGAAGCCTAAAAAACTGTAAAATCTTTGATCGTCGAGTGGTTCTGTTGGGGTCCATGACATTATTTTTCAAGTTTTCAGTTTAAAAACATGTAAAATTGGGAATGGCTTTCGTTAATTTGGCTAAAATTGACATAGTTTTTGATAGATTTGTGTCAGGACTTTGACATGAATTATAGTAGGACTTATATTTTGCAAATGGGACTTGATTAGTCTATTGGCTATCACTATCTATCTAGATGATTCAATTGGCCTTAAATTGAGCCTAATTCTCTTAAGATCGGATTGAATTTAAAAAGGTTTGTGTGTCGATGTCGATAAACTTTTTATATAAAAATTGTCATATTTGCTTAATAAACCGAAACACCAATAAGAGGGTCATTGAAATGAGATTTTTTCACATTTTCAAATAAATTGCCCATAATATTAGATATGTGGTTTCAGTAAATTTGTCCTTCAATAAAATAAAAGATTAATCAAAAACATACTTATATATTATAATGCTTTCTATTGTTTATTGATAGGTATACATAATGTGCAAAACGCAGCCTCGTTTATTTATTTGTTCAAAAACAAATATCAAATTTCATTTTCTGCTTAATTGACCAATCAGAGAGGAAACTGAATACTTTACTTACATAAAACTGCAGACACAAGATTAAGATTACAAGAATAAAAATTGCATTTTTGCAACTTCACTTACTCGGTTTTGAAACGACAAACCTTAGAATCCAGAAACAAATTAACAGAGGCGCACATTATTATAACACTATGAAAACTAGTTTTTGATTTCCCTATTTGAACATTTTAAGAGTACAGAAGCTCAACCAGTTTCTGGGCTCTTATGAAAATGACCTTTCAATAAACTTTAATTCGCTTAAATGTGTCAACAGACAAAGAAATTGTGTTCTGTGACGTTGTATTGAGCAATTTGGAAAATATTTGTTTAATTTTTGAATCACAATAATAATATAGAATACTACTGGTCATAAAGTTGTTTAGGTAGTTCATGTTGAAATTATTTTCTAGATTACAATAAGAAAATTCTGTTGAAGTAAACAAGTTTAAACTTTTCTTTATGCCACTTGTTTCATCGTACAATCCACAAATATCTTTTAAAATAAACTGCAAAAATGCAACAATTGCATGACTTTTGAGATCTACAAATTAGCATTACATAACTTTGCCTATGATTGTTTTAAAACTACACCTCAATCCATTAATAACATAAATCCTTACCCTTCGTGATCATCATCCTGACCGAAATAGTACTTGTTCTTCTTGTGCTTGTGCTTCTGTCCCTGAATCTTGGGCAAGAAAAACAATTTCAACCCTCTCTTCGGCCTGTTGTGCTTGTCCTTTTTATCACCACCGGACATCGCACCCAGAAATCCAAATATTTATAAAGCGAAAGGAAACAAATTACATCATTAATTGGGTAACACGGAACGTTACTTATCGGGCAACAGCTTGGACTTGGACTGGCCAAACCTGAAATATTGTTTATAACAATCAATTGGAAATGACTGTGTTTACAGCGTATACATTATTTTTGCATTAATATATAATTGAAAGTAAATTCTTCTCTGATGATGAGGCAAGGCAAAAGTAGATTTATTTAATGTTCAAAGTCTTTAGAACAAGAGGTTTAACAGCAGTCTTAAAGTTTTTACATTTATGGCTGTCTTTCGAATTCTTGCAAAGTCTTATAATCGACAATTGTAAGTTTTGATTTCGGACTTCAAAATCTTGACAATCTTTATAAGATTTTGAAAGTTCTGAATCAAGTGCCTTTATCTCCGAAGCCTTCAGAAGTTTTGTGTCTCCTTAAGTTGAGATCGATAACTACATGTTTCACAACAGGCAGCGCTAAACGTATCTTAAGATTTATATACATGTTTCATGTGCTCCTACATGTTGAGATGAGCTCAGGAAACATTATTAGTTCAGTCACAAAGTTCAGTTCAAACAATAATTCATATAAATTCAAAAATTCCCACCAAAACTCATGATTTTCCATGTTGGAAACATCACTGTTTATATTTTAGTAGCGCGATACATATAATAAGCTTCAACATACACGTTGAAACAATAGCATCAGTTGCATGCGTTCAGTATCAAAATTTTAGTGCATACAGTGATACAGACGGTAATACCATCTGATACCGATATAGCGATATTGAGACAGACAAATACACAGTGAGATTTGTATCCCAATACTGATATTTGAAACATGTATCGATATCTGTTGCCCTACTTATTAGGATTCCCCAAATTCCATTCTAATGTTACTAGCACAGGTGCAAAGACAAAAATTATTAAAAATCTGAATTTTTCTTAGTCAGTCATAAATAAAATATTGGACTATTTAATGAGGTAAACATACCTATTAAAGACATCTATTAATTACCTAATTTAAACAGTTATTGTAGAAATATAATGGTACTAAATGGTGCTAAACGCAGCATTATATTTTTTGATATGTTGACATTTTTCTGGTGTTTCGTAATCAAATATAATTGTTTTTCCAATTTTCAGTGGCAAAGGTCAAAAATTTTACGAGAATCTTCACAGATATAAAATAGTAGGTACGACATAGAAAATAATATTAGGAAATAATGTCACGATGTTGAAAACAATTTATTGTCAAGAGAAAGTAAGAGTATTGAACTGAACGGTTGATGTGGATCTTGAACACCAAAATAATCCTGGTACCTATCAGTGAAATTAGCTTCAATTTTTTAATAAATCTAGAAGGAGGAGTGATGAAATGGCCTACGCATTTGCCTGATCTGATTCCTTTGGATTTTTTTTTTATGGGGTATCCTCTAAAAAATAGATATGAAGCAAAATCTTTACTAATATTATTGTATGGGGCAAAGAAGTGGAAATGCATTTATTCTTGTAAATTCTTATTTTTCACTTTTGTTATATGTAGAGTTCATTATTGATTGATGCATCTTTATTTTCTTCCTCTAGTGTCAATTTTTAACTATTCCCAGGCTCTTGAATTTCTGTTTCCTTCCAAATTTCTTTTTGTAAAAAAATAAGGAACATTCTCGAAAGCCTCGAATAGAAGAAAAACCAATTACCTATTCTTGAATTTCCCTTTTCTTTTCTGGCAATTTTTGACTTTTCCAGGCTTTTGAATTTTTGTTTTCTCCTAAAAGACCCCAGTCAAACTGAAACTTTTATGGAAAAGTGATCTATGTGGGAAATTCCCTGAATTTTTTATATTGAATTTTTTAATTGATTGATTATCCTAATCAAGGGACTACAATCCCTGAAAATTTCAGCTCATTTGCACTATGATTTGCACTTATAGTTCCTGAAATAAAATCGTGTTAAGCAATTTGGGGTGATTTATCAATTTTTCAATGTTTCTGAGTGCCTTATTTCATAAATTTTGGCTTCAAATCTGAGAATAATTTAGTGTATGAAGTTTGGGGTATGTTGATTGACCATTAGGATATAAAATCTCGACAAAAAAAATTTGAAATTTCATCGTTTTAGTAAGAAGGTACCTACCTTATGATTTAGATTTTGGAAAACTTTGGAAGGTCATAATTTTTTTTCTATTATAGATAGAAACCTGAAACTTTCACTGAATTTTATCCCAATCAAAGGACTACAATCCCTGCAAATTTCAGCTCATTTGCACTTATAGTTCCTGAGATAAAATCGTGTTAAGCAATTTGGGGTGATTTATCAATTTTTCAATGTTTCTGAGTGCCTTATTTCATAAATTTTGGCTTCAAATCTGAGAATAATTTAGTGTATGAAGTTTGGGGTATGTTGATTGACCATTAGGATATAAAATCTCGACAAAAAAAATTTGAAATTTCATCGTTTTAGTAAGAAGGTACCTACCTTATGATTTAGATTTTGGAAAACTTTGGAAGGTCATAATTTTTTTTCTATTATAGATAGAAACCTGAAACTTTCACTGAATTTTATCCCAATCAAAGGACTACAATCCCTGCAAATTTCAGCTCATTTGCACGTATAGTTCCTGAGATAAAATCGTGTTAAGCAATTTGGGGTGATTTATCAATTTTTCAATGTTTCTGAGTGCCTTATTTCATAAATTTTGGCTTCAAATCTGAGAATAATTTAGTGTATGAAGTTTGGGGTATGTTGATTGACCATTAGGATATAAAATCTCGACAAAAAAAATTTGAAATTTCATCGTTTTAGTAAGAAGGTACCTACCTTATGATTTAGATTTTGGAAAACTTTGGAAGGTCATAATTTTTTTTCTATTATAGCGTTGCTGGAAAATATATTGAAAGACCATTCCAACAAAGGTGCTTCTTGACCCCGCATATACCCATTTTCTATTTAAAATCTAGAGGTGAGTACCTACTTCTGGAAGAATGTACCTATTTTGCATACAAAAATCAAATTGTTCGAGGGTTTTTACAAAAATTATGAATAAATAAATTGGGATAAAATCATGTAGATGAAGAAAAATTAGATAGAAAATGATAGGTACTATCGACTCTTTTCTTTTTGAATGTTTAATTTATTTCATCAAAAATATAAATAAACATATGGGCTAATTTTTCAAACGAGAAAAAACATCTGCAGAATAATATTCAAATTTAACCCAAATTCCTTTGGGTGATTGGATTCCCTCCCACTTTAAACAGAATAACCGGTACCACTTAAAACCAGTAGCAATGGCATTTGACCTTTCACCTTTTTTGATAAAAATCTAATGGGATCAATAGGTATGCAAACAAGAATTAGGTACAAATAAGTAAATAATAAATAGCACTTACCTATCTTCATCAATACATTATACACAATCTAAGGAACCAACCATCAAAGAACTACCATTACCCAGTAAAGTACCAGCACTGTCAACTTTTTGTTCAAATAGATTTTTTGGTACTCGAATTTGTGTCAATCGTGACGTAAACCTGAACTCAAAAGTGGTACGAGACGTAATGCGAAGACAAGAAATCTTGGTTTATTTTGGATTGAAGCGCGACTGCGGCAGGGCGACGAAATATACACAACTGGTTCTCGATTCTTGCCTTTTCTATTCAGGGAAAGGAATTCTTTTCAGGTTTATTTTTCTTTGACAAAATTCAATTTTGAGAAACGTACCATCGTCACCAAAAGTAACTGGGACAGCATCACAGTTCTTGTCCTATTATATGAATTTTATTGTCAAATATTTGTCAAACTATGCATTAAATTTATTGAAATCAATGACAGTAGAATTAGTCCAGGAGATTATTATGCTTTATTTGTGTCCCAGATACTTTTGGTGTCGATGGTACGTTATGTATGTTCTTATGCCCCTTTATATAAGTCTGGTAAATGTATTAAATGAGATAAAATACAAGTTTAGATTAGGATTTACTAATTTACTCAATAATAACTTAATGCATGTTAATTGTAAAGTGCACTTTACCGCACACTGTGTGTTAAAGTAGACTATAGATTTAAAAGTACTGTGAACATTTTATCTGGTGATTTATTAGCTTAAGTTTATTACTAATTACTATTTGATACAGTAGTACCAAGTTTAGATTATCAAATTCCTATAAGAGTACTTTCAATAATTTCACAGATTAGTATATTGTATGTACAATGTATACCTACTTATTTCATGCTCTTAGTACTTTTAAAAGATGCATGTTAATGGTAAAGTACACTTTACCTAGTAGACTATAGATTTAAACGCACTGTGAATATTTTATCTGTTTCGACGCCACCTATTGCGCTAGGGACAAACATTGGAACGGAGAAATCTATAGAAATACAATGTAAATTAACACAACAGCTGTTTTTCTGGTTTTAATTTTCTTGGAGATTGGGTGTCGATAAACTTTTTAGATGAAATTTTATATACCAAATAAGTGATTAATTTAAGTGGATGATTGTGTGGAAAACATGTTCGGTCGTGGCGACCACATATCCCTAAACTTATCTGAAGATAAAGTTCCCTTGAAAAAAAAACCTTTAAAGCTAAGACGGGTGAGTGTTTTTACTGTTTATTCCAACTTCCATTCAAAAAAAAACCCTTAATTCTAGCAATGGAATCAACTATCAAAATGCCAAAAAACCCTAATATACATGTCCTCTTTAATCTTATTCGTAACTATGTTTTACTTGATCTCGATGGAACCCAAAGAAGCCGTAATATCAGTTGATACCACCCTGAGAAACAGCGAAAAAAACACTTTAGGCAATATCAGAAATGATCCTAGAGACGTAGTAGAAAACGGAGTAGAACTCAATAACGATAATCAAGTTTTAGAGGACCCCGAAGGGGCTAATATGAACAACAAAGTTGATAATGAGCAAGTGGTTGAACCTCCTAAGAACATAATAACTTTTCCAGGTAATTGTGCTGTATAATAGTTTCAGCAAACTTATAACTTTTCTCTTACAGATCCTACAACTCTGAGGCAAAAAGCAGTAGTGAAAGCATTCAAACATGCCTGGAAAGGCTACAGACAATTTGCATGGGGCCATGATCACCTTAAACCCATTTCAGAAGGCTATCACGATTGGTTCGGGCTAGGACTTACTATAATTGATTCACTTGATACTATGTATATTATGAATTTAAAAGATGGTAGGTAAGAGTTTTTGAGGAAATTGTAAAATTACTATTTTAATTATTGTAGAATATAATGAAGCCAGGAATTGGGTGGAAAAGCATTTGAACTTTGATATTAACCGAGATGTAAATTTATTTGAAATCACTATTAGAGTTCTAGGTGGATTGTTGAGCATTTATCATTTTACTAAGGATGAGGTTTATTTGAAAAAAGCTGTAAGTAATTTATATGAGAAGAAATACATCATCTTTTTGCAATTGTAATTCAGAAACCTTCACAATTGTAATTGAGAAAGCGTCAAATGTAATCGTGAATAGTTAAATGTTATTCAGAATGTGTTAATTGTAATGGAGAACAGCCTAAATGTAATTGAGAAAGCATCAAATGTAATTGAGAAAACGTTAAATGTAATTCAGAAAGCATCAAATGAGATTCAGAATAAGTCAAATGCCAATCACAATAATTATATTTAAAATTTTCTCAATATATATCCTAATGTGACGTTTCTTCTTTTAGACTGATTTAGCTGATCGCCTTCTGCCATGCTTTGAAAGCGAATCAGGTATACCATATTCAGATATAAATTTATTCACAAGAAAAGCGCACGCTCCTAAATGGTCTCCGGATAGTAGCACCTCAGAAGTGACCACCATACAACTGGAGTTTAGGTATTTGAGCTGGCTCACTGAAAATCCTAAATATGAGGCAAGAATTCTGAATGTAGTTATTGTTTGCTAATGAAGTGTATGTTTTTAGAATGTGGTTACCAAAGTATCTCAATTAGTGCATAGACTAGAAAAAACTGACGGTTTAGTTCCTATATTTATTAACGCTAACACTGGCCAGTTTAGAGTGTACTCGACTATTACTTTGGGTGCTAGAGGAGACAGTTACTACGAGTATTTATTGAAACAATGGATACAATCAGATAAAACTTTAGAATAGTATGCAAATTTCTTGAGTAAATATTTGATAATCTCAAAATTGTTTCTAGTCTCAAAAACGACTATGTTGAAAGTATATCAGGCGTGGAAAAACACTTGGCCAAACGAACCGTACCCAATGGGTTCTTATTCGTTGGCGAGCTACTGGGAGGCGCCAAAGACTTCAAACCAAAAATGGACCATTTAACTTGCTACTTACCAGGCACTTTAGCTTTAGGGGTGCACAACGGTCTTCCAGATTCGCACATGAAACTAGCCGAGGATTTGATGACTACGTGTTATCAGACTTACGCTCAGCAACCTACATTTTTGGCACCGGAAATTACTTATTTTAATATCCAGGTATGACTGAAAGTGAACATCTTTTGAAATTTCAGTCACTTGTATGTCTAGATTGGATGGTGAAATAATCTACTTAGATTTATACCTATGTACAGGGTGTTTTTTTATGTACCTACAGAAATGTGAAATATTGCACGTTTTCAACTTTTTTCAAATGGGATGGCGCTATATTTGGTTCTATATTCTTGAAGAGCACAATTTCCCACACACAAATAAGTGGATTATTGCGGTACTTATGGGTGGACCTCTGCGGGACGAGCGCAGCGAGTTCCGCAGCCATCTATTCATCAATATATGGTTGAACTGTTCAAATAAGACACTCACCTGAAACGTATAGTTTTCGAACTAATAAGAAAAATTCACAACTGAGTGAATCAGGTTAGTATTGTATTTGAACAACATATTGGTCAATAGATGGCTGGGTCCGCACATAAGTTCCGCAACAATACACTCATTTGTACTTGAATAACTTGTCACAATATATTACTACATAGTTTGGTAAAGTGTAACATTATAATTTCCTGTTAAAAGGCAAATTGACAAAAAGTGGATAATCTTACAAATTTTGACTTTATATAATAAGTTATTGTTCAAGTACAAATAAATGGATTATTGCAGAACTTATATGTGGACCTCTGCGGGACGAGCGCAGCAAGTTCCGCAGCCATCTACTCACCAATATACAGTTGAACTGTTCAAGTAAGATATTCACCTGAAACATATAGTTTTTAAACTAATGAGAATAACTCACATTTGAGTGAGTCAGGTTAGTATCATAATTGAATAACATATTGATGAATAGATGGCTGCGGAACTCACTGCGCTCGTCCCGCAGAGGTCCAACCATAAATTCCGCAACAATCCACTTGTTTGTACTTGAATAACTTGTCACAATATATTACTGGTTTGGTAAAGTAACATTACTAATTTCTCTTAAAAGGCAAATTGATAAAAAGTGGATTATCTTACTAATTCCGACTTTATATTATAATAAGTTATTGTTCAAGTACAAATAGGTGAATTTTTGCGAAACTTATGGGTGTACCTCTGTGTTACGAGCACAGCGAGTTTTGCAGCCATCTACTCACCACACCCTGTACAAATAAGTAGATTATTGCGGAAATTATGGATGGACCTCTGCGGGACGAGCGCAGCGAGTTCCGCAGCCATCTATTCATCAATATACGGTTGAACTGTTCAAATAAGACACTCACCTGAGACGTGTAGTTTTTGAACTAATTAGAACAATTGACATTTGAGTGAGTCAGGTTGGTATTGTACTAGAACAACATATTAATGAATAGATAACTGCGGAACTCGCTGCGTTCGTCCCGCAGAGGTCCACCCATAAGTTCCGCAACAATCCACTTGTTTGTACTTGAATAACTTGTTACATTATGTTACTAGTTTGGTAAAGTAACATTACTAATTCCTGTTAAAAGGCAAATTGGCAAAAAGTGGATAATCTTACAAATTCTAACTTCATATAATAAGTTATTGTTCAAGTACAGGGTGTTTTTTTATATATTGACACCCTACCTACAACCTTCACCTTTACAAGTAGATGAAAGCTGTAAATACTTAGGTTTCTAAAAATTCAGCCAAAACTGTACAACTTTTGTATTTACACCTTTCTTCTACCTGTAAAGGTAAAGGCTGTAGGTGGGATGTCAATATATAAAAAAACACCCTATACCTACATGTATAAAAGTTACTGAGCTTCCTATTCAAGTTTTCCAATGTCATATTCTCATATGTTTGCTAGAAAACTTGCTAAAAATACATTGTTTATCATCCAAACTACAATACTAGGATCACCTCAACATCCATAAGTGGTTCCAATATTTTCTAGATCTTCCGAGCTAAAGGACTCAGAACAGAAGTGACTTCTACATACAACATCAGTTCCAAAATTAAATTTCTCCCAATAATGAAAATTGTTTTTTTTTAGGGAGAAAATTCCAATGATATTTACGTAAAGTCAAATGATGCCCACAACCTTCTTAGACCAGAATTTCTAGAAAGTTTATGGTACATGTATCAATTGACTGGCAACACCACTTACCAGGATTGGGGTTGGCAAATATTCCAGGTATAAAAATGTTTGCCTTCAAACTACATATAATTACCATTGATTTTGATTTTAGGGTTTTGAAAATTACACAAGAGTTGTGAACGGTTACACTTCAATAGGTAATGTGAAAAATACAGCAAATGTACGTCCCAAAGATATGATGGAATCGTTTTTTCTCAGTGAGACTCTTAAATATTTGTATCTTTTGTTCAGTGACGATCCGAAATTGCTTGATATAGATAAGTTTGTTATTAATACTGAAGCCCATCCGTTTCCTATTGGAAAAGCTAATTTATAGGAGATATAGATAGGAAATTTTGCACAACAATTTTTTTGCATTTAAATTAGGTGGAAGAGGCTTATTGTTCATAAGTAGAAATATTTATCTAGTCAAGGTACAAGACTTTTTTGATATCTTTTTTGATGTAATCTTAAGTAATTTGGGACATAAGTGTGAAATCGACACAAGCAATGGAGGAGCTACTTAATTTTTCTAGCCAAAAAATTGTATTCTAGTTTATGGTGAATCTAATTACACCCAGTAGCAATTCCCTCATGTTGAGGCACAACATTTTCTCAAAAAGGTCGAAGAAACGACAGCTTCTCTGTATTTGGGAGAATTATTTGTATTATATACGTCAAAACTGCCTACTTTTTGATTGAGATTATAAATGTTCTCTTTGTAAATTTGTATTGAATCATTATTTTCTTGTGTTACATGTGTTTAATTTCAAAGTATTAATAACTTTGCTAGAAAAAAATGATTAATATTTACTTAGTATAAGTTGAGATAATTTTGTTTATAAAATTTGATTTGTTTTTAATACATAATTTGTTTATTTAGTAAAAATTTTATTATATTATTGGTTGGTTGCCAATGAAACATTTTTCTGGGCCACCTGGTATTTGGCATTCGTTCTACGTGTCTGTACCAGGTAAGTTGAGAGGCTCTTTATCATTGTCTCGTATATATTGTCAACTACTTAAGTAAATACCACTCTGTACATCAATTTTACTAAAGTATGTCGACGAGTCAGCATTTATTTGGTATAAATACCGCGCCGAATTCCATTACCGGTAGATTAAGGCTAGTGCAAAGTACCTCAAATGGGAAAAGTCCCTCTAGCTAAGTGTCCTCCCAGTGCAAACTACCTTTAATGGGAAACGCCCTTCTGGACCTGTCTCAAACCCAGCTTCAGTGTTCAGTCACGCCAAGTGTACAGAGGGTACATAATACAGAGTGGCGTATAAGTAGTACGTCCCTCCGTAAAAGAGACGTCATGATACTGTTTCTAGGGTAATATTATTATTATTATATACATATCTTATTTTACCTATACCAAGCGAGTTTCTCTCTACCTGAACCCCACCTACACCCCCAGGTCACGCTTCTGTTGTGACGTTCTAGGACGAAATGTATAGGGGTTGTGACTTTAAGGGTTGTGATATTGAATTTTCTCTTTGTTATTTCTGTGCTCCATAAGATTCCATTTAGGCATCGTATTACTTTTTCAGCTTTAACTATTCGCTTTTCTATTTCTTTCACATCTGTTTCGGTGTTTTCGAATGTGATACCTAGATACTCATATTCTTTACCTTGCAGAATTTCCTGAAAATCGTCCACACATAGATATTTTGTTTTATTTATATTAACTCACAGGCCCCATTTTTGGTACTTTTCTATCAGCTTTCTAATCATATATAGTACTAGTACTACTGCTATGTATATTTTAAAAAGTGTAGGAGAGATACAACTTCCTTCACGTAGTCCTTTTTTCACTATAAACTTGTCTGTAAGTTTTTTACCTATCTTAATCCTTGATTTTCAATCTTTATTTGTTTAAGTGGCGTTATATAGGTATGATTGATGTTGGATTGTTCTAATACCTTTCATAGTCTGGATACTCGAACTGTATTGTATGCTTTTTGTAGGTCCACAAATGTGAGCTAAGTTTCCAAATGTCTAGCAGATCTCTTTTCTATGACTTGTTTTAGGCAAAATACGTTGTCTGTTCCTGATGTTCCTGCTCTAAAGCCGCATTGCCTGTCTTCTTCTTTCCCTTTATAATCTTCTTCAATGAGATCACGCAGGATTCTACCATATAGTCTGTTTAGTGTGCTTGTGACTGATGTGCCCTGATAGTTATTGCAGTCCAGCTTATCTCCTTTCTTGTGAATGGATGATATAAAAGCTGTTTTCCAGTCTAGTGGAACAGGATGTCCATTTAGGCATTTATTGATAATACATGTGAGACCTTTAAAGAGCTTCCCAGTTCCCCATTTTAGCATTTCGGAGTATATCCCTTCTGACCTAAGATTCTTAACTTCACTTTTTACTGTTTCTTCAGATATCTCAACTACTGTACTTCAATATGTCTTTGAGAATCTAATTATACATTCCAGTCTACTTTCTTGTAATAGACCCTTGTAGTGTTCTATCTATTGCTCTGATTTAATAATCTTGATATTAGCTTAACACCTTCATCTAACAAATAAAACAATAATTTATTTATCAACATAATTGTATTCCAATTCAATACAAGAAAAATAAGTACGTCGTAATATAATGCTGAAAGAAAATATTCTTTATTGTTAAGTAAGTATTGAAACCCAATATGTATATTTAAAAAAAAAGGAACTCTTCATATATCTAAACCCAAATGCTCATTCAAAAATGGTCATTGTGGGATAACGTTCTGAGCCAGCAAACTCAAAATAAAGCTTAACATTATTTGGTAACCAAAACTGCCAAAGAGAATTTTTTTCAAAATTAAGTAACAATGTTTCACCTAAACAACTACAAAAAAAGTACCTCAATATAGTTCTAATTCTAACAATTTCCGCATACATATAAGGAAGAAATATCTTAGTTACAATTTAAAAAGAAAAATGTCACACTTTAGAGCTTAAAATTATGAATAAATTACTGAGAAATTCAACATCCATCATTGGGTTCAGTACCAAAATACCTATCACCAAAATTACCAATACCAGGCAACACATAAAACTTATCATTAATTTCCGGATCAATTGCAGTGGTGACTATTTGAATTTTTGGAAAAGCGTAAGCTATAGAACGCACTCCAGATTCAGCCATTAGAAGCGACACCAGTAAAATATTACTTTCAGCCACATCATGGTCTAATAAGACTCTTATTGCCATCATTGCTGCGGCACCTGTAGCCACTGTGGCGTCCATCAAAATCACTTTGTAATCTTTTATGTCTTTGGGTAATCTTAAGTAATAAAGCTGAAACAATATAAAATTTAGTAATTAACATCAATTAACAATAATAATTACCTCAGGTTCTCCAGTTTGTAAATTAGTCTGGATCAATATTTTTCCTATTCTTATATCTTTACAAACATCACAGACTGCTTGTTCCATAGTTTCGCCAGCACGTAGAATGGAAACGCCACATATTTTTGTTGTTGCCATTCTTTTACCTATAACACTTACTTAGTTTAATTTCAAATGAAAATAACATCTTACCGTGATATAAAACTCCTTGAGGTGTTTCGACACACTTGTCTTTGAAAGCCATTAGACTTAAAGTGTACTCGATGACCAGCCTTATCAGTCTTTTGCTGTAAAAAATAAATTCATCCCTTGGCGTGTCTTTGTTTCTTATAAAAGTGTGCAACCCTCTAATTTGAGGAGTGGTTGGCAGTAATTTAACTGTTGGAGGTCTAGGGCCACTGTTCATTGCATAGGCTTGAGCCAGCTCTTCTCTCAATTTAAACCCTCTCTAAAAATATTAAATTCAATAAATACAAATGTATTGTCAAAAAATAATACCAATTGAAGTTGCGTATGGACATGTTGTACAATCAATTGTATTGCAACTTGATTTTCTCCACCTCTTGGAACTATAATATCAGCGTGCGACATTAAAGGGGCAATATAATGGTTGAATGAAGGTTGTACCATGCTAGTATATTGCTTTATAACCCCATCCAAATCCCTACCTCTTTGACTAATATCTCTTTTCAATCTTCTAGCCAGTCTTACATCAGCATCAGTATCAACAAAAATTTTCATATCCAACATTTCAGTTACTTTAAGGTTGTGAAACGTTAAAATACCTTCAAAGATAATCACATTTGCCCCATACATAGTTTTCTAAAAAAAAAAACAGTGTGTCTTATAAAAATCAATTCAGAATAATCCTTACTGTTCTATTTTCTCTAGAATGCGTCATAAAATTATAAATAGGAACTTCAACTTTTCTGCCTTCTTTGAGCCGTTGTAAAGTAATTGCCAAAAGTTCCCAATCAAATGCATCAGGATGATCAAAATTGTACTCATTATTCTCGGCTATTTCGTGTTGTTTTTCAGTTAATACTTTATAAAAGGAGTCCATGCTTAGTAGAGTGACCCAAGGCACTCCCAAGCATTCGATAATGTTTTCGGCCACTGTCGTTTTACCCGAAGCACTACCACCGCAAATACCTAAAGTGAAAATTAATAATTGAGTGTGGTTTTGAAATTCAATGTTACCTATGACGAATGGAACAACTTTTTGTCCTTCGCTATTGTACCATGGAGGTCTGCCGGCAGTATAAATTGTCCTCTGTGGTGTCCTGAATTATAAAATGGCACTTTGTTTTTGACAATAACGAACTTATATAGAGTGGATTCTTAGCAAATTAATTTTAATTAGAAACAAAGTACATACAGGGCAGAATATAATAACGCTGGTGTAATTTTGGTATAATTATTTGCAAATAATAGAACTTACCTTATAATAACGTCTGGTTTGCTTTGGGTGGTGGTGCCTTGATTTAGAGAAGTGGTTCTTTGGCGTCTTGCCTTGGGTGACTTTTGAGAACCTTGAAAAGAATATTTGGATTATGGTGATAGTTTTTGTGTTACTTAACTAGACAAAATTTGATATTTGTTTCAACAATTTAGTACCTGAAAAACAGTGAAAATTTTCCAAAAATGACACTGAAACAGTTTTTGCCTCAAAGCTCCGTTAATTTTTATCCGATATCAATGTAATTAACCTCTAATTAAAGCCAATTAAATTCTCTACAAAACTGATGACTGGAGGCCTTTGAATTTTTTCCTATTTCTTTATTACAGGTTCTTGAATTGTATTGACTTTTGATTACTGGATTTTGAATTATCTCTTTTTATTTCAGAGTGAGTTTTATGCAAGGGGCAAACCACCTAGGAATTCTTTGCCGAAAATGTGGGGAATTTAGAGAAATTTATGGGAAATTTAGAGGAATTTGTGGGGAATTTGAAGGAACTCATTGGAATTTGGAAAATTTATAGGGAATTTGGAGGAATTTGGGAGAATTTGTGAGGAATTTAAAGAAAATTGTAGGGTCATGATGTCACTGAGGTTCACATTCTTATTATAAGAAATAGTAATAAATGTAAATTTAAAAAAAAAAATCTAGTTTTGTGTTAGATGTTGGATATTCATTTTTATTAAAAAAATTCTCTCAAAATTACACTTTATGATTTACAGGTCCAAATTTAAAAAATTCGAAAGAATAATGAATACAGTTTTTGTAAGCTGATTTCCAAAATTTTTCATGTAGTTATTTTCCACTGAAAAAATTTGAAATTTTGGGAAAATGAGCTTCTCACCTTCCTCTTTAAATGCAAAAAGTTTCAAAATTTTCCCTTCACTAGTTTTCTAAGAAAACTTTGAAATGTGTGAGACTGTATTTTCAATTAACTCAGTTTTTGTAGGTTGATTTCCAAAATTTTTCATGTTACTGTTTTCCATTTGAATAATTTGAAATTTAGGGAAAATGAGCTTCTCACCTTCCTCTTTACATGCAAAAAGTTTCAAAATTTTCCCTTCATTAGTTTTCCAGAAAAACTTTGAAATGTGTGAGACTGTATTTTCAACTAATTCAGTTTTTGTAAGTTAATTTCCAAGACTTTTTATGTTGCTGTTTTCTATTAGAAAATTTTGAAATTTTGGGAAAATGAGCTTCTCACTTCTCACTTTCCTCTTTACATGCAAAAAGTTTCAAAATGTTCCCTTCACTAGTTTTCCAGGAAAACTTTGAAATGTGTAGACTGTATTTTCAACTAATTCAGTTTTTGTAGGTTGATTTCCAAGATTTTTCATGTTGCTGTTTTCCACTGGGAAAATTTGAAATTTCGGGAAAATGAGTTTCTCAGCTTCCTCTTCACATGCAAAAAGTTTCAAAATGGTCCCTTCACTAGTTTTCCAGAAAAACTTTGAAATGTGTGAGACTGTATTTTCAATTAATTCAGTTATTGTAGGTTGATTTCCAATATTCCTCATGTTGTTATTTTCCACTGGAAAAATTTGAAATTATGGGAAAATGAACTTCTCACCTTCCTCTTTACATGCAAAAAGTTTCAAAATGGTCCCTTCACTAGTTTTCCAGGAAAACTTTGAAATATGTGAAACTGTATTTTCAACTAATTCAGTTTTTGTAGGTTGATTTCCAAGATTTTTCATGTTGCTGTTTTCCACTGGGAAAATTTGAAATTTCGGGAAAATGAGTTTCTCACCTTCCTCTTCACATGCAAAAAGTTTCAAAATGGTCCCTTCACTAGTTTTCCAGGAAAACTTTGAAATGTGTGAGACTGTATTTTCAATTAATTCAGTTATTGTAGGTTGATTTCCAATATTCCTCATGTTGTTATTTTCCACTGGAAAAATTTGAAATTATGGGAAAATGAACTTCTCACCTTCCTCTTTACATGCAAAAAGTTTCAAAATTTTCCCTTCACTAGTTTTCCAGGAAAACTTTGAAATATGTGAAACTGTATTTTCAACTAATTCAGTTTTTGTAGGTTGATTTCCAAGATTTTTCATGTTGCTGTTTTCCACTGGGAAAATTTGAAATTTCGGGAAAATGAGTTTCTCAGCTTCCTCTTCACATGCAAAAAGTTTCAAAATGGTCCCTTCACTAGTTTTCCAGGAAAACTTTGAAATGTGTGAGACTGTATTTTCAATTAATTCAGTTATTGTAGGTTGATTTCCAATATTCCTCATGTTGTTATTTTCCACTGGAAAAATTTGAAATTATGGGAAAATGAACTTCTCACCTTCCTCTTTACATGCAAAAAGTTTCAAAATGGTCCCTTCACTAGTTTTCCAGGAAAACTTTGAAATGTGTGAGACTGTATTTTCAATTAATTCAGTTATTGTAGGTTGATTTCCAATATTCCTCATGTTGTTATTTTCCACTGGAAAAATTTGAAATTTTGGGAAAATGAACTTCTCACCTTCCTCTTTACATGCAAAAAGTTTCAAAATTTTCCCTTCACTAGTTTTCCAGGAAAACTTTGAAATATGTGAAACTGTATTTTCAACTAATTCAGTTTTTGTAGGTTGATTTCCAAGATTTTTCATGTTGCTGTTTTCCACTGGAAAAATTTGAAATTTTGGGAAAATGAGCTTCTCACCTTTCTCTTTACATACAAAAATATTCAAAATTTTCCCTTCACTAGTTTTATAGGAAAACTTTGAAATATGTGAGACTATATTTTCAATTACCTACCTAACTCAGTTTTTGTAGGTTGATTTTCAAGATTTTTCATGTTGCTGTTTTCCACTGGGAAAATTTGAAATTTCGGGAAAATGAGTTTCTCACCTTCCTCTTCACATGCAAAAAGTTTCAAAATGGTCCCTTCACTAGTTTTCCAGGAAAACTTTGAAATGTGTGAGACTGTATTTTCAATTAATTCAGTTATTATTGTAGGTTGATTTCCAATATTCCTCATGTTGTTATTTTCCACTCGAAAAATTTGAAATTTTGGGAAAATGAGCTTCTCACCTTCTTGTTTACATGCAAGAAGTTTCTAAATTTTTCCTTTTTTAAGAGGAATTTGTGGTGTATTTGGGAGATGTTTGTGGTGGGGTATTTGGAGGAATTTGTGATAGGGTATCTGAAGGAATTTGCACGAATTTTGAGGAATTATGCATAAAAAATTTCCCTTTGAGGAATTGCTTGCACCAATTCTGGGATGGTGGTTTACCCGAGGGTTTACCCCTTGATTTTATGTATAACTTGTTTGGAGGAAAGAAAAATTGAAGAGCCTGGAATAGACAAAAATTGAAAGAAGAAATATAAGCAAAAAACTTTTATTTTTCTCTCTCTCTATCTAACCTGGTTAATCTAGAAAAAGATCCAGAAAGTCAAGCAGAAACGTTCTTTTTCTCTACATAACATAATCCCAATCCCGTATTACATTTCTGTTGAATTACTGTATAGTCCTGTTGAAATACTGTATAAGTAGTCCCGTAGAAGTACTGTATAATCTTGCATAGTTCTACTCAAGTCCTATAGGGTACTGTCACTACTGTTGAAGTCCTTTTTAAAAATGTGTACACCTCTAGAAACTCTTTGATGATAAATAAGTTTTGATTGAGAAGTTGTATTCCTTTCAGTTGTTCAATATTACAAAATCTAATGTTCTACTATTTTTTGTTGTCATTTCCAATCCTTCTGAATTCATAATTTGGTTGTATTTATTTGTAAAACACTTTTTTTATATATTAAATTGGAAAAACATTACCTACCTGTAGAGGGAGGTCTGGGGCAGTAAGGAACAGTAATTGGAGAGGCAGGAGTATTGTAGAAATCTCCGCTTCTCTCCTCTTGATCTTCTTGATCAGGAAATACTTCTGAGTAGTCTTGGGCATCTATTATATCACTAGAAGAGAAATGTTTTGTACTATAATGAAAGAAAGTTTATAGGCCTTTATATAAGCTGGACAGAGAAGAGAATATTGAAAACACACAAATATATTGGAGTAAAACGCCAAGTCAGGTTCAAAGTTGAGTAGCCACTTTTCAAAGGAGACAAATTTAACATCGACTTTGCTCAAAAGAGAAGATTTTTTGACCCTCAAAGATTATAAAAACCAATTATATTTTCAACTCGAAAACTGATAAAATAGCCAATAATACCTGATAATTTCAGGACTCAAACTTTCCATATTTGCCACAAATGCAAATTCAATCAAGGGTAACAAGATAAAAGCAAAAAATCCAAATATTAAACACGTTTTTTATAGCCAAGCAAACTATTTTTAGAAAATTTTCACAGAAATATGGATTTATTTTACCTGTCCGAGCTGGCTGAAGAAGGAGGATCCATCGGTCCAATTTTAGCGGCCATCCCAATAACAATTTAAAGCTTATTTCCTAATTGTAATAATTTAATTTGCCAATATTTTAGTACTTAAATAAATAACAACAAACATCCACTATCCACTCTCTACAAACCAGAGATGACAAAAGTGCGGAAAATCTTTTGACAGATGGCGCTAGTTGTGAATTACAGGTAACTGTAGCCTATATTTTATTTAAACCACTAGATAATGGTTTAAATTATTTATATTTTATATAAACATACAATTAACCATAATAATTTCTTAATTTGTTTAATTATTAGTCCATATTTTGCTTATTTGAAAAAATTGAATCAAAATTTTTAGGTTATGTTCACTCAAAGCTGACACTGACACTGACTTTTCGTTTTGTTTTGAATGAACCTACAACAAAAAAAAATCTAGCTTATATTTTTCATTCAACAAATTATAAATTGTTAATCAATTTTATGTAAAAAAGGCAACAAATATGTAATTTAACTGAATCTAGATATTCTCCCTCAATAAACAACCATGTTACTATAACCAGAAAAATCATTCAGTGAGTATGTCCTATGCAAACAACAATAGACCCAAAAATGGTTAAAACCAGCCCCAAAAGTAAATATTTACGCAGATACAGGATCTGTTTCATAATAGGAATAATAATTCTATCATTCCAAATTCTTTTGGTGGCGAATTTTCTGTCACAAAACAAAAACCGAATAGAACCGGAAAAATGGGAACCCTCGGACTCTGACAGAGATTCCGGCTCTAATAACGAAGCCGCGAATTCTGCTCGGAGGAGCGACGATGACGAAACCAACTTGCTTGCTCCTCAAACTAGAAAAGTACTCAATAACAGTATCCAGCTCAAAACTGAAGACATAAACTTTGACTTGCCTTGCTTAATCACTGAAAAACAAACACTTTCAGCACTGAATAGAGCTAAAACGCAAAAATGCAAGCAACTAATTGCAAATATCTCGTGTTTAGCCTTAGAAAATCAATTATATCCAATAGAATTGCAGTCGAGTTGTCCAGCGAAAGATTTCAGGATAGGCAAAGAGTTGGGCTGTTTCAAAGATGAGAAGAACTTTAGGCTTTTGAATGGTTATTTTGGGGTGAATAAAAACGACAATTCGCCCAAGTACTGTATCAATTTGTGCTTGCAATCTGGATTTACTTATGCAGGAGTTCAATATTCGTAAGTATGATTTAAACCCTGTGATTTGGATTTATGAAAACTTTGAAACATCATAATTTTTTTTAAAATTTGAGATGGAAAGTTGAAATTTTTAGTGATTTTTATCTTATAAGAGGATTACAATCCCTGAAAATTTCAGCTCATTAGGACTTATAGTTTTAGAAATAATATCGTGTTAAGTAATTTGGGGTGATGTTTCAATTTTTCAATTTTTCTGAGTGCCTTTTTTCATAGATTTGGGCTGCAAATCTGAGAATAATTTAGTGTATTGAGTTTGGGGTATGTTGATTAACCATTAGAATACAAAATCTGGACAAAAAAAAATTTGAAATTTCATCAGTTTAGTAAGAAGGTTACCTACCTTATGACAGAGCTGGGCAAAGCCCTCAGTAAAAGGGCTTGAAGCACTAAGCCCTAAGCCCTCTATCAAAGTGCTTCAATTTCAAGCACAAATTCCTTTTTATTTTCAAAAGTGCTTCACAAGCACAAAGCCCTCAAATCAAATCAAATCAAATCAATTTATTTGTGTTAATTTACACTCATGTGTTTACACTTGTCAATAAAAACTACTGTCTAATTCCAATTTACATATTAAAATAGTTTAAAAAGGTTTAAAACACAAGCTAAAAATTACATTAAAAAAAAAAACAGGCTAAAATTTACATAAATTAAAATAAACATTTACCTTAACGAATTTTACAAACAAATTTCAAGAATAAAAACATTACATCAGGTTAAGATGGCACAATTACTATTATTATTACTTATACTATTTTTCACTGCAATTTACCATCCATCCAGCTAAGTGTGGAGTTGTTAAACTCTTGTATAGAATAAAAAGCCTTGGAAATCAAAAAGTCCTTTACTTTCTCTTTAAATTTAGACTTACTTAGATATTTCAGGGGATCAGGAAGCCGATTAAAAAATGTGACTGCATGGAACCCGGGTCCATTTTGGCACCTTTGTAACCGGTGAAAGATTGGTTGTAGGTGGTTTTTGTTTCGCGTGTTGTAGTTGTGAATGTCACTGTGGCAGGTATATCCGTCATGGTGGTCTTTAACATACATCAAATTTTGGAGAATATACTCACATGGCAGAGTCAGGATTCTGTTATTAATAAAGGCCTGTCTTACATCTTCCCTATAACCCAATCCCGCAACAATCCTCACAGCACGTCTCTGCATAGCAAAAACCCCCTGTACACCACTAGAGTGGCCCCAAACGAGCAACGCGTAGCTGAGATGCGAGTGGAAGACAGCAAAGTAAGACTGTTTGAGAATTCTTGGAGACACGCACACCGACAAATTCCTTAAAACAAAAGTATTTCTACCTAGCTTCTTCGTAGTCATCTCAGTGTGAGCATCCCACAGTAATTTCTGGTCGAGAGCAACCCCAAGGAATACAACACTACCTGCCATCGGTTCTGTTCTTTTTAATGAGAAAACATAGTTTTGGGTTTTGGCTTCGTTCAAGAAGAGTTTATTAGCTGAAAACCATTGCTTGGCTCTTGCCTGTGCCTCTCTAGACATGTCGGTTGCTGTCTGTATGTCGGTGTGTTTGACTTGTTCTGTTGTGTCATCTGCAAAATTGAAGATTTTTTCTGTTCTTGCTATGTTTGGCAGGTCGTTTATGTAAAGTAAGAACAAAATAGGCCCCAGGATCGAACCTTGGGGTACTCCCATTCTGACTTCCTGCTTATAGGACATTATATTGTTAAAACTGACTGCTTGTTGACGTTTTGTTAAATATGATCTTATAAGATTTATGCTTTGAGGTGAAAAATGATAAAAAGGTAGTTTGTCAAGTAAAATGTCGTGGGAGACACAGTCAAAAGCCTTGCTCAGGTCGCAAAAGATTGAGACTGTGTGTTGTGAGTCTTCAAAACCCTCCATTATGTTTTCTACTAGTCTTAGGATTGCCAAAGTGGTGTTTTTGCCCCCTCTAAAACCAAACTGGTTTGGGCTCAATATTTCGTTAATTTCAAGATAGTTTGTTATCTGGTTTGCAAGACATTTTTCAATGATTTTGGAAAGAACAGGCAAAAGAGAGATAGGCCTGTAGTTTCCAGGATCACTCGATTCACCCTTTTTATAAATAGGAGTCACCCTAGCTATTTTCATACAATCCGGAAAGGTACCTTCTCTTATGCAACAATTTATAAGCTTTGTAAGAGGAATAAGCAACTGGTTCTTGACACCCTTTATTAAGTTAATATTTAAGTTGTAAATATCTTTGCTTGTTTTATTTTTGAGCCTATCGATCACCCCTCGAACTTCACAGAATGTAACCTCCCTAAAAAAGAATTGCCCCCCTTTTATATTTAAATGTAGGTTTTGCAGACTTGCCAGAGGATTAATATTTTCATTGGGTATTTTACTTTGCAATTCAACTGCTATATTTACAAAGTAATCGTTAAATTCCGAGGCTGTTATGCCAGTCTCGTCATTTACAAATTTTTGTGGTTTACCTCTCAGCTCATTTACTATCTCCCACATGCACCTGCTTGGATTAACTGCATTTTGGATTTTTCTATCATTGCAATGGACCTTTGAATTTTTTATAGCTTTTTTGTAATCTTTTCGGTAGCTTTGGATATAAGACTTAAGTTGGTCATTTGGGAAGTGCCTGTAGATGTCATTTAGATGGCGCAAGTGTTCCCGCATATTTCTCAAATCGTTATTAAACCAATCTATGTTATTTGTGTGATGTTCTTTTATGTTACACATTTTTTGTGGAAAGGAGTCATTGAAAGCAGATCCAAGAAGATGCAGAAGGGTTTCAAATTTTTTATTTAGTATGATAGGGGAGTCAACAAAGCTCAAGTCAAAACCTGCCACCTTTTCAAAAAATTTGTTTTTCCCAATTTGTGTAATTGGTTGGCAGAGCTTTTTTATAGTTTTTGGTTTAATTTAATCGAATGAACAATTGATTGTAAGTAATTGACCCTCATGATCAGATTTACCTGGTGCTACAACTTGTGCGACAAAGTCACTCTCGGCAAAATTGATAAATATATCGTCAAGACAGTTTTCTCCTCGTGTTGGTTGAAAAATGGTCTGGAGAAGCCCATGAGATAATAGCATGTCTGTGAGTTCTTTGGACATTCGATCCTCAGTACAGAATTTGACATTGAAATCTCCTGCTAGGATGACCCTGCCTTGAGGACTAACCTGGCCTAAAATATGATCAAGTATGTTAATAAAGTTACCAAAATCCCCTGAAGGTGAGCGATATACTGACAGGATTGTTGCTTTATATTCAACGGACTTCACCCCACAGATCTCAATGCATTTCTCCACACTTAGCTGTTTGATGTCTGTCAGCTCAGTAAAATGAGTGTTTTTCTTAAGAAAAATTAGGGATCCCCCTCCTATAGATATTGTTCTGCAAAAGGATGCTGCTACTGTCATTTCTCCCATTCTCAAATGGTCCATTTCATTGATTTTCAGGAAATGCTCAGTAATACATATTAAGTATATCTATGTTTTTATCAAAGTGCTTTGGGCTTGACAAGCACAAAGCTCTCAAAGTGATCTGAAAAGTGCTTGAAGCACATCAAAAGTGCTTGGGGTGCCTTGAAAAGGGCTTCAAGCTCTTTAAATGTGCTTCAAGCTCTTTAAATGTGCTTGAAGCTCTTTATATGTGCCTAAAGCACTTTGAATTTGTAATAAAATTCTCAAAGTGGCATAAGCTACCGCGTACACTCATCACACAATTGGTATAGTAGAGACGAACTTTACATTTCATAGAGTATCAGTAGTATGTTTTGTTTGAGATGTAGTTCTGTGGTACTTGGGGTAGTTGGGGTACTACATGGTAATTCAATTTTAAGGTTTTCAAAATGTTCAATGGGGAAAAGTGAAAAAAATCCAGTGATAAAGTTAAATAGGATACCAATATAAATTAATTATTTATTTGAATAATAAGTTCATTCATTTTTTTTTTTAAATTCCATTCTAAGCTCAAACCCAAAACCTCCATTGTTAAGAGAGAAAAGACATAAGACGGTTCAAGTTCAAATAATAGAAAAAAAAATTAAAGGACAAAATACGATCGAAAATATTTAAGTGGGGGATAGGTTGAATGATGGTCAATTCAAATTCCTTTCAAAGTGCTTCAAGCCCTTTTAAAGTGCTTCAAGCCCTTTCAAAGTGCTTCAAGCCCTTTCAAAGTGCTTCAAGCTCCCAAAAGTGCTTCAAGCCCTCTTAAAGTGCTTCAAGCCCTTTCAAAGGGCTTCAAGCTCCCAAAAGTGCTTGAATTACTTTTTTCAATTACAAATTACCAAGCACTTTTCTAAAGTAATTGACTTTGCAAGCCCCAATTACAAATCTATAAAAGGGCTTGAAGCACAGAGCTTCCAAGTCCTCAAAGTGCTTCAAGCACTTTCGCAAGCACAAAGCACTCAAGCCCTGCCCAGCTCTGCCTTATGATTTAGATTTTGGAAAACTTTGGAAGGTCATAACCAAGGGGTGAATAGCTCTTGCAGTCGGTGTACATATTCCTCACAATCTTCACACAATCATTCACTATCAGATCACAATCGTTCACAATCTGTCACAATCTCACACAATCTTTCACAATCGTTACACAATCACACACAATCGTGACAATCTCTCACAATCGTTTCCCAATATCTCACAATCGTTACACAATCTCTCAGAATCGCTACACAATCAACCACCATCTGACACGTGAGGTCCCTCCAAATAGTTTTATTTGCTTCATTTTCGCCCATAATAGAATAGAATAGAATAGAAAAATACTTTATTGTCAAGAATACAGGTTCTGTAGACAAAGCAGACTAACATAATACTGACTAAAACTAAGTTGTATAAACGAATTTCAAAAACAGTAGATACATTTAACACATTAAAATTTTAAATACTTAACATTACGAGGACAAAATTGATTAAACTTAATCAATTACTCTTAAAGAATTAGCAGATGAAACTATTAAAAAGACTTGACCCTAATTAAAATTTTAGTAGCTTTGAAATCAGATAAGAAGTTGGATAGGAAAAATTGCTTACATTCGAATCTTTCTGAATTTTCTATTCAAAATGGATGTATTTTTCGAGGTCATAAGGCAGTTGTTTCAGGAAATTGAACGAATTAAATATAGCACATTTCGGCATAGTTAAAATGAAATCCCTGGCTAGAAGTTATTGTTATTGGCCAAGCATTACGAAAGATATCGAGGATATCGCAAGCAACTGCGCTGAATGTAATAAAATTAAAAATAATCCTGAGCAAGCACCAATACATCCCTGGGAACCAGCAAAAGAACCATTTCAACGAGTTCATATTGATTTTCTTGGACCGTTTTTCAATAACTATTATTTTATTTTGTTGACGCGTATTCTAAATGGCCTGAAATACATGCTGTCAAAGATATCACTACTAAAAACACATCAATATTGTTGTGTGACAAAATATTCTGTCTACTAAAAATAAGGAAATAAGCTTGTTTGACGACCTTACTTTTGTATGCCACCTGCAGCACACATTTCTGATCTCTAATTCTGAATAGGGAAATACTAAGGGGAATACCCTTAGGGAATACCCATAAACCCAATCTCAAAAATGTTTGGTTGCCATTGAGGTAGCTGGTTGCCAGGGTGGTGCGTGAGTGTTAAAAACGATTTTAAAATTTAACTTAAAAACCAAAACGAATTCACCTCAGATGGCCTAAAAATCCAGACCTAGACGTTGCAGAAAAAAAATTGTACAGGGTGTTTACAAATTTACGAGTAAGTACATATATGAATCTGGATAACCATAAGAGATGCAGGTTCGGTTAAATTGGGGCAAATTTACACGCAATTTCTTGGACCAAAATACCGTTTCGAAATCTGTTTTTATTTTTTCCTGGGCTTATTTTTGAAGAGAAACTTTAAAATGAATTTCATTTCATCGATGCCACTTTTTCTTTTTCTACAATATGGCTATCAAATTTGAAATCCGACGTTTCATCTTTGGGCCACGCCACCATCAAGTTTATTTTTTTGAATACGGCTCTGGCTTTTTGTGTAGTTCTTTGCTAGCTGACTTTTTTAATGGAATGGTGTATCAAAACAATCGATAAAATGAACATTTCAGTCAAAAAAGTAGGATATAATTTGTATGGAGAATGGAGATACTCATCTTTGTCAAGCAAACATAATTTACCCTCGAATTTACCCAAATATTATATTTGTTTTAAATAATGAGTTTCACAAAGATGAGTATCTCCATACAAATTATATACTTTTTTGATTGGAATGTTCATTTTGTCGATTGTTTTGATACACCATTCTATTAAGGAAGTCAAAAACTAACAAAGAACTAAATAAAAAATCAAGATCCGTACCTATTTAAAAAAATAAAGTTGATTATGTTGGCCCAAAGACGAAACGTCGGATTCCAAATTTGATAACGCCATATTGTAAAGAATAAAAATTGGCAATGATGAAGTGTCATTTATTTTGAAGTATCCCTTCAAATAATCTCAGGAAAAAAAAATGCAAAATTTCGTTTTTTTCCGGATAGGTATCTCCGGAAGTATTCGGAATTTTCCAGATTTCGAAACGGCATTTTGGTGAGCAAGAAATTGCGTAACTTAACCCAAATTTGACCGAACCTGTATCTATTATGGATACCGAGATCCGCATACTTACTCGCGAATTTGTAACACCCTGTATATAGTCCAATCCATTTTAAAAATTATCCCTCGAATTATACATTTACATTATCAAGTCATGTTTGAGTCATGAAAAAATAACAATATTTTTAAGCAAATAAAAGCCTAATTTGGAAAAAGTATCTACCTCACAGCAAATTCTTTATTATTTGTTATCATCTTCCTGTGTTATTAAAACTTTTGTCTGTCACGTCTGTCTGTGATGATTTTTTTAAAATTCAAACACTCATCATAGGTATATTTTAAAAATTCAGATTCCACTGGTGGCGCAGAGGAAACGCATGTTTCAAGTGTGTTGAACAACTTTCAAGAGGAGTTGGAGATGTGTAACCCCAAAGCAGGACATACACTCCTTGACTGACACTATTTTTCATTATTTATTGAAAAGTGCACTATTATAACTTCATTTTGCTGTACCTAATCGAGTACTTAATTGAAACAAAATTATCTTGAAGATAAAAAATGTTATGCTTGCTCATAACTATGTGGAAAACATGCGTTTTCTCTGCGCCACCCTGTACAACTGCTCAATCAGAGTAATGTGTATGAGAAAAATAAAAAAAACTGAATATTCTTAACACATTGCTTATGGTAATATTTTTCAATTTGTTATAATTACAGAAAAAATTTACTTTTGATATTTTATTCTAACCCAATTAATATTCCAGAGTTGTCTTCTCGCATTCACTTTTTTGAAACTGTATCAAAACAGGTTTGAAACAGTATATTCTCGCGATGAACCCATGATGTCACATCAAAATTTGTCAAACCGTTTTGAAATACAATCCAATCCACATTTTGAAACCATTCTCTCGAGCCGCGAAGTTTTGACGTCATGTGACATTGTTTTAAACTAGTTTTAAAAACGTTTTAAACCTTTGACACATGAGAAAACACCTATAGTCTTTACACAATCATTCAAAAGCCTTACACAATCAGTCACAATCACTCACAATCATGACAGAATCAGTCACAATCGCTCACAATCAGTCAAAATCCTTATACAATCATTCACAATCGTACACAATCACTCACAATTGTACACAATCACTCACAATCGTACACAATCGCTCACAATCTTAGCAAATTTCCTAAGAGATTGTGGAATTTGGCACTCAGTGTACACATTTTGGGTCAGCTATTCACCCCTCGGTCATAACTTTTTTCTATTATAGATAGAAAGCTGAAACTTTCACTGAATTTTATCCCAATCAAGGGACTACAATCCCTGAAAATTTCAGCTCATTTGCACTTATAGTTCCTGAGATAAAATCGTGTTAAGCAATTTGGGGTGATAATATTAGATTTTCAATTTTTCTGAGTGCCTTTTTTCATAGATTTCAGCTTCAAATCTGAGAATAATTTAGTGAATGGAGTTTGGGGTATGTTGATTGACCATTAGAATACAAAATCTTGACAAAAAAAAAATTTGAAATTTCACCGGTTTAGTAAGAAGGTTACCTACCTTATGATTTAGATTTTGGAAAACTTTGGAAGGTCATAACTTATTTTCTATTATAGATAGAAAGCCAAGTAGAAAGCTGAAACTCTCACTGAATTTTATCCCAATCAAGGGACTACAATCCCTGAAAAGCAAGTTGGGGGGGTGATTTATAAATTTTTCAATTTTGTGTGCCTTTTTTCATAGATTTCGGCTTCGCATCTGAAAATAATTTAGTGTATGTAGTTTGGGGGATCCCAAATGACCATTAGGACATAAAATCTCAACACAAAAATAATTGAAATTTCATTAGTTTAGTTCAAAGGCTGATTTTTGAAAAATCATAACCTTTTTTCTATGATGTTTCTAGGCAGGAATGTTTCTGTGGATCAGACGAACCACCTCTGAGCTCAAAAATTCCTGATTCTTCGTGCAACATGAAGTGCCCGGGAGATCCGCATGCGACTTGCGGCGGATATTACACTGTTAATATTTACCAGACGGGAATTAAAAGTATGTAGTTTATTATTTGGCTGATATATTTGAAACTTGAATTTGCCCGTTGCAGAATTTATGCCTCAAATCGCTAATGATAGTTCAATTAGCAACACCAACAAACCAGTAAAAATTGTATTTTTGCTTACATTAAATGGAAGGGCCTTGAGACAAGTAAAAAGACTATTGAAAATACTCTACCACAAAGATCATTATTATTTCATACATGTTGACATTGTAAGTAATAATTATTTTCATTGAAAAAATATACCTACCTAAATATACCAAAATTTTAGAGACAAGATTTTCTTTTTCGTGAACTCTTAGCACTAGAAAAATTTCCAAACATCCATTTAACAAGAAAAAGATTTGCAACTATATGGGGAGGAGCTTCTTTACTTGAAATGCTTCGGTCTTGCATGTCAGAACTACTCCAAATGAATTGGAATTGGGAATTCATACTAAATCTAAGTGAATCCGATTTTCCTGTAAAGCCTGTGCAAAAATTGACACGATTTTTAAGTGCCAACAGGCACAGCAATTTTGTCAAGTCACATGGAAGAGAGGTGAGAATTCTTTAATTAAAATATATAAGACAATTCATTTTATTGAATTTTTTTCAAGGTGCAAAGATTTATCCAAAAACAAGGCCTAGATAAGACTTTTGTTGAATGCGAGTACCGCATGTGGAGGGTGGGCAACAGAAAATTACCATTTGGCATACAGATTGATGGCGGCAGTGATTGGATAGCCTTATCAAGACCTTTTGTGTCTTATGTGGCCAATCCAATACCTGATAGCCTTGTTACAGGTAATCAATTAATATTAATTTTACAATTAAAAAAAAAAGAAATTCTAGGTTTATTAAAAGTCTTCAAACAAACTCTTTTACCAGCTGAAAGTTTCTTTCACACAGTTCTCAGAAATTCCAAGTTTTGCGACACTTATGTTGATAATAATCTACATGTGACCAATTGGAAAAGAAAATTGGGCTGTAAATGTCAATACAAACATGTAGTGGATTGGTGCGGTTGTAGCCCCAACGATTTCACTTTGGAGGATTGGCCCAAAGTCCTAAACACTCTTGCCAGGCCTTTGTATTTTGCCAGAAAATTTGAGCCAGTTATCAATCAAGCTGTGATTTTAAAGTTAGAGTTGTGGCTTCATAGCATTGAGAAACCTTCAAAGCGAGTGGAAAATTTGAATTCTTATTGGCAAAATGTTTATCATTATCAAGACTTAGGGATTCAAATGGATGATGCTTTGAAAACTTTAGCCAATAGTATTTCAAGGAAGACTTCAATTAACACTTCATGTCCTGTAAATTTGAAGACTCTAAGCCAAATTAATTCTTTTCATTTGAATGACCATTACAAATATGCATTGTTTTTGTATGAAGATATCGAAGTTGCTGTGAAAAATTTTGATAAAATAACAGTCACAAAACCCAGACCACTAATGGATCATTTGTCATTTTTAATGGTCAGCACTGATTATGATCAAAAAGAGCAACTTAGTAGGAATTTCATTAGGATACTATCACCATATTCTGAACCCGTATTGGTTTATAAATTTCAAAATCTGCCAAAAAATGGCAAACAATATAATTTGACATGTTTGTGGATAGATCCTGTAGGGAATTTAAGGGATGTTTCTGGAATTTCTTTGGAAGAGAACAGCTTGGTGGGACATGTGAAACCTAGTTTGAAACAGCCAATTTTACCAGGTAAGAATTTTTTTTTGTTGAAATTTCATGTATAGCCAATATTGTTTTAGGCATTTGGAACATCAAAATCCTTTACAAAGATACCCTCTTAGCCCAAACCTCTTTTCCAATCTTGCCATTAGAATTCCATACAGGCAAACCAATTACTAGCCATGAAATAGCCTTTTTACATTCTGGATTAACCTACTTGAACACTTTTGGAGATTCTTACTCGAAATTCTTGCCCAATGATTCCTTAAAAGGCCTTCTACAAGAAAAAGCACGTTTTAATTCACAAAAACAAGATGATAGCCTCTTAGAGTGGATTGACAGTTTGGTGAATACATTTTACTTTATTGATAAAGTATGTGTAAATGGTCAGGTTTGTGAAAAAATTGATCAGTGTAGAACTACGCAGTGGAGCAGTTTGGCTCCGGATCCTAAAAGTGCCATAAGTGATGTGAACGCGACTACCGGTATGTTTGATATTTGGTGATTACTTGCCCAAATAATAGTTAATTAAAAGGCCCCGAGATATTTTTTAGTGCCATAGTCTCGGGGCTATGATATTAGGAAAAAAGTTCTGTCTCTATTTTTGAGTCGAGACAGTTCTATAATAGAGTGGCCAATAAAATGCTCAATTTATGTCTGGTCCTATTTAAGCAATAATTATTGGCCACTCTTTAGGATTATAAGAAGAATTGTGATAAAAAATGGTGCTCAATTCTTTAATCTAAGTCTGATTGTAGTTAAGGAATGGTAGGAGTTGAGGTCATTTTAATTTTAGGTACCAATACTTATCCTTTTTTAATTTATTCCTATTTTATTTCTTAAGTTACATTCCAGTAAATTATTAGGTTTTAATGATTGGTTTGCTCATCTGTGTTTGACACAAATTATACCTATATTGAATAGAACTTGTGGTTCATTTCTACTACAGTTTGACGTTTGTTTTGCTTCTAATATTGAATTACAATAAAAACAATAGACTAAGAGCTTGGAATTTCTAGTTCTTAGTCATCAATTTGTAGATTAAGGATAATTCAATAAATTAATACATTATTTTATTAAGGTTGATCAAAAACATATTTTTTAAGAAACTGCGTGTAAATGACCAAAAAAGAAAATCTTGTAGCATCACTTTAGTTAGGTAATTTATCAAAATATTTTTGTAATAAAGTTAAGATTCAAATTTCCTGCCTGAAAATTATCTTTTGGACTTCCTGGCGGGATTCATACAATATTTTGTGCTGGGTACTAAATATTTTATGAAAATCTTATAGCAAAAAAATGACAATAAGAGTAGAAATTTATCTTATTGATAAAGTGCCCAGCACTTTTGTTTTGGTTCCAATCAATTGAAAATTGTCTCATTGGAATCAAAGCAATGATTTTCTAGTTCTCAAATCTAATGTTTCAAAAACACTCACTGATTGTTCCAATGTTGAAAACTTTGTAATTACTGTGACTTTATTAAAAACACTATTCAATTGTAATAAAACCTCAAAAATTACTTAAAAATATGCTTTATTTTGTTAGTAGAAGCTATAAGAGTTAGAATTAGTTGAATAAGAAGAAAAATAGCAAAAAAAATCCCATTTAAAAATTCAAAACTATTTATTTCTAATTGGTACGACAAGTACCAATGGTAATATTGCCTTCCACTTTAGTAGTGGCAAGATCAATTCCATCATTATTAAGGTACACGTTTCTAATGCACCCTACATAAGGAGTACGCGAAACAATTCCTCTGACTCTCTTAATAATCCTGTGACCCCCTAGGAACAAGGCACTTCCAGTGTCACTAGAAACAGCAGACGGAATACCAATTTTAGGATCGGTAAAGATGTTATCCACCGAAAGAGTGATTACGTTTTTGGATTTAACAGCTACAATAAAAATAATTACTTCAATCATACATAAACTTATAATAATTGCAATTACCTTGTATCTCATGCCATTGTCCGTCACACAAAGTGAAATTATTATTGCCAGGAGGCACATAAGTAGCAACAACTGGACCTCTGCCATTTTCTACAGTCAATCTCAAATGCCCATTATGCATTTCCAAGACTACAAAATCTTTTTTACCATGCACCGCTACAAGTAAACCTGAATTGACTCTAGGTTTGATTTCCATTTTGATGTTAAACTCTTGTCCGACATTGTAATGTTCTCTTAGTCGTATATAAGTGTTCAAACCTCCTCCAAAGAACGTACCGGCTTCAACATTATCAGAACATGGTATGATGTCGTATTGTTTTGGGAATTCTAAAGGTTTGTCGTTCATGTTAAGATTTTTGATGCATCCATTGAATTGGGTAGTTGTGTTCTAAATAATTCAAACAATAATAATTGTTAGTGTAACAAAAATTTATACACTTACAAGATTTGGTAAGACTTTGTCATAATCCTCCAAAGGCACTCCGCCAACATAGAAAGGTATATGAAGATCCAGTGAAGGTGTTTTATGCGGTATCCTTCCAGATAAATCTCTGCCATCTATAACCATTTTACCTTCAGCACCGTCTCTACTAAACTCAATTATATGCCACTCATTATCATTGTAAGTCAATTGAGATCTTAATATTAGAGGTGTCGCATGTTCACCCTTAAAGGTAAATATGAGATAACCATCTTGCAAAAGCAACGAGGCATAATGAGTGTGACTTTTCAAGTCGGAAACGTAGAAAATAATTCCGTTAGCAAAACTGGATTTGAACTCCAAACTGAAATCGAAATTCTTGCGGAATTTGCCTCTGGGAGTGTTGAATTCGATGCGGCTTCCCGGCTGGGTTCCAAAACGGTTTCCGCTCTGTTGAATATTTTCTTCTGCTGGTTCCAATGGTAGGGCGCAACCTTGATGGACAGGCTAGAATTGGAATATTGTAAATTGTTTTTTTTTTTATAAAACTTGTGCTTACTTTAGGTGTTGTTATTGGCACTCTACCAATAGGTGCTCTAGGCAAAACGGGCAATTCAGGTTCAGCTGGTTTCGGTTGTGGAGTGGATTCTGGTTGTGGTTCTGGTTTGGGTTCCTTGGGTAGGAAGTCGATGCCGCCGTCACCTCTAGCACCTTTAACTAAAAGAAAATAGAGCTGTCAATATTTGAAGGTAGTTACTTAAAATTCTACTTCAAGTACATAAAAGTATTTTTTTCCCCCTTCGAATTCTGATTTCAAAATCTTCAAACCTCAATTGCTCGATAACTGTTGAGCAAATTGCATTGAAATTTTCAGCATTTGTAGCTCTTATTGAACTCTAAATGGCCTGTAAATTACAATATTCCTGGGTTTATAGTTTTTGAGCAAATTGAGTTTGAAGTTTTAGACAAAATTTAGATTAAAAGTTAACTTTGAAGCTCAATTACTCAAAGACTTTTTGAGCTATCAAACTCAATTTTACACGGATTTATAGAGAATTTAATGCTCTTTCCAACGGTATATAATTTATTTTAATTTGCTCAAAATTTAACAACGATATGGGCAATTGCTCAAGACATGTCAAGATTTGGAAAATTTGCCAAAGCCAAAAATAAGATTTCCTTTCTATTTTTGTTTTTGTTTACTATGGGCATTTGAAAATGATGTCAGGGTTGTTTTCCACTAATTTTGACTCGCTCTATCGGTTGGTGGAGTCAAAATTGAGCCAAACTAAAAAATAAAAAAATCGAGTTTTTTATAAGGGGTACCCCTTTGAATTTTGATTCCAAAATCTTCAAACCTCAATTGCTCGGTAACCGTTGAACAAATTGCATTGAAATTTTCAGCATTTGTAGCTCTTATTGAACTCTAAATGGCCTGTAAATGACAATATTCCTGGGTTTATAGTTTTTGAGCAAATTGAGTTTGAAGTTTTTGACAAAATTTAGATTAAAAGTTAACTTTGAAGCTCAATTACTCAAAGACTTTTCAAGCTATCAAACTCAATTTTACACGGATTTATAGAGAATTTAATGCTCTTTCCAAAGGTATATAATTTATTTTAATTTGCTCAAAATTTAACAACGATATGGGCAATTGCTCAAGACATGTCAAGATTTGGAAAATTTGCCAAAGCCAAAAATAAGATTTCCTTTCTATTTTTGTTTTTGTTTACTATGGGCATTTGAAAATGATGTCAGGGTTGTTTTCCACTAATTTTGACTCGCTCTATCGGTTGGTGGAGTCAAAATTGAGCCAAACTAAAAAATAAAAAAATCGAGTTTTTTATAAGGGGTACCCCTTTGAATTTTGATTCCAAAATCTTCAAACCTCAATTGCTCGGTAACCGTTGAACAAATTGCATTGAAATTTTCAGCATTTGTAGCTCTTATTGAACTCTAAATGGCCTGTAAATGACAATATTCCTGGGTTTATAGTTTTTGAGCAAATTGAGTTTGAAGTTTTTGACAAAATTTAGATTAAAAGTTAACTTTGAAGCTCAATTACTCAAAGACTTTTCAAGCTATCAAACTCAATTTTACACGGATTTATAGAGAATTTAATGCTCTTTCCAAAGGTATATAATTTATTTTAATTTGCTCAAAATTTAACAACGATATGGGCAATTGCTCAAGACATGTCAAGATTTGGAAAATTTGCCAAAGCCAAAAATAAGATTTCCTTTCTATTTTTGTTTTTGTTTACTATGGGCAAAGAATATTATAGTTAACACTTATAGAAAACCTATTCCATGTATATTTTTTGACCCCCAAATGGAGCCAGACTTTTCGAGCCGGGCTCCATCGGAGTGGTAGGCTCGCCGTAATCAACGTGGTTCCAGTTGATGGCTACTCGGCGTTGCCATATGTCCATATAAATATGTATAATAATAACTTTAAAACGGTGACCGCGCTGATGTGAAAAAACACGATATGCGGGAAAAAAATGGAAGGTTTTGTCTTGAAAATATCGCTGAAAAATTGCTAGACGATAATAGCAGTTCGAACTCGAGTTTCTCACAGAAATATCAAAGTTTTTCAATTTTTTTCTGGAAAACTGACTAAGTAATAATTGTGCAATTTTTTCAGGTGAAAGACGAAAGTGAGGAGCTTATTATAGGAAAATTTCAAATTTTTCCAATGGAAAATCATCCCAGGAAAAATTCTGGAAAATTGACTTTTTTAAGCAGAATTCATTTTCTTAAATTACATTTATTTCCTAGAAAACTGGCAAACGGAAAATTGTGAATTTTTTTCAGAAAAAAGAGGAAAGTGAGGATCTTATTATAGGAAAATTTCAAAATTTTCCAGTGGAAAATCATTTCAGGAAAAATACTGGAAAATTGACTTTTTTAAGTAAAATTCATTTTCTTTCTTTTTAGTTTTTTTCGAGAAAACTGGCAAAAGGAAAATTGTGAAAATTTTCCAGAAAAAAGAGGAAAGCGAGTTCATTAAAGTAAATTTTTAAAATTTTCTAATGAAAAGTCACTCGAGGAAAAATTCTGGAAAATTGACTTATTTAAGCAAAGTTACGGAAAATTTACCCTCTTACATTTTAATTTTTTTCTTGAAAACTGGCAAAGGGAATATTTTGAAAATTTTCCAGGAAAAAGAGAAAAGTGAGGAGCATATTACAGGGAAATTTCGAAATTTTCCAGTAAAAAATCATTCCAGGAAAAACTCAAAGAAAATTGACTTATTAAGGCAAAATTGAAGAAAATTCACCCTCTTACATTTTTACAGGAGAAAGAGGAAAGTGAGGAGCTCATTAGAAGAAAATTTCAAAATTTTCCAGTGAAAAATTACTCCAGGAGAAATGTATTTATACATGTATATTTTCGGATAACTGAATAAACTCTATTCTAAGTTAAAATAGTATATTTCCTAACTAGTGCGGAAAGTACCACTTTTCCGCACGCGATTGCAGTTTATCGACCGACGCGCAGCGAAATTCGGCAAGCAATCAAGTGCGGAAAAGATACTTTCCGCACGAGTTAGGAACACTATTTTTTCTACGAGATGAAAGGTAATATTTTCATCTACATAATTATCAATTTAAGATATTTTTTTTCACTTTTTTGTACCTGTACCTGGTAGTATATCCTGTTAATCTGTAAGTACAGGGTGGCCCAAAATCGAGCCTCATCATTGGGATTTTGGAAACCGTAAGAGATACAGGGTCGGTTAAATTATGGCAAAGTTGCGCATTTTGATGCTCAACAAAATGCCGCCTTGATATTCAGGATATTCCGAATACTTCCACTTTTTCTCCCCTACAAGATGCTACCATCAAATTTAAAATCTGACGTTTCGTCTTTTGGCCACCATCATCAACATATTTTTTTTTAAATACAACCCTGGATTTTTTATTTCTGATTTTGAGAGCTTCTGATGTTCCAAAACCTATGACGTATCGCATTTATCCGAAAATAGTTATTTATGCAACAAGTGTGTAAAGTGAACCTTTTTTCACGAATGTGAATTTTGACGCACGAGCCGAAGGCGAGTGCGACAATCACATGAGTGAAAAAAGGTGCTTTACGCAAGTATTGCATACAAAATTTTTTCTACTACCAATCAAATATGTGTACGAAAATAAATTTAGTCAAATACTTCACGCGCTAGTGCGTAAAGAATTTTCATTTTACGAACTAGTGCGTGAAGTGATTTACCAGAAAAATGCCAAATTGACAGTGTCGACATCTGTCATTGACATTACTTTACGCACTAGTGCGTGAAGTGAAATTTTACGTCTTCTGAATAGCGCGTAAAGTGAGTACTTTACGCACGGTAGTAGAAAAAAATATTTTTTTTTTTACTTCTTAGTAATTTCCTACCAAAATTCTTTTCTCTGTCTCTCTCTAACACATTTAGTTTTTATGGAAAGTGCCAATAATATAAATTTTTCGAATAAATGCGATTCGTCATAGGTTTTGGGATATCAGAAGCTCTTGAAATCTGAAATAAAAAACGAGGGTCCGTATTTAGAAAAGTAAAGTTGATGATGGTGGTCCAAAGACGAAACATCATATTTTAAATTTGATGATAGCATCTTGTAGGGTAGAAAAAGTGGCTAAGATGAAGTAATATTTTTTTTGAAGTATCACTTCAAATAAAGTCAGGAAAAAATAAACATTTTGCAAAATTCCGGTTTTTTCTGGATATCTCCGGAAGTATTCGAAATATCCTAAATATCAAAGCGGCATTTTGTTGAGCATCAAAATGCGCAACTTTGCCATAACTTAACCGACCCTGTATCTCTCACGGTTTCCGAGATCCCAATGATGAGGCTCGAATTTGGGCCACCCTGTACCTGTATACCTAAAAATTTCAGGTATTCTACTTTTCGGCACGGAGTGGAAAAGTGATCATTTTTCCGCACTCGGTGCGGAAAAAAACGGAAAAGCACTAGGCGGAAAAGTGATACTTAAATGACCTAAAATGCGTGCGGAAAAGTACACTTTTCCGCACGCTCGTAGAAAAAATTTATTACAAAACAATAATTCCGAAGGTGCTCTTTGAAATAATCTATGACTTAATCTTTTCTTTAAATTGTTATGACGTCATCGATGACGTAAGTAAAAACCCTCGTGTCGTGCAACGAACTATACATATCGGGTCTTCAAAAAAAAAAAACAATCAAAGATTGCTTTGGTTACGAAAACGTACGCATTATTGTTTGTATATTGGTCAGGATTTTTGACATGACATTTTGACATTAAATTTCATTGACTGACATTGTCAAAATTAAAGAAAAATATTGCTAAGACGTACGTTTAAAAAACCATAGCAATCTTTGATTGGCTTTTTTTTTGAAGACCCGATATGTTTGGTTGAAATTTCAGACATTTAAAAAGCTATTTTTCAAAAAGGCAAATGACGTAAGTACAAAACCCTCGTAAAACTAATTTTTTTTTACGCGTCTCATTTCGTCAGCACCCCTTGTATTTGGAGTTAGTTGCGCTTATGCACATCCTGAAAATGCCAGACAAAAAAAAAATCCTGTGCAATTCACACCCGGTAGAAGTGAAACCTTCATCGAACTGCATGCATTAAGCCTCATTTACACGGTGCAAGTAGCTTGAGCAAGTACTAACGCCAGTAACTAAAATTTAGTAACTTGAATCGTGTAGACACCTTAATTTAGTACTTGAGCAAGTAAACGCTTTAGTCAAGTAATTAGTCAAGTGAATAGAAGCTGGTTCTATTTACTTGAGCAAGTGGCTTCCCCCTCTCGTTCATTTTACTGACTTTAGCGGGCTGGACGTGTGTAGACAGGATTTGTATTTATTGATTAGTGAAGTACATTAGTGGGGTTTGAATTTGAATATTTTGAGTATTGTGTTGCACCTTGCACCTATTAGTTGCCTTTGCAATGTCGTCTGTAACTGCTTCCTGTTGCCAGATATGATAGTGTAATTTCCAATGTAATTTTTACTGGAATAGCAGGTCTCATTACAGTATCTTGTGTGCTAATCATGGGTTTTATTTCGAAAAGTTAACTTATTGAATTGTTCTTTTGTCATCCGCATACAATTTCGATATTCTTTTGGATCTTCCTTAGCCAGTTCAACCAATAATGTGGAAGATGCACCATGTGTTTCTCTACGAGATATCCATGGTCGAACCCAACAACGTTTTCCATTTTCAATTTCTTTCAATAAAATGTGTGATAATTCTCCATAAACACTCAAAATGCATTTTTAAATTTCTTTTCGAACAACTGTACTTGCTGCCATTTCACCTCAATTTGCACTAATCACTAAATTCGACTTAAAATCAGTAAAATGCATGTAAACACCCACTTGCACGAAAACAAAGATAATTTAGTTACTGGCGTTAGTACTTGCTCAAGCTACTTGCACCGTGTAAATGAGGCTTTACACACATACTCACATAGACAGTGGCGTCCCCCCCTCCAAAAGACTTGAGAAAGGAACGCAAATAAATATAGTTCAAAAAAACTAAAATACACGCTGGGGTGTTTGGTTCCACATTTTTCATACATTGAGCACCCCACGCTTTTTTGACAATAATTTTAATATTTTTTGTTCATTAATATTTTCTGTTTATATTAAAAATTATTTTTCACTTTTTAGTTCGATGTATCAAAAGCGTGTTAGCCCCAGATATTTCCAGACTTTTCCAGACATTATTCAGACTTATTCAGGGCTTTCCAGAGTTTTCCAGATTTCATCCAGATTTATCCAGACCTGTACAGACTGATCCGGATTCTGGAAAATGATTCCCAGGTCTTTTGGAACCTTTTTCAGAATTTTTCCGACCCTTCCAAGAAATTTCCAGGCATTTTCCAGACGTTTCCAGAGATTTCCAGGCATTATCCAGACTTATCCAGAGCTTTCCAGAGTTTTCTAGACTTCATCCCGATAAATCCAGACTTGTTCAGACTGATCCGGATTCTGGAAAATGATCCCCAGGTCTTTTGAGACCTTTTTCAGATTTTTTCCAACCCTTTCCAGAAATTTCCAAGTCTGGAACGTTTCCAGACAATATCCAGACTTATCCAGAGTTTTACAGAGTTTTCCAGACATCATCCAGATTAATCCAGACTTGTTCAGACTGATCCGGATTCTGGAAAATGATCCCCAGGTTTTTTGGGACCTTTTTCAGAATTTTTCCAACCCTTTCCAGAAATTTCCAAGTCTTTTCCAGACGTTTCCAGACTTTTCCAGACTTTTCCAGACTTATCCAGAGTTTTACAGACTTTATCAAGATTTATCCAGACCTTATCCAAACTTGTACAGACTGATCGGGATTCTGGAAAATGATCCACAGGTCTTTTGGGACCTTTGGCAGAATTTTTCCGACCCTTTCCAGATATTTCCAGGCTCTTTTCAGACGTTTCCAGAGCTTTCCAGAGTTTTCCAGACTCTATCCAGATTAATCCAGACTTTTTCCAGACTTGTTCAGACTGATCCGGATTCTGGAAAATGATCCCCAGGTCTTTTGGAACCTTTTTCAGATTTTTTCCAACCCTTTCCAAAAATTTCCAAGTCTTTTCCAGACGTTTCCAGAAATTTCCAGACTTTTCCAGACAATAACCAGACTTATCCAGAGTTTTACAGACTTTATCCAGATTTATTCAGACCCTATCCAGACTTGTACAGACTGATCCGAATTCTGGAAAATGATCTCCAGGTCTTTTGGGACCTTTGGCAGAATTTTTCCGACCCTTTCCAGAAATTTCCAGGCTCTTTCCAGACGTTTCCAGAGATTTCCAGACTTTTCCAGACTTCATCCAGATTTATCCAGACTTGTTCCAGCTCACTTGGCTTGTTCCAGGTTCCTGTTGTGTGTTGTGTGTTTGTATTAATATAAGCGTGTTAAAAAAGTGTTGCTTTTTCGTTTAGTTTCATCGGGTCGCTTTTTCGTTTCATCGAGTCTCAATCACTCCCAACGATTCTAAAGAAGTTTCCACTTCAAAAATGACTCCACTCAACATTCCCTATCTCACGCAGAGCATAATTTTGTTTTAGTTTATATATTTTTTATTTATACAGCAAATTAGACGTAGCAACTAGGTATCATCTAATATGTCGATGTAAAAAATTCTAAAACCGCCGCGGCAGTTAGTATATCATCTTACAAGGTAAAATCACAGAAAATATATTAAATGCCCGAGAGAATCGCGCAACGCTGTTAAAATTTGTTTGCCGAAAAGCTAGCGCGAATATAATTTATTTCAATTTATAACACCGGAGCAGCGCCTCTAGCGGTCTGCCGTCGCCCATAAGCGTAGGTTTTCTATAGTTAACTATAATATTCTTTGCTATGGGCATTTGGAAACGATGTCAGGGTTGTTTTCCATTAATTTTGACAGGCTCTATCGATTGGTAAAGTCAAATTAGAGCAAAACTAAAAAATAAAAAAATCGAGTTTTTCATAAGGGTACCCCCACTACCCCCCTTTGAATTCTGATTTCAAAATAGTCAAAGCTCAATTGCTTGGTAACCGTTGAGTAAATTGCATTGGAATTTTCAACATTTGCAACAACTTTACTCGAAGCTCAATGTTTTTACTTGAAGTAAATTACTTGATAAAATTCAAGTAAATTTCAAGTTTATTTGATTGAGCATAATTTTGGAAAACTTGTACTTGTTCTTCAAGTAAATCTATCAAATATATTCACTTCATACTTGTACTTTAAGTACTTTCCTAATGTACTTGTGTCGGCTCTGAAAGAAAATAATACTTACTTGGCACATATGGATTTTCAGTCACGACTGGTTCAGTGGTTACCGGTGGCAAAGTTGCGTCTACAAGTGGATCAAATGCAGGCACTAGAAATTAATATGTTATACGACAAATATATTTCAATTCAAATAAAAACTCACATTGATGTACTGAAGGATCAATAGGCAAAAATCCTCGATCCAAAATACACTTGTCCAAAATCTCAAACGATTTATCAGTAGTGTTGGCAAAGTTCTTTACGTTTCCATTAACAGTCAGATCTGCAATGCATCCGTGGAATGGTTGTTTAGAACCTAAAGTTCCAGAGGCAACTTTGTAGTTTCTGGGTAGTCCTCCTACGTACATATTTGCAAATAGGATATGTAATGGTGGCGGAGTACTGTCGGTGACTTTTTTGCTATAATCATCAAAATCGACCCTCAAATTTTGATTATTGTGAATCACAGAGACCACGTGCCAATCGCTGTCGTTGAAAGTTTCACTGGAAACCAATTCGATTTTTTGACTAATAACTTTTAAATGTCCATTGACTATGGACAACGACATTCCATTACTCTGATCTGAATCGGTTATATAGAATATCAAACCATCTTTTTCTTTGGTTTTGAATTTTAGGGAAACTCTAAAATCGTTGTCTACAGACATGCGATCCCAACCTACGTAACCTGGACGAGATTTGTTGAAGGAAACCATTGAAGCAAACTGGAAAATGAATCATTAGCATCAATAAGAATATTGTTGGTGATTTACCTTGGCAGGACATCCAGGTGTAGCTCCATAGGACTTAACATTATCCCTCAAATCTACTGGTTCCCCAGTTATGGTGATATTATTAATGCATCCATCGAATTTAACATTAGTTACATCAGGGAAGTGATGCACATGCGGATAACCACCAAACGAAAGAGTTTCAATAAGCTCCAAATTATTCCCACTAATCTCCGTTGTCCTATCAATAGCTTCTTCCGAGTCGATTTTAAGTTTTCCTCTTGGTCCTTCCCTAGTGGCCGACACTTTGTGCCAATTACCATCATTGAAACGTCCCGAGGAAACGAATTTCTTGGTTCCACTACCCAAGTTGTACTGGTATAAGACTTTGCCTTTTTGTAGTTCTAGAGCCATGAACGTTTTGTCTTTGCCTGCTAAAAATATCAGACCTTCTGGGGCGTACGTTTTGAAAGATAAAACCACGGCGGATCGGGCTCGGAGTTGGTGAGATCTTGCATCGATTATGGCGTAGCCTTGACCGTTGAAACTGAGTCCTGTGCTGGGTTCTAGATCTACCAACCTGTCACTGAAATACATGATCAGTTAATGATGTTAGAATATCTTGTCTAGAATGAAATTAGGTAGGTGATTCTGGAATAGAGACCAGGAGGGTCTACAACTACAATCATGGACACTGCAATGACACTATCAGTTCTAGCCTTTATTTTTGGTGATTTCAATTACCCCGAGATTGATGGGAAAAGTTTAACGCATTTCCAACAAGTTTTCAGCGATTTTCTTGATATCTATCAAACGATGAATGCTTTCTAACTGATAACTTTTCTAACCAGATTTAGAGGCGGTCAATACTCACTCCTCGACTTAGTAGTGGTAAATGACAAAAAACTTCTATATAATATTTGCAGTGAATCCCCTATAGTAAGTGACCATGTATTACGAGCAATATTTCGTCATATAAAAAACAAAAGGAAGCTATGGGATAGGTACACAAGGAACAGCAATCAAAACAATTACGAATCATACCGAAGAGCAAATAACGTAACATAAGGCCCTTTCAGTTATCATCCTGATTAAGTCAATGTCAAAGATCCTCTGGTAACTGATTGAGTTTAATGTTGTAAGCTTGGAGTTTCTTTTTGAATAAATTGGATCTTCAAGAATCAAGTCCAGTCTTTCAATGTTGTGTACCTAAATACACAATAGGAGGGACTTGGACCTCTTTTACTTTCAGGAAAACCGTTCTTGACAGGGTGCAAAGACTTGCTTGTCTGGGCATTACAGGGTGCATGAAAAGCATATCAACAGCAGCTATGGAAGTCCTACTAAACCTACCTTCGCTACTGTAGTAGCCAAACATGACTTTTTAATGATGATCTCTAAACTCTCTTACCGTTCTTTAGCTCCATGATTATTCTCGTAAGCATCCACAAAGTTCCACAACGACACTGGCGTATTACCAATGACCAACTCTTCAATCTCACCCTCAAACGAATTCACGTCAATGTCCTTTTGCATTTCATAGTTAACTGGAAAACTGCCCACAAACAATTTGGATTTGTCCTTATCCAAATTGAATATCGTGTAGGGGCCTGTTAAAGCTTTTTCGGCGGTTTCAATGTTTTCTTGTCTGTTTGGTAATTCCTCGCGGATACTTAATTTTGCATTATGACCCACTCGTTCGATGATAAATTGTCTCCACACGTTATCGGCTACGGGTTTTTTTAGTATGACTTGATCAGGGCCGTTGCCGATGTCCAGTTTCAACACCGGATAACCGTTTTGGACTACCAAAGCCATATAATCGTCAGATTTGGTTTTGCGCAAATTGGTGCCGTTGGGATTACCGAGATAGTATATTAATCCATTTGGCTTATCGGTTCTGAAGTATCCGCTGATTTTAGTTGAAGTGGTCATGTCTTCAATGTTATCAGGATTTCTAAGTTCTAGAGTTGTGTTTGAATAGAATTTGACTCCTACTTTAAGTCTGTTGGCCAAGTCTCTAGCTAGCTCGATTTGGTTGTTGAGTTTGTTAATTTTGTTTTTTATGTCTTCGGAAGATCGGTTGCGTTTTTTCTGGGCTTCTGGTAGTTCTTCCAAATGTTTCAAGACTGTTGGTAAAGTTTCATTGACTGTGGCTATTTGATTTCGGGTTTGATCCAAGTTGCGTCCAATATCATCCAAATCTTTTGGGAGTTTAATGGCTTTGGCTTTTTCTTCGGGAAGCTAAAAAAATAAGCATTACAATAGTAATTCAATTTAAATAATTAAATTCTTACAGTGACAAAAGAAGCATTAACGGTTTCGTTTATCATACTAGTGAAACTTAAAGCATTGTCAGCCATGTTAGAAGCATTTTTGAAGCTTTTATCCAATGCAGGTGCGTGGAGTTTTTGCAATATTTGCTCGATTCCTTGCAGAATAACATCATTATCAGCTTGTGTTTGTTTTAGTGGCCCAAAAATCACTATGGATTGCTTCAATGCTGGCTCCAAAGTGTCTCGAATGCTTTGGTCAAGCCTAAAAAAATAAAATTAATTGATTTATATTGTCAGATTGTTCATAGGTACTTGTGAGCATCATCTAAGGTACTGCTAGAATTCGATTCAGCTTCCATTGTCCTTTGTTGAACAGTACTCAAGATATTAACAGCATGATCGGTGTCGTTTTTAGCATTTTCTGCAGCTTCATGGGCGCTTTTAACAGCTTCAGCAATGTCTTTGTAGGCTCTGGCTGCTTTGATGGCATCGTTGGAATCCAATTGGCTGTCCGACAAGATTCTTTCCAAATTTTGTACTTTTTGCGACAAATTTTCAGCGTGAGCTTGTACTGTAGGCTTTAGTTCTTTGATTTTTTCGATTTCGCCTTGATTTGTGTCCAATCTAGAAAAAATTTAGGTGAGTTTGTATAAGTACTAAAAATGTGTACCAACCTGACTTCAAATTCACTGTTTCTAGTTTCTAATTCCTCAGGTGAATCTGAGAGTTGCTTCAGTTTTCCTATGCTGATTTCCAATAAATCGGAGGCGTTTGCTAAAAGAGCTTCAGAGTCTTGCAGGTTTGCTTTGGATTGGGTTATTTGACTTTGGATGTTATCTAGTTTTCCTTTTAGGCGCTCTTTTCTGTAAGAAAATGCATTTAGACATATTTTTCTACTACCATGCATAACTCAACCTCGAACCACTCACAAAAAAAACCTAATATTGTGTTAAAAATATCAGTTTTCATGTAATAATGCCCGTTAAATCATTTTTTCTAAAAAATACTCCGAATGATTAGAGTGACTTTAATCCTTCAAAAGGACCCTGCCCAAAGTATACGGAGGATGTTTATGTCAGAATTGGCTGAATTTTGTATATAATGTAGATTACGCGCCTTCCTGATTTAAAAGTTACGATTGCACCAATCCTGAAAACTGATTCTTTTTTGAGAAAATTAATTTCATAGGTAGCAAGTAAAACGCTTATGGACATTGTAATGAACGTACATACAAATAAGTGGATTGTTGCGGAACTTATGGGTGGACCTCTGCGGGACGAGCGCAGCGAGTTCCGCAGCCATCTACTCACCAATATACTGCTGAACTGTTCAAATAAGACACTCATTTGACACGTGTAGCTTTTGAACTAACGAGAAAAATTCACAACTGACTGAATCAAGTTATACTTGAACAACATATTGGTGAATAGATGGCTTGGTTCACCCATAAGTTCCGCAACAATAAACTCGTTTGTACTTGAATAGCTTGTCACAACATATTACTAGTTTGGTAAAGTAACATTACTAATTCTTGTTAAAAGGTAAATTGACAAAATGTGGATAATCTTACAAATTCTGACTTTATATAATAAGTTATTGTTCAAATACAAATAAGTGGATTGTTGCGGAACTTATGGGTGGACCTCTGCGGGACGAGCGCAGCGAGTTCCGCAGCCATCTAATCACCAATATACTGTTAAACTGTTCAAGATATTCACCTGAAACGTGTAATTTTGAAACTAATGAGAATAACGGACATTTGAGTGAGTCAGTTTACCATCGTAATTAAACAACATATTGATGAATAGATGGCTGCGGAACTCGCTGTGCTCGTCCCGCAGAGGTCCACCCATAAGTTCCGCAACAATTCACTCATTTGTACTTGAATAACTTGTCACATTATGTTACTAGTTTGGTGAAGTAACATTACTAATTCCTGTTGAAAAGCAAATTGACAAAAAGTGAATAATCGTAATCTAACAAATTATGACTTTATATAATAAGTTTTTGTTCAAGTACAAATAAGTAGATTATTGCGGAACTTATGGGTGGACCTCTGCGGGACGAGCGCAGCGAGTTCCGCAGCCATTTACTCACCAATATACTGCTGAACTATTCAAATAAGACACTCACCTGAAACTTCTAGTTTTTGAACTAATGAGAATAACTGACATTTGAGTGAGTCAGGTTAGTATCGTGTACTTGAACAACGTAGGAGGTATTAATGAATAGATGACTGCGGAACTCGCTGCGCTCGTCCCGCAGAGGTCCACCCATAAATTCCGCAACAATCCACTCGTTTGTACTTGAATAACTTGTCACATTATGTTACTAGTTTGGTAAAGTAACATTACTAATTCCTGTTAAAAGGCCAATTGACAAAAAGTGGATATATAATCTTACAAATTCTGACTTTATATATGATAAGTTATTGTTCAAGTACATACAACGTAACACAAATAGGTAAGCTTATAGCGCAGTGGTGTGCTACGTATAGTAATTTTTCAGGATTGGTGCAATGGTAACTTTTAATCAGAAAGGTGGCCAAGGTCCCTAAAGTGAATTTGGAGTTTATATTGTAAGTAGTAGGAAAAAATTTGTATGTAAAATGTGTGTAAAACCCCTTGTTTCACACATTCGTGAAGAAATGGTTCACTTTACACACTTGTTGCATAAAATTCTTGGCTTCGAGTCAAATGAAAAGTTGAAAATAAACCTGCTCATTCGTAGCATGCTGGAATTTAATCCACATACTTCTACTGTACCCCTATTATAGTTATTTCTTGATTTTAAATAAATAAAAAGACATTGAAGATAATAATTGTTTATTATAAGTGAGCATGTAATACAGGAAGTAAAGGTGATGACCTAAAAATTGCCTAAAATCCAATGAGAATCTAAAAATAGAATCATTATCTTTATTTTTCAATATCAAAATCATATGTAGGCCAGATGTTTCCGTTCTTTTGATTAAATTGAGGATTTTACGAACATCCGCTTGAGAAACACATTGCGTCAATTTAAATTTGCCGCCATTAAAATTTATCGGCCAATCGCGAGAAAATCCTATAAACGAGGGGACCATTTTATTTTCGCTCTCTTTCTATTACATTAAAATCAATGTAAAATAAACGTATGTCTTAGCAGAAATGTCAGCACATTTGACATTTCAAATTTAGGTTATGTCATTATTGCTCACAGTTTGTTTTGATTTTACAAGTTTCAAAGAAAAAAAATTAATTTTCCACAAATTATAAACAAATTCATGAAATAAAAATGCTCCCTACCAAGGGCTACTTTCAGGACATCGAGTGTCCATTTTTCAATACAACATGCGGCCGGCCCTATTGTCATTTCAGACACAAAAAGAAACCTAATGAAAATGTCGAAGACCCAGTGGAAAATTCTTCTACAGATGTTGTTCCCACATACAAACCTACTCCCAAAAGTGAACTGGCTAAAAACCACATTCCAATTAGCTATGTGCCAGATTTAGCGTATAATCGAGAAAGATCGGTAAGGCCTATACGAAATGAAAAACCCACTTACAAGCCGACTCCTTTGAGTATTTTAAGTTCAGTAAATAACCCAACAAATGAAAACCACGAGCACAGAGAAACCATTAAAGATATAGAAAATAATATTGCCAGTAACGTTTATGACCCATTTAAATCAGAAATCAATTTCGAAGACTTATCTACTGAATTTGAACTTATCGATGGTATTATAAATGAGTCTGCTCAAGAAGAACCACAAGATGTTATCAACGATAATATAGAACAGTTAAATAATGACATTGAAAAACAACAAAATAAGTTGGATTTGTTGAAATCAGAAATAAAAACTAATAATGATGAGGAAGATAAGAGTTTGAAATTAGAAATAACAATAAGTAAAGATAACAAGGAGAGTGTAAAGTTGGATGAAGGTAAAAATATTAAAAAGGAAAAGTTGAGTAGAGAAAAATCTAATAAACATAAATCTAGTAATGATAAGGATCATAGAAAACACAAAGATAAAGAAAAGAATAGTGATAAAAGCAAACATAAATCATCCAAAGATGAACAAGAAAAAGATTCAAAGAAAACTTCTTCCAAGTCGCATAAAAGTAGTGAAAGGGAAAAACATAGAAAAGAAGAAAATAAAAATAGTGACAAACATAAAACCAGTAAAAGTAGAGATAGAAGCAAGAGTCCTAAAGAAAAAAAGAATGACAAAAAACCAAGTAAAAATCCTAAAGAAAAAGATGACAAAAAGCAAAGGATTGATTCAAACTCTAGTAACAGTAGCCCAGAAAGACATAGAAAAAAAACTGATAATGCAGACAATAAAAAAAACAACTCAAAAGAAAAACAGAAAAGTAGTAGCAAAAAGGAGAAATCTAGAAGTCCTAGCAGAGAAAAACAAAGCAAAACAAAGTCCAAAAAAAGAAGCAGAAGTCGATCAAAGGACGACGACAAAAAACGCAATAAGACCGACACAGATAGGAAAAAAAGCAGCAAAAGCAAAGACAAGACTAAATCAAGCAGCAATTCCAGTTCAAAGAAATCAGACAAAAATAAAAGAAAAAAATCAACATCAGAGAGCAACCACAGCGTATCAGACCATGACAATGAACCACCAGCAGAAGAAATAATTCCTTCAGATGTTGATATGGATTGTGAAGATGAAGACGAAACAATGAGGGAGTGTTACAAGATTTTCAATGAATACAAACCTACAGCCATTAAGCCCGAACTCAAAGAGGAACACAAAGATTTGTTTGAAGAAGAACCTTGTGTAAGTGATCATTGTGTTGTATTGTTTCATATTTATTTAACATCTTTGTATTAAATACAGAAGTTCTCAAAATTGTTATGATTCTTTAGGTGTATCACAAAGGGTCAATCAGTATGCTGTTGGCAATCACTGATCAATGAATCTCATATATTCCCACCTCAAGAATTGCAACTGTTTGCCAATAATTTTCAGATATTTTTGTGTACCTAATTACCAGGTGATTTCCAGCTACTTTATTACAAAAACGATGTCTAATTGTTAAGAACTTCTGTATTTGCAACTTTTCCAAAAGTTAGCAACTTTTATTTTCATTTCTTTCTTGCTTTCTTTCATTTTCAAAATTTGAATTTGAATGGTTGTCCCTCGGGTTGTCCACACCCATACTTACCGATTTTGTTGTAGGTAAAATGTTATTGAGTGCTTTATCCTACAAACGAGCCTACGAATGAGCAATGCGCTTCCTCTTTGCATGCAAAAAGTTTCAAATTTCTCCCTTAACTAGTTTTCCAGAAAAACTGTGAAATGTGTGAGACTGTATTTTTAATTAATTCAGTTTTTGTAAGTTGATTTCCATGATTTGTTATTTTCCAATGGAAAAATTTGAAATTATGGAAATATGAGCCTCTAACCTTCCTCTTCACATGCAAAAAGTTTCAAATTTTTGTCTTGACTTGTTTTCCAGGAAAACTTTGAAATTTGCAAGACTGTATTTTCAATTAATTCAGTTATTGGAGGTTAATTTCCAAAATTCTCCATGTTGTTATTTTCCAGTGGAAAAATTTGAAATTTTGAGAAAATGAGCCTCTGACCTTTCTCTTTACATGTAAAAAGTTTCAAATTTTTCCCTTCATTAGTATTCCAGGAAAACATTGAAATATGTGAAACTGTATTTTCAATTAAGAATTCAGTTTTGTTAGGTTGATTTTCAAGATTCTTCATGTTACTGGAAAATTTTGAAATTATAGGAAAATGTGCCTCTAACTTTCCTCTTTACATGCAAAAAGTTTCAAAATTCTCCCTGAATTACTTTTCCAGGAAAACTTTGAAATTTGCGAAACTGTATTTTCAATTAATTCAGTTTTTGTAAGTTGATTTCTAAGATTTTTCATGTTGTTATTTTCCACTGAAAAAATTTGAAATTTTGGGAAAATGAGCTTCTAATCTTCCTCTTTACATGCAAAAAGTTTCAATTTTTCCCTCTATTAGTTTTCCAGGAAAATTTTGAATTGTGTGTGTATGGCGAGGTGTATGGTGTATTTTCCAAGAGGTAAACCACCTAGGAAGTCTTTGTCAAAAATGTGACGAATTTATAGGGAATTTGGACGAATTTGTGAGGAATTTATGAGGGATTCAAAGGAAATTGTAGGGTCATGACATCACTTAGGTTCACATTCTTATTATAAGAAACACTTTGATTGAAAATTTAAAAAAAAAAATCTAATTTTGTGTTGGACGTTGGAAATCTTTATTAAAGAAATTTTCGCAAAATTTCACTTCATGATTTACAGGTCCAAATTTAAATTTTTTTAAAAAATATGTACTTAGTGAGTTTCATATTTATCTAAAAATGTTTGAAAAACCCTTTGAAATTGAATCCACTTAGACTTGAATGGATTTGAATGCTACATTCAAGATACTGTTCATATTGGGGGCCAAATTAGAAAATCGCTTACTGAGAAAAAAATTATTGGCCGTTGGAAAATGGAGATTACCGAGGAGATTAGATAATATTAGTAGGTCATTTTGAGGAATTGTTTGCACAAATTCTGGGGAATGGTTTACCCTTGGGTTTACTTTTCGCTGTATCATTATTCATTCAAGATTAAGAGTAATACGAAAGGTAATACAACTGATTTTCCATAATTGTGGACTAACATCAATGAAATAAATATTTCCAACAACGCTATTAAAAAAACTACACTAATTGTTGTTTATTTTAAATAATTCCAGTCTATCCAAAGTAAAAAGAGAAAAGCCCATGCAGGAGCTGAAGCAGCCACAATGTACTCAAAACCATCAATCGCTCCTCCAAAACCATCCTTATTGCCTGGCCAAATTCTTAAAAACCGATACAAAATCGCCAAGCTGGCTCAGGCCACTAACGAGCAGGAAAATATAATGAACGAAATCAAAATTATCACAGCCCCTAAGCCGAAAAGCCTCCTGGAAGCTGCCAGACAATACAAATTGAAGCGTTTGGAACATGAAAAAGCTTTAGAATTACAAAAAAGACCCAAAACAAACAATGTAGTAGATGATATTTTAAATGGCACTCACAAACCTAGTGGGTCAGGAGTAAAGTCATTAAAAATTGCAGCTGTTCCTAATGTAGCTTTAATCGAAAAAGCTAAACAAAGGATTTCTTTAGTCAAACAACAACGGATTGAAAATGTAAAGACAATAGCACAAACACAGAAAAGTGGCAGGGTTGCTCACGTACCAGAATACTCTTTAAGCGACATTCCTGATGTTTTTCAAGCTGAAAAATCCAAATTGCCTGTCAATGTTAGGACAAGGTTTTTAACTATGCTGGCTGATGAATGTGCCAAAATATACGCATCAAAAGAAGACATCTATAATAGAGCTTTAAGTGAAGAATTTTCCTGCTATGAAAAATGCAAAGTGCTGGCAACTTACAGAAACTCTGCCATGTTAGCAGTAAACAGACTTAGAAAAGAACATCAAGACAGAGAAAGCAAAGGTTTAGGTCTCTTATTGTCTGGCGAAGCTGTATCAAACAAAAAAGAAACAGATTTTCAAGGAATAACATTCTACAATCATGTAAAAAAGTGGCTTTTAACTGAAGACGAATTAGATTTGCATGGATACCCAAAAGAAAGTCACGAAAAGGGCCAAGTAATAATCAGCAACAGAGTTACAGTAGAAGATTATTCTATAGATGAAAATCAAAGAAGATGCAGTCGGTGTGGTAAGATCTACCAAGTTGATGATGATGGCTGGCCCCTATTTGAAGACGAATGCATGTACCACCCCCTTAAAAAACGCACAATTCGTAGAGAGCAAATATTTTTGTGTTGCAAAAGCAGCGACGACACTGGCTGCGTTATGAGCGACACTCATGTATCTGATGGCCTAGAGAAACATTTACTTGAAGGCTACCAAACCACTTTGCCTCCATCTTCAGATAACGACCCAAGAAGTACTCAGGTTTTCGCATTGGACTGTGAAATGTGCTATACAACAAAAGGCCTGGAACTTACAAGGGTGACTATAGTGGATATTGATTGTAAAACTGTTTATGAAAGTTTTGTGAAACCACTCAATCCTATTATAGATTATAATACCAGATTCTCAGGAATTACCAAAGATCAGATGGATAGGACTAGTACTAGTATTTTACAAGTAAGTATTGTATTATACACTCACAACAATAAAAATTAAATAATTTATTTCCTAGGTTCAAGCAAATATATTGCACTTATGCAACTCTGAAACTATTTTAGTAGGCCACAGTTTGGAAAGTGACATGAAAGCCTTGAAAATCGTCCATGGAACTATTATAGATACTTCGATATTGTTTCCGCATAAAATGGGTTTGCCCCATAAACGTTCCTTGAAAGCCTTAGCCAGTGAACATTTGCAAAAAATCATTCAGAATGATGTGGCAGGACACGACAGTGCCGAAGATGCCGTGTCTTGCATGGAACTGATCAAATGGAAGTTGAAAGAAGAGTTGAAAGTGAAGTCAAAAGGACGTTAGTTTAGTGTCTCGAATATTAGTCAGCTTGAGGGAGTAAAATTCAATACATACTTGTGAGTGGATGTTTTTGTCAAATAAATTGTTGATTATTACAAGTTTAAAGGCTGCAATAATTCTATTTTTTTTTAAGTAAAAAATGTATTCCTATAGAGAGTGTAAATATAATTAATTCATAATTTTTTTTTTTACTATTTATGTGATAGATCGAGATTGTAGATATAATAGGTCTATTTATTTATTATTGGTATTCTGTTAAATAAATATTATATGTGACAAAATTTGAGAATTTCATTTTCTGTGAGATTACGATTTATATATCATCTTTGAGGCACACTGTATAAGGGTCAGATTTGGGTAATTTGTATGTAAATTGGGCTTTTTGAATTCCAAATATAGTTTCTGAGGAATATTCTATTAGATCCCAAAACTATTAGAGTGAAACTTCTCTAACTCGAACTTTCTAAACTCGAAATATTCTCTAAATCGAATTTTCTTCACAAACAAATAGGTTTCTACAACTTCGCCATGTATTTTTTTCTCCGTAAGTCGAATTTCTAATCTCTATAACTCGAATATTTCTAAAACTTGAAATAAAATGTAGTGGCAACCGTGGAGACAACCAAGCGTAACTCGAATTTTTCGGGAAAGCATTTAGTGCACTTGGGGAAATTACTGATTCTTAATAACCAGCGGCAACAGATAGACTTGTCTTGGTTTATATAATGTATATTATATGTAACTACTTTTTAGTAATACACACATAATATATACCTATTCAAATATCCTCAATTTTATGTATTTTTCTATAAATCGAATTTTCCGTAACTCGAACTTGACTTCCTGTCCCTTGAAGATTCGAGTTAGGGAAGTTTCACTGTATCTTTATAATATAGTGTTCTTAAAAAGTGGAGTTGGACATTTTTTTGTAATACTTACCATTTGTAAAACTTATCTAACTTTTTTCAAATACTTGCATTCAAGACCCAGAAATTTTTGAATATATATTGTGCCAGTTACAATGTGTTTTTTGGAGATTATTTAATTACTTTCATACACCCTATCTGGGAATATTTCTGACAAAACTGAGCAAGGGTGTTTTTCAGAAATATACCTATTTTTGTACTTATTCACTTAAAACATTGCCTTGCTGGAACAAAACTACTATAGGTACTACAAAGGTATAATAAAACAACAAAATTCAGTTTATTTATTGGAAATTTTCAGCCCAAAAAAATAAGTTCACCTCGCAAATCAAATATTACCATAGCTGGCATTTTCAGTAGGTACCCAATTAAAAATTAGTAAAACAAATTCCACTTACCCCATTCTATTAGTAATTTTTTCAGCTTCCTCAGCACTAGTCAAAGAATGCCGAGTGTGATTGTACAAATCATCCAACTTATCATTGAACTCCTTAATTCCCGATTTAATTTCTCCAATTTCCAATTCCAGATTATCGACAGGCAATTTATATTCGGTCACATTTTTCATTAGTTCATCTACTTTATTCAGTTGGTTTTCAGCGTCTTGTTGCCTCTCGGTTAAATTGTAGATTTTCATCGCTTCTAGCAGTTCTTGGCCTTCTTGTAGGACTTTATCGACTTCATTGCCTAAATAAATATTTTATCATCAATGAAAACTACTAATGTTTATATAGTATTTTTAATATATTACCCGATTCTTCATTAAGTTGTCCAGTTATCCTGTCAATATCTTCAAGAGCCCTGATACAATCTTCTTCTGCTTTTGTCAAACTATCCAGCAAAACTTCAGCCCTGTCTTTCAACTCCATAGACTCGTTTCTGCGATCTTCGCTGTTTTGCAAGGAATAGTTGGATTTGCGGTTTAGATTTTTGGAATCTTGTTCCAAACTTTCCAACCTACAATAAAGTTGTTTTCAGTAAAAGGCAAATTATTATTTACAGTATAATTACTCTTGCATTGGCCCAGTTAGACTGATTTGTCTAGGATCCACTTCATCGAATTTTGGTTTGAGTTTTTCTAATTGTTCTCTCATGCTGTCTAGTTTTCTTCTAGTGAAATATCCAGATTGTGTTGACTAAAATTAATAATAATACTCATTACGTAGTAATATTTTTTTAAATTCTTACATCAAATTCAATTATAATAGGATCAATCATAGCAGCTAAGGCATCAGTATCATCTATCAAGGCATGATGACAATTGTCGCACTGATGACATCCAACTTCTGGAACGAAAACCCATCTGTGAGGGCACTGGTCGCATTTTTCTCCAACTACTCCCGGCAAACACTCGCATTGGCCTGTTTCTGCACTGCATCCAACACCAATAGAGTATTCTCCTTTGCAGCCACATGCTATAATAATTGAAAAATAATAATACAACAAACCAGTTTAAATATTGTACATACAAACACATCCTTCTTTTGTATAATTCCAATAGCCTGCGGCACATCTGTTACAAGCCCTTCCAGTTACACCATCTTTGCACCTGCACTGGCCTGTAGCATCGTCACACTGACGACTGTCTGAAGCTTCAGCGCAATCACATTTTACACAACCTGAAACATTTCAATGTATTTCCAGAAATCTTGAACAATAAAGGTGGTATACCTACCTTGTCCAGATGGGAATCCATAATGTTCATCCAGACATCTATCACACTTTTCACCAATTACATTAGGCTTGCAAATGCACTGACCGCTTTGATGATCACACTTCGCTGTACCTAATTTATCGCAAAGACATGATTGACAATCTTTCCTTTCTACAGCGTCTCCAAAATAACCTGGAGCACATAAACCACAAGCTTCTCCAAAAGTGTTGTTCAAACAACGCAAACAACGTCCTGTGGTTGATTCGCAAGAGTAAGGATCTTTTGAGTCTATATTTCCTGAACACTGACACGGTTTGCAGTAGTCGCCTTGCAGTTCTGGAAGTCCGTAGAAGCCTGGAGCGCAAGATTCACACCTGGCTCCAATGTAACCATCTCTGCATTGACAACTGATGTGTTCCCCATCTGAACTTACGTCGCATCCATTGGCAAAACTTGAAATCAGATTATATTTACGTGTGACTCCTTTTTTCTTAAAGTTTACTTACTTATTACTAGTAATAGGTAATGGGCAGGCACAGATTAAACAGTCATTGGGTGTGCCAGATCTGGCATCACCATGATATCCGACATCGCAAAGCTCACAATGGTCCCCTCGTGTATTATGTTGGCAATCCTAAAGAAACACTACAAAACATCTTTAAAAAAAAATGCAATTCTTACCAGACAAACTCCTGTATTGACGTCACATTCAGTAGCATGTCCATTACAGTCACAAGGTACACAAGCACCTCCGTGAGAACCTTCACTGTTGAATCGGTAGAAACCTGGAGAGCACTCTTCACAAGATAAACCTAAAAAAAATAACGATGACTTGATGAATTTGTTTGTAATTGTATCACAAAATCTCACCTTGATAATTCAGTTCGCAAGCGCACCTTTCAACAGATGGCATCTCTTGTGGAGGATTATATTCAATACGGTACCTTTCTGCATAAATTTCTCTTGGAATGCCTTCATCTTGAGTGACTTCAATAAGCCTACAATAGAAATAGTTCAAAATACAATTGAAAATCCATATGACTTACCTTGTGGTTTCACCCTTAGTCCAATAGCTAGCTCTTATATAAACTCCTCTGAGATCTTTTAAAACTTCCATAATTTGATCGCGTTTAGCTTGATCTCCTGAAGCTGTATCGAATAGGGATTCAATAAGTAGTACTTCAGTGGCATATTTGAAAACTGGAGGTGGTTGTTCGATACTTGAAAATGTCAGGTAAGAATTGGCTCCTAGAATTACCAAGTTATATGAAATTTGAATTTGATTTGATATTGAAATTACCTTTCAAAATTACATCAGGTCCGCTAACAGCAGTACCATTTTCTCCAATACTGTAAAATATAGTGTATCTTAAGGCGCCTCCGTACGAAGACAATTTTTTGCCTAAATATGGCAGGGGAGCTGCAAAATAAGCGACAGTACTTTTGTCGAGGTCTGATAAAACTGCCCCAATAGCATCACCTAAAATAAGCACATTAGAACAAAATTATGCCAGTATTTTTAGTGTCTTACTTCCAACACTTTCAAGAGATACTGGTAATTGGGTAATATTCAAATTGTCTTCATTAGTGTCAATAGCGACTAAAGTCCAATTACTCAAATCGAAAATAGGATCATTAACGAAACCAGCACTAAAGCATTTTGTCGCTTTGCCAGAACAGTAGCATTGTGTACATCCATCAGGATTTGTAGACTAAAAAAATCAAATAATAGGTACCCAAAGGAGTACAAATTATAATTACCTGTAAATTAAAGGATCCTTCTCTACAAGTCTCACAATGGTACCCAACGACGTTCTTCTTACAAAAACATTCCGCTGTGCCTTTATCGCAAATTTCACTATCGGTACCATTTTGGTTGCAATCGCACGACTCGCAATAAGGAAATGCGTAGAATCCAGCCTGGCAATTGTCGCAGGTTCTTCCGTTGACATTATCCTTGCAGGGACAAGCTCCATTCAGTAGATCACATTGCAAAGAACCGTTGGTACCCAAAGGATTACAACCACACTGCTGGCAACCAATTAAGGAATCGTAGCCAAAAGTTAAAGGCTCGCACTGATCGCATTTTTCACCTGTTACGTGTGGCGGACAAATACACTGACCTAGATTTTAATTAGGTATTAGCAAGAATTTCAAATACCTACACAATAATTCTTACCAGTGTTTGGTTCACAATAAGCAGTTGACGGACAATTACAAGGTCTACAATTCGGAAAACCAAAGTATCCAGTTTTACAAGCCGTACACTGTCTACCGATTATGTTGTCTTTACATTTGCACTGTCCGCCGAATTTTTCGCACTCGAAACTAATGGAACCTGCATAGTCGCACTGGCAAGGTAAAGCTCCCGTATTGTGAGCAGCTGTAATGGAAAAGACTGAGTCCCTGCAAAAGCCACTTTGGCTTGTATCAATGTTGAAGTTATTGCTGCCGCAAGTTGAAATAAATTCCCCTGTTCTGTCTAGTTCTTCTTCTTCCAGGAATCTTTCAGTGTATAGATCGGCCGGTATTACTAAAATGTAATCCAAGTAGACGTTTTTGCCTTCAGGTTGCTACAAATCAAAATTGTTTTATAAAAAGCATCTTCGAATTGAAAAATTATTAGGTACCTTAAACGATATCATAAAATTCTCCAACAAATCAAATTTATTATTCTTATCGCTCTGATATATCATCGATCTGCATCCGGACACAGAGGGGCAATGTTCTACAGGTACTTTGGCTTCATAGAATTTTCCGTTTTGAATTATAACATCTAAATCAAACACTGGATAATCGGGTTGGTAATAATGCAAAACAAAAGTATAATATCCAGGTTCTGGCACTTTGCCTCTCATATCCACATTACTGTAGCCCTTGTTCAACCAAATAAAACTGTTGTTGTTATAGAGTAACACTTGCGGTCTGTTTTTAGCTAGTTCGCCTTCAAGTTCTTGTTCGAATTGGATTTTCTTGGTTTCAGGTGGATTCCTAAAGGAGCCTGTAATACATTCGCCGTTCTTTTTGATGCAAACTCTTTTAGGCTTGATGTAGTCCAAGGACCATTCTTCGTAAGGAATTAGGTAAACCGAGTGAATGCCTACATTGCTAGAATTGCTTTTTAAGTCTACTACCATGGAGTTTCCTTGGACATCGAAAATACCCACTCCTCCGTCAATGTTGGTGACTACTTGCCTGCAGCTAGGATTATATGGGCAAGAATATAAGATAATATTTCCATTTTCAGGAGTATTTCTTCCGTGAGTTGTAATATCTATTTTATGAGTGCGCAGATCGTTTAAAGGAGTGACATAGTTGATGAGCAAAACATAAGGGCCAGGTTTAGCTACAGTTAAATTGAAGGAGAGTTGCGTTTGCTCTGTATTGAGCAAAGGGACTCTATTGTAGATGTCTATTGCATGCAAATGATCAATGTCCAAAAAATATTCTTTTATTGGCATGCCTTGACCATCACCATTGGGAATGTAACCTCCAACACCGAAAGTCCTATCGAAGTAGCTTATGTTGGGATAACCAAAAGAGCGACATAAACCGGTTTCGTTGAGGGTGCATGGAGTTTCGACTTTTTGATTTAGGATGGTTGCCAGATAGAAGTCTTCAGGTAGAAGGACGAAATAATCCTGAAAAGAATTGTTAGTAATGAAATTATGAACTGATAAATTATGGGTTACAGAGCCGATCTTAGCAGGTTCGCATAGCGCGTGCTCCGCACGCGGGCAATCAAAACTAAGGGCGGCCGCAGGCCGCCCATAGTTCTCTGTCATTCAAGATTGAAGTAAAACTTTTTACGAATTTTTCAAAATAAAACTACTTCTATTAAAGAAATAAGCTGAACTTTGAAAAACTCCTGAAAAATGAGAATAAGCTTCGATCTCCCAATAGCATAAATAGAAAGTTTAGTGCACAGTCACTGTATAGGCTCATACATAATGTTTCCGTCCAACAGAACTAGGTGAATACTGCTGCTAACAATGTTACCATCTTTTTTAGTACCTACCAAAGACTTCCAAGTGCAGGTGGATATGTTATGTAGGTAAGTATTACAACTAGGGACAGGAATGTCTTGATTTTCCACTGGGCCCTATTTTTTACTTACGTACCCAGGCCCTACTTAGTTTTACGATAGTCATTATTGATCACCACTCACCCGCATTCAAACAACTCATAGAGAACAAATTTGTTCCAAACAAGTTTTTTTTTAACTCGAAATACCCAAAAACTGTCATTTTGAGGCTCGAAATAACCGCTTTTGGGCGTGGCCGCCCGTGTGCAACTCAATATTTGCCGCCCCTTCCTACCAGGATTTTTTCATTTTAGAGCGGGGATGCTTAAGACCGCCGCAGGCGCCGCCGGAGACAGAAATTTTTTTGGGGTGCCATGCCCAAAAACGTGTATTTCAAGCCTTCAAAACGTTTGGAAAATCTTTTACGGCAGGGGAGGCACTGTCACCCTTGACGAGCCGCCACTACCGGGTACCTACTGATATTCAACAAAATTTATAAGAGTTGCACAGTTACTTTTTTCATATAATATATCAACAGTAATCAGTAAATAGTTAGATACAAATTCAAAAATTTAAAGTAATATCTAACATTCGGCAAAGTCGGCATCAGTATCAACTATACAATAATATTTATGCTTGGATTAGGATAAAAAAAAGTAGGATACCTAAATAAAATGCATGCATTCCAGTATTTTCTATGTAGACTAAACACCCGTAAGCACCGTATGGACTTGGGAGTTCAATCTCGCTTAGTTCGAAAATATGCATATAAAAAAAAAGTCCTAATCTGGTTTTAGCAACTAATCTGGATAAAATCCTTACGGTGCATTTGGGCGTAAGCTTATAAATTTATTATTATACAGGGTGAGCCCGAAATAAGTGCGCATTTTGTTATGATAGGTAGAGTACAGTAGGACATTCACTCTTTGCATAGGTATAGTCTGGCAAGTGGTAACTTGATAGAGACGGAAGGGGAAAGAAAAGTGGGGCGAAACCTAAGAATATTCACTGACACCCCAACTGACACCGCTTGATGACAATCATGTCTTTGGGTTCCGTGGCACCGAGAACAGCGAGGAAATAAACCAATAAACTTATTAGAATTTTTTTTAAGTTTCGCCAATAACCACGCCACTGTGCTGTCGTTCAGGCTCTAACCAATAGAAATATAGAATCATCCCTCTGGATAATCACGCCTCTCCGCACATCCATCATTTCGCAATGTTGCCGGATACTCTATCTATCATAACAAAATGCGCACTTGTTTCGGACTCACCCTGTATAAATATTGAAGTTTATAGAATCATTATTATTTAATTTGAATTGATTTTTTTCGTTGTTTGGAAAAAAAAAGTACCTATTATCACTGGGGTGTACTTTGGCCACCCCTATTTTTGGCTGCCTGTGTGCGGTGCACACTTTGCCAGGGGCGTAGTCACCGGTGTTCCGCGTGTTCCACGGAACACGGGCCCGGTTCGAAATGTCAATAATATTTTTTCTCCTATTAAGTACCTATAAAAAAAGTATGTGCAGCGCCGTACACGTAGTAGAAGTGGAACTTCTTAAAAACTACCCCCCGGCCCCCCTCATACAACTTTAAGACAGACGAAGTACCTACCACACAAAAGGGAGACGCGCATCTATAGTGACGTCACAGGGGTATTGGCGCTTCACAGTAATAGGCAATCCTCTTTGCGCTTATAATCCTTGGTTTGTGAAATCAATGTTATAATAGCTGTCTTTCTCCGCCTTTTTACGTCTCATATTTCTCCTCTCTCTCTCGTGTAACGAACTTTGCCAAAACGTGACGCGTCTTTCAAATCATTGACCGAGTTCGTTTTTTTCATCTTTTTCATCAATTTGCTCCGAAATTTTGACAGGCACGTGACTGGATAAGACAGTTTCAGTTTACAAATCACGTGCCTGTCAAAATTTCGGAGCAAATCGACGAAAAAGATGATAAAAGCGAACTCGGCCATTCTCCATTGTTGTCCAAATATCAGACTGCTGCCTAATGGCGATTTCCATTTATCAGTCAGTGCGCACTGAGTGTATCCGCATCTTTTTCTAAAAGCATGTTAATTACATGTAAGGATAAGGATACATTTTTTTTGCACTGGTTCGACAAATGGAAATCGCTATAAGAAGTTTCACTTCAAAAATACATTTGAAGCTAATTTATATGAAAATAAAAATCATGTGTAGCATCGTTAAGGAGTGAAACTTCTTAAAAACTATTCCCTCCCTCATACAACCTTTAGACTTCCGAGTATCAGTCAAGGTAAAGCACTAAAGGTATCAGAGCTTGACAATAATAGGCAATCCTCTTTGCTCATAATCCTTGGTTTGTGTCAATCGTTCGTCCGCTGTCATTGTCATTGGAGGTCATATTGGCTATCTTTCTCTGTCTCTCTACGTTATATCTTTCTTGTCTATCTCGTGTAACGAAATTTGCCAAAACGTGACGCTACGTGACGCTTCTTTCAAATCTGTTTCCATTCTCGTCCAAATATCAGTCCGCCGCCAAAGGGCCGATTTCTCAATAGCAAGTCACCCCTGGGTTACCTAAGCATAACTCCAGGGTAAACATTGCAACTGGACACGTTTACCCTGGAAACCGACTCAAGTTTCACTTCAAACAAAAAATATATATATCTATATCTGTGTAGGTGAAGTCGTCGATTCTTATATTCGTATGTAGACTTATTTGACTTATGATTTCTTTTATTCTTCCACACTTTTCGATTTTACGGCTAGTTGCGTGTCGCATATCTCCAAAATTCATAAGTACGGCCATAGTATGCCAGGTATGCCAACTCAAGATCCTGCAATCCCTGCATTGCGCTTTGTTGAGCTCAAGGTTGTTTGAGAGAAGCAGGTTGCCTGATAACTTTATGACGTCATCTGGGGTGCCGATACATAGTGCAAATCTCCATAAGGCACCTCAGATACGTCATCAAAGTTACCCATTACCAGACAACCTTATATTGAATATGTTCCATACTTTAAGTTCACCCTGTATATTTGAAAAAGAACTATATATAACTATCATTTTCTAATTTTTTCATCTCGCAGGAGTAGGGGCCCAGTAAAATTTTCGAACACGGGCCCGAAGCATCGTCACTACGCCACTGCACTTTGCACACATGGTAGCGCCCTGGGCGTGGCACCCAAAAAATTTTCTGCCTGCGGCGGGCTACCACCATCAGCGCCTATGTACGGAGGGCTATATCCTTATAGGGCGGCGAAATTGCTGTTTGCACGCGGGCGACCGACACCCTAGGATCGGCCCTGATGGGCTAGTTATTCTTACCAAAAGTATACTATCGTTGACATTAATACTGACGCTCCATCTTCCAGGATTCAATACAAACGGAGAAGGAATATTTCCAGCTTCACCAGAAACAGTTGTGAAAACTGGTTCTGAAGAATTCTTAAATTGCACCTTCAAATACTGTTCGTTATCGTTGGGGTTGTCAGGGGTGACTTTAATGCCTCCGATAACAGTGTAAGGATTGGGATTAACAAATCTGAAAAAATATGATTAATTTGGTAGTTTTGTTAACTACAAGATTTTCACCTGAGCACCATCCTATACAAAGAAGGCTTGAAAATGTTAATATCCTGGATTACTTCGCGTTGCAACTGCGAAGAAAACACCGCATAGCCTTTCCAAGAATAATTTTTAAAAACTGTCTCATCATTATTGTAGCGGACTCTGTAGTCTTCTGATGTATGACCATCTTCAACTTCATATTGGTATTGGTAAAGCGTTGGGAAATAATGAGCCTAAAAATATCAATTCAAAAAACAACATTTTTGTGTTATCACGAAACTCACCTGCAAAGGTTCTTTACAAGTTCTTCCTGTAACTCTCGACTGACAAATACACTGGCCACTTTGTTTATTACAAATACTGCTTATAGAGCCTCCAACATCGCAACCACAATCGCTGCATCCAAAAAGATTATCCTCCTGCAAATTATAAGTGCCATCTGCACACTCTGAACATCCTCTAGCGATAACAGAAGGTTTGCAAACGCATTGGCCATCTTCAGTGTCGCATACGGCGATTCCACCCAAAACTCCGGATTTGCTACAATTGCATTCCTCACAACCGTGAGGGTTGTTAGGATTCAGGTTCCAATAAAGCGGCCTGCATTTGTCACAAATTCTTCCTTCAATTCGTTCTTTGCAGATGCAAAGTTCGCCTAATGGAACTGAACCGCAACCTGCGAATCCTGCTACTACTCCAGCTGGATGACAATTGCAATCTGGAACAAAACATTTTTGGTTTTGCTGCAGCAAAATAACAGTATCACCTATTACCTTCACAAACTGGAAAATTGTAGAATCCTTCTTTGCATTCATCGCACCTTTGTCCAGCAAAGTTGTTGTTACACTCACACTTGCCCTCTCTATCACAAGAAAGTCCATGCGAGCCGTGATAATCACATTCACAAGCTAAAATTTCATCATATCATATAAATAATCTTAGAAAATATGATTAATTACGTTTGCATTCAGGATAATTGTAGAAGCCTGGACTACATTGATCGCAAGTTCTTCCAGCATAGTTGCCTAGACAATCGCACTTTCCTGTAGCGCTACACGTGGTACTTTGAGAGCCGGTTTTGCTGCAGTTGCATGGTTTGCAATCGGGATAACCGTAGTATCCTGAAATTGGAGATATTTCAATAAAACTGTAAAAGAAAAACTGGAAAAATTGTCACCTAAAATGCATATATCGCAACGATCACCGCCATAGCCTTCTTTGCAAATACACTGACCAGTTTCTTTTTCGCAAATACCATCTCTGGTACCTTTTATGTCACAGTTGCAATCTGAATTTGGAAAAGAGTAATAATTCTTAACGTTTCTCAAAAGAAGTAGAGTTTACCTAGACCTATAAGAGAACGAGCGCAATTTCATCCATTTTCTCATGTGATTGTGTCTAGTCTGAGGTTTTGTTGAAGCGTCTCGGAGGTGTAAGTCTGAAGTGTTGTTAAGGTATATCCGAGCGAGACACCTCAACAAAAACTCAGACACCATCAAAACATTTCAGAGACACCTCCAAGACATCTCCAAGAAAGACACCTCAAAGACTATGACGCTGATTCCCGATTCCTGAAGACGTTATTCGATCTAGTTAGTACCACATTTTGATTGCAGTCAATGGACCTTAGATTTTCCTATGAAGATTTACATGCGAAAATGGGTGGAAATTGCGCTCATTCTCTCATAGCACCCTTACTTAGACATTTCAATTCACGAAATACATTTTCCTGAATTAATACTCACAGTTACACTTTGGATATTCAAAATATCCATCCTGGCATTGATCGCATTTGCCACCCGAATACTGCACTTTACAAGTACAATTTCCAGATTCTTGATCGCACGAAACCGAATCTGATCCTACAGCATCACACCTACAAGCTACAAACCAAAAATTAATTAATTTTCAAACAAATCAACAAAAGCCTTATTACATTTGCATTCAGGAAAATTATAATATCCAGGAGCGCACTCTTTGCAATCTTTTCCGCCGAAATTCTCTTTGCAGGCACAAGAACCGTCGTAAGGGGCGCATTGTTGATTGATGGTACCATTGATGAAGCACTCGCATTGCTTGCAGTTGGGATAATCGTAGTACCCGAAGCTACAGCTGTCGCAATTGGGCGGCGTGAATTCTTTGCGACATTCGCACCTACCGGAACCTTCCGCACAGTTACCAGTTGCAAAGAAATAATCACATTGGCAACCTAAAATCTTGTTTTCATAGTAAATGTTTTACTAAATAAAAGAGACTCAACTTACGTTGACAAACATCAGTCTCATTCCAATGTCTACTATAAGGCCTATAAAATCCTGCTTTACACTTATTACAATTAATACCCTCAGTGTTGTGCCTGCAGTTCTGGCAAACACCTCCACCTTCGTATTTACCATTAATATCCAAAGACAATTTTTTAGCATCGACTTCAGGATCGTAAACGCACTCGTACGAGTGCAAAAAGCAATTGCACGGTTCGCATTTGAATGGTTCGTCATATTTAGAAACTCGCCATTTTTTCTGTTCAAATCCTGGACAACAAACGTCGCACTTGGCACCGCAAGTGTTGTGCTTACAGTTGCATTTTAAAATTCTCGGATCCTTGGCGTCTGGAATGTCGCAAGTTTGAGCGTGACCGTTGCACATGCACCTGCCTCCGATACTGATGTCTTTTATTGAGTAAAAGTATCTTCTGGTTACTGTAGGGTCTTGCCTGGCTACAGACATGAGATGGCCGAGTAGATTTTTGGTTCTCAGGAATCTGAGCCGGACGTTTGTGGCTCTGGTCCATTCTTGTAGCACTGAGGAGTTGAAATAGTGAGACGCTGATGGGCGGTTGGTAAGTAAAGATACTGGAATCTAAAAACAAAATGCCCCTTATTAATCATATATTTGTTTGAGACATATTTATTACCTCTCCACCTTCTAGTGGTACAATTTTCGAGTACTCGGTAGTACAAACCACTGAATCGTCCCTGGTGATTGGTTGTAAAGTTTCCCGTCCGAAAAAGTTTTCGCAATCGGCCGGCGAATCGGAAAAGTACTGCCAAGGAGTGTAAGTTTTTCCGTAATCAGCGGATTTTTCCAATACCCATAAGCCTGGTCGGGGAGAGTTTGCCATGTAAATGTAGACATAGGCTACGTGGAATTCCTACGATGAGAATTTTGATTTTTTTTAAACTGCCTGAAAATTACTGATCTAGAGAGATTTATATGTATAGCTTTTTTCTGAGATAATTGAACACATATTGATTTTGGTCCTTGGTTCATCAGTCAATAGATATTGGTTAATGAAAAATTTCAGTTTTTGATTCTTAAAAATCACATAATAAAGGGTTCCTGAAAAATACTTTGAGTCATCACAGTGATTTGAAACTTTCAAGATTTATTTAATTGGAGTTTTTTCATTATCGAAAACAAGTTTGAACTTGATATGAAACTCACAACTAAAGTTACGAACTTTTTCTCTCATTAAAGTTTAAAAATATCAAAAAATTGTAATAAAATCATCTATGAGGGTTCCTGAAAAATCCTTTCAGCCATCATAGCGACTTGAAACTTTCAGGATTTATAAATTGGAGTTTTCTTTATTATCGAAAACAATTTTGAACTTGATATAAAACTCACAACTAAAGTTACGAACTTTTTCTCTCATTAAAGTTTAAAAATATCATAAAATTCCTATAAAATCACCTATGAGAGTTCCTGAAAAATTCTTTCAGCCATCATAGCGAAACTTTCAGGATTTATAAGTTGAAGCTTTTTTACTATCGAGGACAAATCTGAAGTTGATATGGAACTCACAACTAAAAAAACGATTTTTTTTCTCATTAATGTTCAAAAAAATCATGAATTTCCTGTAAAATCTGCTATGAAAATTCCTGAAAAATACTCTCAGCCATCATAGCAAATTGAAACTTCTAGGATTTATTGATTGGGGTTTTTTTATTATCGAAAACAAGTTTGAAGTTGATATGAAACTCACAACTAAAGTTACGAATATTTCCTCTCATTGATGTTTAAAAAAATCATAAAATTCCTATAAAATCACCTACGAGGGTTCCTGAAAAATACTTTCAGTTATCATAGCGACTTGAAACTTTCAGGATTTATTGATTGGAATTTTTCTATTATCGAAAACAAGTTTGAAGTTGATATGAAACTCACAACTGAAGTTACGAATTTTTTCTCTCATTAATGTTTAAAAAAAATCATAAAATTCCAATAAAATCACCTATGAGGGTTCATGAAAAATACTTTCAGTTATCATAGCGACTTGAAACTTTCAGGATTTATTAATTGGAGTATTTTTATTACCGAAAACAAGTTTGAAGTTGATATGAAAATTACAACTAAAGTTACGAATACTTCCTCTCATTGATGTTTAAAAAAATCATAAAATTCCTATAAAATCACCTACGAGGGTTCCTGAAAAATACTTTCAGCCATCATCGCGACTTGAAACTTTCAGGATTTATAAATTGGAGTATTTTTGTTATCGAAAACAAGTTTGAAGTTGATATGAAACTCACAACTAAAAATACGAATTTTTCCTCTCATTGATATTCAAAAAAATCATAAAATTCCCATGAAATCACCTATGAGGGTTCCTGAAAAATACTTTCAGTTATCATAGCGACTTGAAACTTTCAGGATTTATTAATTGGAGTATTTTTATTACCGAAAACAAGTTTGAAGTTGATATGAAAATTACAACTAAAGTTACGAATATTTCCTCTCATTGATGTTTAAAAAAATCATAAAATTCCTATAAAATCACCTACGAGGGTTCCTGAAAAATACTTTCAGCCATCATCGCGACTTGAAACTTTCAGGATTTATTAATTGGAGTATTTTTGTTATCGAAAACAAGTTTGAAGTTGATATGAAACTCACAACTAAAAATACGATTTTTTTTTTCTCATTGATGTTCAAAAAAATCATAAAATTCCTATAAAATCACCTATGAGGGTTTCTGAAAAATACTTTCAGTTATCATAGCGACTTGAAACTTTCAGCATTTATTAACTGGAGTATTTTTGTTATCGGAAACAAGTTTGAAGGTGATATGAAACTCACAAGTAAAGTTACGAATTTTTTCTCTCATTGATATTCAAAAAAATCATAAAATTCCTATAAAATCACCTACGGAGGGTTCCTGAAAAATACTTTCAGTTATCATAGCGACTTGAAACTTTCAGGATTTATTAATTGGAGTATTTTTGTTATCGAAAACAAGTTTGAAGTTGATATGGAACTCACAACTAAAAATACGAATTTTTTCTCTCATTGATGTTCAAAAAAATCATAAAATTCCTATAAAATCACCTACGGAGGGTTCTTGAAAAATCCTTTCAGCCATCATAGCGACTTGAAACTTTCAGGATTTATTAATTGGAGTATTTTTATTACCGAAAACAAGTTTGAAGTTGATATGAAAATTACAACTAAAGTTACGAATATTTCCTCTCATTGATGTTTAAAAAAATCATAAAATTCCTATAAAATCACCTACGAGGGTTCCTGAAAAATACTTTCAGCCATCATCGCGACTTGAAACTTTCAGGATTTATTAATTGGAGTATTTTTGTTATCGAAAACAAGTTTGAAGTTGATATGAAACTCACAACTAAAAATACGATTTTTTTTTTTCTCATTGATGTTCAAAAAAATCATAAAATTCCTATAAAATCACCTATGAGGGTTTCTGAAAAATACTTTCAGTTATCATAGCGACTTGAAACTTTCAGCATTTATTAACTGGAGTATTTTTGTTATCGGAAACAAGTTTGAAGGTGATATGAAACTCACAAGTAAAGTTACGAATTTTTTCTCTCATTGATATTCAAAAAAATCATAAAATTCCTATAAAATCGCCTACGGAGGGTTCCTGAAAAATACTTTCAGTTATCATAGCGACTTGAAACTTTCAGGATTTATTAATTGGAGTATTTTTGTTATCGAAAACAAGTTTGAAGTTGATATGGAACTCACAACTAAAAATACGAATTTTTTCTCTCATTGATGTTCAAAAAAATCATAAAATTCCTATAAAATCACCTACGGAGGGTTCTTGAAAAATCCTTTCAGCCATCATAGCGACTTGAAACTTTCAGGATTTATTAATTGGAGTATTTTTATTACCGAAAACAAGTTTGAAGTTGATATGAAAATTACAACTAAAGTTACGAATATTTCCTCTCATTGATGTTTAAAAAAATCATAAAATTCCTATAAAATCACCTACGAGGGTTCCTGAAAAATACTTTCAGTTATCATAGCGACTTGAAACTTTCAGGATTTATTGATTGGAATTTTTCTATTATCGAAAACAAGTTTGAAGTTGATATGAAACTCACAACTGAAGTTACGAATTTTTTCTCTCATTGATGTTCAAAAAAATCATAAAATTCCTATAAAATCACCTACGGAGGGTTCTTGAAAAATCCTTTCAGCCATCATAGCGACTTGAAACTTTCAGGATTTATTAATTGGAGTATTTTTATTACCGAAAACAAGTTTGAAGTTGATATGAAAATTACAACTAAAGTTACGAATATTTCCTCTCATTGATGTTTAAAAAAATCATAAAATTCCTATAAAATCACCTACGAGGGTTCCTGAAAAATACTTTCAGTTATCATAGCGACTTGAAACTTTCAGGATTTATTAATTGGAGTATTTTTGTTATCGAAAACAAGTTTGAAGTTGATATGAAACTCACAACTGAAGTTACGAATTTTTTCTCTCATTGATGTTCAAAAAAATCATAAAATTCCTATAAAATCACCTATGAGGGTTCTTGAAAAATCCTTTCAGCCATCATAGCGACTTGAAACTTTCAGGATTTATTAATTGGAGTTTTTTTATTATCAAAAACAAATCTGAAGTTGATATAGAACTCCCAACTAATGTTACGAGTTCTTTTTCGTATTGATGTTCAAAAAATCATGAAATTCCTGTAAAATCATCTCTGAAGGTTCATGAAAAATACCTACTTTAGATGGAGCACATTCCTCAGATATCATATCCACATCTTTCCTTTGAATCCTGAAGCTTCTCTGATATTTTGCAGGTATAGGTACTTATCTACTTTTTCAGAACTTTCTCAATTCTTCAGATTTTAGGATTTTCAAAGACTTCAAATGAGAAGTTTTAAAATCCTAAATATCTAACCATAGGCAATAATTACTTATTCAAATTGCTAACTAATTATTGAAATAAAGACATTATAAATCAGACATTTTTTTAAACAATTTTTATCTTTAAATATGTACACATGTAGGAGGCGATAACTTCCTCTCGTGATTTGTTTATCAAGTTTCAGTAGGAAATAGTTATCTTTGACCGCAATGTCTCAGTCAAATAATCAAATTAAATGAAAAATAAGTACATAATATATTGAATGCTCCCAAATTTGACCCTGTAAAAGTACAATCTGGCACCCAGAACTATAAATAAGTCATCATATAAACAAATGTGGACTATATTAGATCATCTCTCTTGGATAAGCTAAACTAAATTTTGTTGGATTAGTAACAATAATTGTTTGTGTTAATAGTTTTTCAAATTCAAATCTAAAAGAGAGAAATTCTATTAGCAAAGAATTCTCAAGACACATGTGTGTGCCACATGTTTTGTCGACAGGCTCATTTTATTGTCATGTTGTTAGGGCATAAAGTCAACTACTGGGTGTTTTTATGCTTATTGCTGTTTCGTAATCAGGAAAGCGTGAAGTTACTTGGAATTCCATCAGGCTATTCTTATCCGGATTAGAAAATCGTATTTTCTTGAGCCGGAAAACTAAAATTTCAATAGCCACAATTCTGAAAATTGAAACTATTTATAGCAGGTTGTAAACCTGTAGAATTATTTTTATCCTAATGTTGAACAAAATAATGCCTACAACATTTTTTTTTTAAAAAATTGCAAGTTAATCATAAGCTTAAAATACACCTATGAATATATTGCTGATGTAAAATTTCCTACATCATAAAGAAATTGCTACATGTGAGCACACACATGCTTAGTTTACAATTTCAAAACCCCTTATGTAAGCGGTTCCTACCTGTCCAAGATCAATGGTCAGGTTCACTTCCTGGTATTTCATGCCTCTAGACAAGGGCGGACTTTGCCACCACGTTTCTTTGCCGTCTACCGCGTGTTCAGGTGGATGGTGTTTGCCAGGTGTTCTCGGGTCACAAACATCACAATACTGCAAATAAATAAATCATTAAGGTGCGGGTTGTTAAAGAATTGTTAGGGTAATTATGGGTTTTTTGATTGGAGTACTTCAACGATAAATGCTTATAGTTATTTGTTTGTAATAAATTTTGAGAGTTTAAGTTTTAGTACCTGCAAATTTGATGTGTTTTGGTTCAAAAGTACCTACTAAAGTACATATAAGCTGTAGATCTGCAATTATAGATAGAAAGCTGAAATTTTCATCGATTCTTATTCCAGTAGAGGACTACAATTCCTGAAAATTTCAGCTCATTTGGACTTACAGTTCCTGAGATAAAATCCTGTTAAGCAATTTGGGGTAATTTATCAATTTTTCAATTTTTCTGAGTGTCTTTTTTCATAGATTTCGACTTCAAATCTGAGAATTATTTAGTGTATGGAGTTTGGGGGATCCCAAAGGACGATTAAGACACAAAATCTCAACAAAACTTTTTTTGAAATTTCATCGTACTACTACGTCATACCTTAGGTACTTGAAAAAAAACTTATGCAAATACCATAATGAGACTGAAAGGGACTTATTCGCACTTTAATTCTTTGCTATTAAAATCCTCAGTACTTCTTAGGAAGTACTGGTATTGGTAGGTAACAGAAATAATACTACATATATATTTTTAAAAAACTTTAAAATTGGTAGATCATTGTGTGTCGAAGATATTGATATTTTATCTAAGATCAACATAGGTCAGAATTATTTAAAAATATACGACTTGTCATTATCAAATTTCTGAATTATCAGCGTTTTCTATTATTTAATCTGTGTCAACTAAATGGTGGGTTCAATGGTACTGCCTTCTATACTGATTGTACAAATTTTCGAAATCTGTCTGGGGTGTTAAGAAAATGTTTGGTTTTATTAGAATCACTTTTTCAAATCCTTTTTAAAATGGATTTCCTATTGGATCAACCTTTAAAACATTTCAAAATTGATTTTAGAGGATTGACATGCAGTTCTTGTTTTATGAATATTTCTTAGGTTTTGGGTGTCTTGAATTTTTGTGTTTCTCACGAATGAGTATCAGAATTCATCATAATGCTACTCAGAGAAAATACAATTTTTAAAATTGCCTTGCAAGTTTGTTTATGAATATATTAAAAGATAATCTTTTCTGGTTCCAATTTAATTCACAATCACTCAATAGAAATATCGATTTTCAAAGTCTAGTGTTGAGAAAAATGGAATATTGATTTAAGACAGATTCTCATAAGTTCTATTATCTCATGAGATCAGAGACAAAAGTCACAGTCTTAAAACTAAATAGTTAAACTATATGAATTATTATTACCTGTCCTTGTATAACATTAACAGTAGGTTCGTTATCCGAATTACTACCGATCAGCTTACAATAAAGTTCCGGCCCTTCGGTATCCACCCCACATGTGGCTGTGGCCGTAATATTTTTCCCTTCGGCCAAATTGAAATAGGGCGGCGTAAGGGTTTCGCTTCGAACATAAACAAAAAGTAGTACCGAAAACAAAATTAGACGAGGCACCGGCGGTAGCCCCATGATGCGAACTGGTTCGAAGTCGCGGTACGACTAGGACTATGATGATTCTTCCACTTTTTGAGTCCGGGATTTTTTGATTGCGAATTGTTTAGAAAGAGGTCCGGGGGTTTTCTTTTTCATCTGTGGTTCCAACAGGACCGGATTTTTTTAAACTGAGAGTTGTCCTTTTAATGTATTGAAGAATCAACAATATTTTCGAAAATATTCTCCTTTCAATTAGGTACTTTGGTTGGCAAATTATCCTCTACACTCATTATTATAACTTTATTGGTACAATCAAATAAATTTACACTAACAACAGGCGATATCTCTACTATTAAATTAAAAAATATAAGTAGATAACTAATTAAATTATTGAAACCATAGGTTTTTTAATAAATACATATCCTATATCCAGCATAATATATAAATTGAATAAACTGTTTCTGGATTCGACTCTGTCCTAAAGAAGCCTGCAGCATCTCCGAATAATCTTCCTTCTCATGTGGCCGGGCGGTCCTAAAATAGAGTACCCTACCATGTGTTTATAATGAAGGCTGGGAGCCAATTGTTGTATTGGCGGATTGTCTGCTGATGGATGGTCATAGTGGTCGTTCAAGGAATCTTTAGCGCTTAAATGAATGAGTAGAAATTGGCCTTGACTTGTTGCTTTATTAGTTGGATTAAAATGTTAAGTAACAATGGATAATGATTAGTGTACAGACAATATTTTAAGGGTACTGTGGGGTACCTATTGGGTTTCTATAAGATATTTTTTGATTTCAACCCATTTTTGGGTTTCAGAGAGTGGTTTGCCTTTTCCATTAGTAGGGATATATTTAAATTCTAGAGAAATCTGTACCTGATTAGAAAAACATCAACGAAAATAAAACATGTCTACATTTTTCAATAAATACAGATTTAATTAATAACAAACAATTCATAAAATATTTAACAACAAAACATCACAAACTGTTAAAAAAATGGCTACATGTAAATGGCACCAAAGAGTAACTTTGTATAAACAATATTCTTATTAATGAGTATTGACAAAATTCGTCATGGATTTATTATTGGGTAACAATTTGTTCTTTAATCTGCCTTTTTGTCAGCTAAAGGTGCGCTAACAGGATTTTTGTAAGCAATAGCAGCCACCATCACTGAAGTACTTAGGAACGTATTTATGGTAAAGTTGAGCAACAGGGTAAGATCAGCAGATTCCATCGTTATTGTGAATACTCTTGCTAGGATAAGAAATTAGAAAAAAAAATATCGCTTACTTATCATTACTTACTTAAGTTTGTAAACGCTGATATGAACCAAGTCAAAATGCTAACAGATTGAGCATTTCCAGTACGTAGAATTTCAACTAGCTGTACTACTTTAGAGCTAGCTCCGATTGGGGTACACAGTGGCTGAAATTACTAAATTGAACAACCAATAATTATTTATTAATCAAAATAGTACCACTAAAAACGCTAATAATCCTAGTGGAACGATTCCGGTCAGGAAACCAGCAGCTATAGAAAAGTAAACTCCAGTTCCCAGTAAATTGTAGATGTTTAGTAGGTTTTTGTATTTGAGTACCAAGAATATTAAAATTAATTCTTGGAATAATATTATTGGATATTCTAGGTAGGACAGGATGGCGTATCCGTTTCTGAAGTTGTAGGACATCATTATCGTGTAGCTGAAAAAAAAAAAAAATGACTTCAGTAGTTGCAAATTATACTATTAAATAAACTTGAATCTCTTTGTACTGTAGATTCAAAGAATCTTGACAACGCCCTTAGAGAAAAAGCATCTTTAAAACTAATAAAATATTTGAAAATTTTAACAGCTGTATGCAACATCCTCTTTTAAAAGCGCTTTTAAAAACTAGTCACTTCTAAAAATGTGTATTCTAAGCCATACAAATTTTTAAAGGTACCAGTTTTAAAAAGCGCCTCTAAGTTAAAAGAGGATGTTGCATACAGCTGTAAGGGTTTAAGTATTTGTGATATAAAGACTGCAGATGAGTTTAATTCTGATGATTTTACTGAATCTCTTTTTTTTTCTATTAAAAAGATAGAAAGCTGAAATTTTTAGCGATTCCTAGTCTACACCTTTTCCAATTGTATTTCAGAAAGTGTCAAATGTATTTCAGAGAGTGTAAAATGTATTTCAGAATAGCCAAATGTATTTCAGAAAGCGTTAAATGTATTTCAGAATAGACGAATGTATTTCAGAAAGCGTTAAATCTATTTCAGAATAGTTAAATGTATTTAAGATAGCGTTGAATGTATTTCAGAATAGTTAAATGTATTTCAGAAAGCGTTAAATGTATTTCAGAAAGCGTTAAATGTATTTCAGAATAGCCAAAAGTATTCCAGAAAATGAAAATTCGGCGGAAATAATTTAGGAGGGACAAAAAATTAGCTACCTATGTCTGTGCAGCTTTTCCTCTGTGAGCCCGACTGACCCAACAGGAGCTTAATAGTAGTATTTAACTATTCTGAAATTCATTTAACGCTTTCTGAAAAACATTTAACTATTCTGAAATACATTTAACTATTCTGAAAAACATTTGACGCCCTCTGAAATACATTTGACGCCGTATTTGACGCTTTCTGAAATACATTTGGCTATTCGGAAATACATTTGACACCTTCTGAAATACAATTGGAAAAGGTGTAGTAGAGGACTACAAGCCCTGAAAATTTCAGCTCATTTGAACTTATAGATTCAGAAATAAAATCGCGTTAAGCAATTTGGGGTGAATTTATCATTTTTCAATTTTTCTGAGTGCCTTTTTTCATAGATTTCGGCTTCAAATCTGAGAATAATTTTGTGTATGGAGTTTGGGGAATCCCAAATGACCATTATGACTCAGAATCTCAACAAAAAAAAAATTGAAATTTTATCGTTTTAGTAAGAATTAAGGTAGCTACCTTATGGTTTTGATTTTGGAAAACTTTGGAAGGGCATAACTTTTTTTCTATTATAGATAGAAAGCTGAAACTTTCAATGAAATTTATCCCAATCAAGGGACTACAATCCCTGAAGAATTCAGCTCATTTGCACTTATAGTTCCTGAGATAAAATCGTGTTAAGCAATTTGGGGTGATTACTGATTTATCAATTTTTCAATTTTTCTGAGTGCCTTTTTTCATAGATTTCGGCTTCAAATCTGAGAATAATTTAGTGTATGGAGTTTGGGGGATGTTGATTGACCATTAGGATACAAAATCTCGATAAAAAAAAAATTGAAATTTCATCATTTTAGTAAGAATGACGAGGGGCGGTTAACTGGTCAAAATTTATGTACAAGTTGATCAAAATCCCAGAAAATCTCATAAAATCTACTTAAAATCCCTAAAAATCTTTAAAAATCCTTAGAAGATTAATAAAATCCCACAAAATCTCTTGAAATCGCATAAAATCCTACAAAATCTCACACAATTTTATTGAAACTAAAAAAATCCTGCAAAATCTCACAAAATCATTAACATTCTTAAAAAATATTTCCTTTGAAATTCACAAAAATCCATTGGAATCCCCAAAAATCTGTTAGTTTCTAAGAATTCCCTAATTTACTGGAATTTTGAGGAATTTCGGTAGAATTATGTTATTCTGAAAAAGAAATTACATGCAAAATTTTTAGCAGAGTTTCCATAGAATTCACATTAAATTTTAGTTCCTCTCGAATTACATGAAATTTCGAGAAATTACATGAAATTTCAGTGGAATTTCGATCATATTACACGAAATCCTGAATTAGTTGCATGGAGGAATTCTAAACAATTACATGGAATTACACCGAAATTCTCAATATGAAATTTTGAACAACTCTTGTCGTTTCATATGTAATTCCAGTAAAATTCCGAAAAATCCCAATGTAAAGTTTTATTTTCCACTGAGGAATTCCCAGTTAAAAACATGGAATTTTAGTGAAATTCCGAAAAATTCCCATTGAATTACTGAATTTAAGTAAAATTCCAGAAAATTTCACAAATAGAATTCCGAGGAATTTCCGGTTAAAAACATGGAATTTCTGTGAAATTTGGAAAAATTCCCATGTTACGACATTAAATTTCAATATATTTCGGAGGAATTTTGGTTAATTTTCAAGAAATTACTTGAAGTTTCATTAATATTCCCAGGAATTCCTGATTATTAAAAGAATATTTCAGTGAAATTTTGATAAAAAATTGAAATTTCATTGGAATTTCGAGAAATTTTCGACTAATAACGTGGAATTTCAGTAAATATTCTAAAAAATTCTTATAAAATTTTAATCATATTCTGAGGAATTTTTAAGAAACTAAATTGTGGAATTCCAGGATATTCCAGTGGTGAAGTTTAAAGGAATTTCCGAGGGAATTTCAGTAAAAAAAAATTATGTACCTGAGTAATTTGGAATTTCTATAGAATTTTGGAGAATTTCGAAAAAAATAAAAAATAATGAAATATTCGCAGAATTTTCATCAAATTACATATAAATAATTATTATAATTTTAGTTTGTGTCGACTTACATAAAATTTCGATGAAATGTCGAGTAAAATTCCAAGGATTTCTCGTCGAATTACATGGAATTCCTTAAAATCTTATTGTGGAATTTTAATGAAATTTTTGTACAAGAATCCCATTGAATTTTCATGGAATCTTATGGTGAGATTCGGAAAAGTAATTTGAAATCTTATACCTAGTAAAATTTCTAGGACTTTCGGTTTTTCTATTCAAATTTGTCATTGATTTTAGAATATCTAAAAACTTTTCAAAAACCCTTAAAATGCTCTAGAATTACCTAATACATATTTTGAAAATCTAAAATCTTCTGAACTCCTGTAAAATCGTGTAAAGATTTTCAAAATCCTCAAAATCCTACAAAATCAATAAAGATTTGAAATATGTGTTCATTATTTGTTCATTATGGAGTTAACTAAATCTCGGAATGGTTGATTGGTCAAAATCTGTGTATTAGTTGGTCAAAACCCCAGAAAAACTCGTAAGATCTACTTCAAATCCCTGAAAATCTTTAAAGTCTTTAAAAATCCAACAAAATCTCCTTAAATCATTAATGTTCCTAAAAAAAAAAATTTCTTTATAATTTCCAAAAATCCTTTGGAATCCCCAAAAATCCATTAAAATCTCTAAAAATTCTTCTTACTTCCGTAAAATGTTCCAAAATTACCTAAAATCTTCCAAAATCCTGTAAAATCATGTGAAGATTTTCAAAATCCTCAAAATCCCACAAAGATATAAAATCAGTGTACATATTTTAAGGAGTTAAACACCCCTCGCCTTATGATTTAGATTTTGGAAAACTTTGAAAGGTCATAACTTTTTTTCTATTATAGATAGAAAACTGAAACTTTCACTGAAATTTATCTCAATAAAGGGACTACAATCTGATCATATCATTTGCACTTATAGTTCCTGGGATAAAATCGTGTTAAGCAATTTGGGGTGGTTTATCAATTTTTCAATTTTTCTGAGTGCCTTTTTTCATAGATTTCGGCTTCAAATCTGAGAATAATTTAGTGTATGGAGTTTGGGGTATGTTAAGTGACCATTAGGATACAAAATCCCAACAAAAAAAATTTTTTAATTTTATCGTTTTAGTAAGAAGGTAGGTAATTACCTACCTTATGACCAGAGCTGGGCAGGGCTTGAGTGCTTTGTGCTTGCGAAAGTGCTTGAAGCCCTTTGAGGGCTTGAAAGCCCTGTGCTTCAAGCCCTTTTATAGATTTGTAATTGGGGCTTGCAAAGTCAATTATTTTAGAAAAGTGCGTATCGTTTTAGTAAGAAGGACCTTATGATTTAGATTTTGGAAAACTTTGAAAAGGCATAACTTTTTTTCTATTATAGATAGAAAGCTGAAACTTTCACTGAATTTCATCCCAATCAAGGGACTACAATCCCTGAAAATAAGCAATTTGGGGTGATTTATTAGATTTTTCAATTTTTTTGAGTGCCTTTTTCCCGAGCTTTTCCCATAGAATCTAGCTGCAAATCTCAAAATAATTTAGTTTATGAAGTTTGGGGGGTCCCAGCTCATATGAAGTTGGGAAGAAATATGTAAGCTCATAAGACCTGAAATAAGCATTAATGTGAATCCTTACCTGGTCAATTCCATCAACAATCCAATCAAGTTGATACCCTTAGCACTTTGCACTTTCAACAATTTCAAAATCTGAGGTACTTTCAATATAAAACATATCGCAATAGTTATTATACTCAGAAAATTCGAAAATTCTTGCAGATAGTTCATTTTATCCATTGAATTATGCATTATTTTTGGAAATGATTTTAAAAGTAACTAAGCAGTGACAATAATTCTCGTCTGCTGTTTTCAAATTGGAGTACCGCTAATATGTATAATCAATTTAATTCACGGCATTCTTGAATTACCTAATCCTTATTTAAAAACCAGTTTGTTTTATAAAAATGTAAGATATTTAAATAAAAATAGTGGCATCAGCTGTTTTCATTACAGATTTCTGTAAAATTATGTAGCAACGCCACTGATAAAAGTAATTAAAGTTGCGGTCCGCAAGGAGCTGGCTTCACCCTTTCGACTACGTTCGCGGATGTTATTTGCGGCAAGGAGCTGGCCTACTCACGAGTTGTATTCCTTTCAAGAGTTTGAAACACTCGAGCTACTCGCTCCGGTGTTCAGTCGCCCCCGATTTGCAGGGGAAAGATGCGTGGTACAACCGTACAACAAACACTTTTCGAAAGGAATAAGCGCGTGAAGCCGAAGCCCCGGAGCTGTTCCGGAGCTTGTAACACGATTCGCGAAAAGTCCCGAAGTAGGCGACATCTATGATCAACTTTGGTACTCAAAACTCAGTGAACAACAGAGCAAGTTTGCATTTCGCCCCCGGCATTGTTTCTGGAAGTTTTCAATTCTCTACAGAATATTATTCTTTTTATGCATTGTTTCTGTTATATAAATCACAAAATCGCCATAAAACAAAATTTAACAAAAATCTAAATACCTTTGTTTGTGAGTTTGGCAGACATTTTGCTGTTTTTCGCGTTATTTAGCGCCATCTATCGGTACAGGAATTTCGCCAATACATTTGGCAACCGCGGATGCAACAAAAAAAAAATAACAAAACAAACAAACTGAAACTTTTTCTTAGGTTAAGAGAATTTTTTACGAAAATTTTGAAATTTTGAATTTTATTTACGACTAATGTATAATGTGCGTATTATATTTGTGATTTTGGCAGTATAATGACATATGTTATTCCTCCAGGGATTAATGACGAGTAGCGGGATTAATGGTCATTATTCCACAAAAGTGTCAGTGTCAAAAGTCTAGTGCTTGTGGATTTGTATTGAAAATTATGAGACGGATGAAATTCGTTCATTGAAAATCTGAAATAAATTAATTTGTCGTAAATAAAGTAGAGTATACTACTCGCAATAATGGCTATTATTCCCTCGGAATGTTGATCCCTCGCCGCTAACGCGGCTCAGTTCGTAATAATCCTCGGGAATAATAGCTATCATTATTGACTCGTGGTATAATCTACTATTAAGGGCGGGTATCATAAAACTGCTTTGACAGTTAACTTGAAGTTAACTTTTTGAATTACATGTATTTTCAGAAGTTAACTTTAAGTTAACTTTCAAAGTAGTTTTATAATACCCGCCCTAAGTTTGCTTATAGAACTTCACTAATCCAAAATATAAATTCAGAATTTGAAATCCACGAAAAACCAAAATGGGTGTCACAGTTCTCACTCAGTTTCCTTTAGAAAACCGTTCTGGCCCTCAAACTGTCGACATCCTCAATAAACGAATTATGGCTCTAGGAGCCATCCAACAAGGACAATTTTTGGTCGACTGCGAAACGTACAGCTGAGTGCCAGCCCTCGGACATCAGAGAACCGTCCATGTGTTGCACATCTCAGAACAGCCGGCTACAGTATTCTTCCTTCTCGATACTGGCACTAAAATCATCCCTTTGGCTACTGATGGGCTGTTCGACTTGCTTATGATGAAAATGTCTAGTTTTTATCAGTCGAAGAAACAAACCAAAACAGAGTCGAAAGGCCCCAGGCGATTTTTGCGTTAAACTTGGTACAGTGACAGTGAGCAGTAATTTTAAAGGAGTCTTGGTTGAAGTCGAGTATAAACCCTGTGTAGTGCCGGCAATGTGTTGGGACCTAATGATGGAGTTTATGCAAGGATTTTTGGGGTCTTCAGGGCCTACAACACCGGCACAGTTCCTACAGAATCGAATGCAAGAGATTTATTCTCCAATAGATACAATTCAGCAGTATTTGGAGCATTTTACCAATTTTAGGAAGTTACAGGGTGCACCAATGATAATGAGACCACAATAATAGTGTATGTAGTTTATGGACATTTTTCGTATTTCTTTTATTTTAACTGAAATCGAGAGATTTTGTTATTAAAAAACTATATAAAAAAAAATTGAGCGCAAAATATGTATTAATTCACGTTTGTTGGGTGCAGTTTAAAGTTTAAAATCAACGATCGGCGCGAGGCTAATAGAATATGTACCTGTACGCGAGACTAGAGAGAGTATACAAATGTCTTGCCTGTCTAGGTCTAGCGCGCGTGCGCGCATCCTAATCTCGCCTACAGGGTACGTTTACTAGCCTCACACCGACTCTTGATTTTAAAATGCTTACAGTATACCTATATTTATGATATGCCAATGATAATATAAGTAGCAAAGACGGAATACTCGTTCTCCTGGGAACGCTGCTCCCCTGTTTCAAGAATAAGGATCCAGCAGACTGTCTAATACGTAAACGAACGTTATGTGTCAATCCTGAAGTTCTTGCTAAAATCCTAGGACCGCTATAACTGGTTCAGAAACGGTTCCAAACCGATTCTGGTTGATTCGCGAATCCAGAATCGTAACTAAAAGTTCGGAATTTTGTGATCCGTGAACGCCATTACTTAAACTACGCATTCGAAATAGTTTCGAACCAGTTCTGAATCCTTACCGCGAACGAAGCTATTGTAAAAGTAAAAGCCTGTTTACGGAAACTATGATCGGGTTAACCCGATCGCCAGCAGACGTATTTTGCCTTTTTTCAATCGTATTCATTGAGGAAAGATCGAAAACATTCAGCTGCTGATCGGGTTAACCCGATTATAGTTTCCGTAAACGGCTAAATAGAATGAGTCAAAAGACATAATGCATGCAGCATGCAGAGGGCGCCTACTCGCCCACCCCACTGTGCTCTTGCTCAGTTTGGTCGGATCAAAGCTCGACTCCAAGCTAATCTCTGGCTATCGAATATTGGGCGCTACATTATCATCAATACTCTCATTTATCACAGACATTGCAATTTGCTGCTGCCTTTTGCATTGACATTGTGTTTGACATAATTTATATGATTAATATCGATATTCGTATTGTTGATGGTTGGCAAAGAGAGATGTAATACAAGCAAAATAAATTTCCGTGCTACGACAAATGAAGCGTAAAACCGTTGCATTTTTTTGGATTGTGAAATATGGATGGATTAAATTAGGCGCCTCGATACTCCGGTGCCCTAGGCAGGCGTCTAGTTCGCCACCCCCTAGTTGCGGTCCTGGTATACCGTGCTGCTTCAATTCACATAATTCATTACCTGTCAGTAGTTAGCAGCGTAAAATATAGATACAGCGACAGTTCAACAAATAGATAAATATCTATGCTTTGCCGATCGTCTAATGTTGAATAAGAACATTACACCTTTAGACCTTTACGACCCTTTAAAACCTTCATATTTAATTTGAATATTGAAACATGATTTAAACAAAAAGTCAACATCATAGGCGGTTCTAGCCCATCTGTGCTGGGGGGGCTGAAGCCCCTGGTCCGCGGTCGCTTCCCTGCAAGCGTTGCTAGAGGCTGCCACGCCCAAAAACCTTATATTTTAATAAATATTTAGTCAAAATTGTTTTTATTTATTTATGAAAAATACAAAAGTTTCATTCTCGGTTTTATTATTACAAAAGAAATTTTGTTTACAAGTAACATGATGATGTTTTGTTCTACATAAAATAAAAGTATTCTGAGGTACAAATAAAGGTGATAAAAAAAAAAAACAAAAACCTACTTCCTACTTTTAATAGAAAAAGAGTTGAAATTAAAAATGTTTGATTTGACAGTTTGACATCAGTGGGATTCGAAACTACAACCAAAACAACCAAACAACAGAGCGAAAAATAATATGCAACTGTGAATCAACCCGAACAAAAACACAAGTTTTACAACGTCTTCACTCCAAAGGTTTCCAACGTAGCTACAGATTAACATCGTATCTAGACAATACCGCTTATTGCCGTTTGCACCGACGATTTAAGGGAGGTTTAGAGATAATCAACGCTTAAAGTGACATTTTTACATGCATAAATGTCACTTTAAGCCTGGATTATCGTTAAACCTTCCTTAAAATACGGCGATTAGCAGAGCAGCGCGTAAACTTTGGCTGCTCCTACCTCGCTCCTACTTATTACACACACCTACAGGTAACAGAGACAACCCTGTCCCTAGTGGTGGGGGCTAGGGTTGCCTCTGTTTCCAGACGGATATTTATGAAATAATTGAATAACATTTTATGAAATAATTAGATAAGGCTATTAAATCAGTGAAATTATTGAAATTATGTAGTTAATTAATCCTAACGCTTGAATATTTTTTATTCAGGGACTGCGAACTTTTGCCACTCATCACTAATTTAAATTTGGGGAGCGAGGGGGCTAATTCCAGATTTCCCAAGCCCCCACCTAGAACCGCCTATGGTCAACATGTTTGTTGAAAAGTAAAAGTTACAAAACGCAAAAATGGAACAAGTCCAACCCTGTTTATATACACCAAAAACAACAAAATTTTCCGAATAGGAAGAGTTCTTGTCAATAATAACATTAAACGTAAGTCCCTATTTAGACACAAAATCTCAACATAAAAAAAATTGAAATTTCATTAATTTAGTACTGAGGTACCTACTCATAACTTTTTTTAATTACATTTCAAGTTTACGTATAAGGTATAAGGTACCGGCCCTAGCTTTTTTAGTCTTTTAGAAATTGAAAAAAATGTAACGATTGTATGTACATAGCACATAGTTTTTGGACAATAAATTCAGCAATTCACTCCTAAACCTTTATTATTAGCATCTTGATTTTTGTATTTTCAGAAAGAAAAAGACATTTTGATTTTCCTTTTACTTTGAATAACTCTGAGGAGGAACTGCTTCAAACAGTACCTGACATAAATAAGTTACTTTACCTAAAACAATTATTTTAATAATATTACGATATGTTAATGTATAATTTAAATATTAAGCTTACTCATTAGTCTCTTAGGTTGCTGACCTTTATAAATAAACCAATAATAAACAGGTACGCCCAATAAAGTGAACATAAGGGCAAAAAGGTACATGGGATCAGGATCAGTCACTATTGGAGTGACACTGAGGTAGATTGCTACTAAAAGTATGAACACTGGTATCCAAGTGGGCACCTAGAATTTTCAAAAAAATCTCGATCAAAGACAAAATTATAAAATTAACTACTCACTCTATAAGGCCTAGGTAAGTCTTTTTTGGTTCTCCTTAAAACTAATAGAGAGATCATGGCAGTGCCATAGGCGAGCCATATTAGAAAACTAGCAAATTCTATTAGCTGTATTATATCACCACTTGCAATGAAAAGAAATGCAATAATTCCTTGGAAGACCACTGCTGGCGATGGAGTGAGCTTCTCGTGATGCACATAGGAGAAACTCTCAAGCATGAAACCATCTTGACCAGCTACATAGCACAATCTAGACAAAATTGATTTTTTAAAATAAGAATCGAGCCGCGATTTGAGTTTCACCTCGTTACACCAAATTGTATACTTAAAGCGCATCCAAAAGTACTCAAAGCCACCCCCAAAGGAATTACAAAAGAAAATGGCCCCAGTACTCTTTCTCCAAAGGTAACTGCAACGGCTTTAGCCTCCATCATTTCTGGAATTGACAATACTGTCATGTAAGCGATATTCATGAAGACATAGAGAGCGGTAACAATGGGGACACTGATCATTATACTTCTAGGGATATTCCTGAAATAATATAATTATTTTATAGTTCTATGGAATGATGAAACTGCATTAATAATAAATTCTTCTTCCAGAACACAATTTGTACTACTGGTATTTCTCTAATTCCAATTCCACTCGTTTTTCCTAATTCCTTACAACTCTTCACTAACTCGTGAACTGAAATTCCGATGCAGTTTACCCCTTATTGACCCTGTCGTAAACAAAATTATGACATGGCTCCATTTTTATCCTGGACTGGATTTGATTGCCCTATTTTATACTTACTTTTCAGGTTGTTTAATTTCTTCAGTTACAATTGTTACTGCTGACCTAAAATATGGCATTAAATTAATATTGCTTGAAAAAATAGAATGTAAAATTTACCATCCGTCATAAGCCCATAATCCACTATAGAAAGCCAACGCCATATCTTTGGGTGCAAAACTGGTCCCTTTAAAGCCTTTTGCCAAGTTTTTTGTGTTGCCTGAAAAATAATATATTTTTTTTACTACTAACCTGAGAACCTAGGAAAAAATTGAATTTCTCTCCCTAGGTGAATAATGAAAATAATGAAAAAATACCTAGGTCAATAATGAAAATGACGTCACCCAAGTAGCACAAATGTGCTTATTAGGATCATATACATTGCTATGAAACATCTTATTATATAACTGCGATATTTCTTAGTTGAGTTGTAAACGCTTATATGACGTCTATAAGTATGAAAAAGGCCCAGGTTTATAAAAGATTATTATTGTTTTAAAGTTGTTTTAGGATCGCGAATAGCATTTACAAAATATTATGAAGTGCTTTAGAAAATCGTTATGAAACAGTTTTACAAGAGGTTTATAAGTTAGGAGATAAATTCACCTATATAGCAATTGTGTCTTTTGTGAACCTTAGTATAAAACAGCTTTATAAATATTATTTGGAAATTTTGTAGCTCTAGTTGAAATTACTAATAAAACATTTATAAAATAATGTTTTATAGCATACTTAAAACAGTTTAATAAAAATATTTTATCGTATTTTCATAATGCCGAATACAAAACTGATTTTTGAATGGTTGTCCAACCTTCTCTGCTTTTATGAATTACGAATATGGCGACATGTTGCTAGGGATGCATGGTATATAGATTATACCTTCTCTGTATCTTCATTTTTAGTTCACTGTGGTTTACCAGCAGAGTTACAGTACCTACCTAATATAGACAGTAACTTGTAACTGTTCATGTGTTTGCATATTTGTCTAGGGCATTCGATCATAATCAACCCTTAATAATTTTTATTGAATTTCAAATAAATATTCTGGATACTTGAAGATAATATATTCAGTTTGACAACGTCGCATCGCCTGTTCTGAATCATGTATATTTGTTTTCAGATCATGGTGCTAGGTGGCGTGGGTGTCGGTATATCTGAAGAAATTGCGATAATATTAAAACCTTTATAAAATACTATTGTTATATAGCCTTCAGAAAAATTGCTTAAATAACAATATTATTATAAAGTTTATCTCACTGTATAAGTTTTACGATACTTTTATCGTAGAATACATTTATAAGAAAATTAGAAATTGTATACCTACTTTATTACTATACTATGTTATGTTACGTTATTATAAGCTAAACGCCCTTAATACAGATATATGTTGCTTAAATGACACCAAATCAGATCTTTCGAAATTAGCCTGTACCTCTTTCCTGAAATTGCCACTTTTTTTTAATATTATCCAGCAAGAAATGCTTGACATATTGATAATTAGCAATAGGTATCTATATCAATTATCACTGGAATTAAAACTAGAAATGTCAAGATTTTTCTGCAGCGTAGGTAGATAAACTAAATTTTAGGTTAGTGCTATAACATTTTTATAAGGTTACCCTTATAATAATTTTGTATTTTGTGAGACACTTCTGTTATTTAACCCTTTTTTAAGTGTTTTATTCAATTTTGTTCCACAACAATTATAAAATAGTTTTATAAGAGTATTGAACGGAACTAAATTATTGCTAAGAATGAACTGTTTTATAAATTATTCTCCATAAATACTATAAAATCTTATGATAAAGCCGTATAATTGATATATATCTGTTTGTGAATATTGCTATAAAGCAACTACAAAATATATCTATCTCAAACGAAAACAGTTTTATATATAAGTCTTGTCATATAAATATTTATGAGCAAGTTAATTACCAAACTTATAAAATCTAGTTATGTAATTATTTTTGGCAATAACGCACTATTTTAGGGTTGAGAATCCGAGTAGGGGAGAGTTGGATATTGGTGCGCGTTCGATAATGGTGCGCACCATGATAAACGAAAAACTCTTTGAGACATATGGATGAAAACCATTCCCACGCCATCTATTTATCATGTGGTAAACGCATAAAATTAACTAACACTAAGTGGCAACGCTGTATATTAAATATGGCCGAAACTGCAAATTTGCCTGTCTCAGTCTTGTTTTGTGGCACCAGAAAATAAGCTGTAAGTATTGCACATTAAGCGATAAATAAATTCTGATTAGACAGTTTTGTTCATTTTACTTTTCTTTATATGTTAGTTTATTTATTTGTTGAAAATTTATTTAATTTTTCTTTTGTTTTTAATCTAATAAATAAAAATGCCAAGTCGTCTAATGGTGCGCAGGTGCGCACCATTACCAGACGTACGCACTTTTAGACGACTTTATTTATATCTATACATAACCCACAACTTCAATTTATTTTTATTTAAGATGTCCAAATATACACGCAAAACCACAAAGGCGTCATGGGACACAGATTCAATAAGAAACGCAATTAGGCACTAGCTGACGTCACACACATAACCTCACTTCCGTTGGGGGGACAAACAAATCGTTTCAAAGGTCTATTAGCCTATCCAAAACACGTGACTTTGACAAGCAAACAATGGGTTTGTGTGCCTCTTGGCGGACATTTTAATTTAAGTTTGACAGCAACCTGGATAGTCTAATTCAAGACACCGGCGCTAGCTTGTCACCAATGACATAACGTAACTTTCGATACGGGGACAAACATGTCATTGAGGTTATGTGTGGGACGTCAGTTAGCACCTAATAAAGTTCATTTTTCTTTCATATTCCTTTTTGCTTTAGCAACAATTTTTGTCATTATATATGCATTTAAGTATCAATACATTACAACCGCTTAGCGTGCGCACGATTACCATACCTATGCGCACCATTACCCGCTTCAGTATGGTAATTGTGCGCAATGCAACTTTTTAGAAAATCGGCTGTTGTCATTTTCCTAATTCAAACTGTACCGTTTTGACATGGGAATATAGTAGCTTATATATCAAATTATCGATATGCATCGCAGAAAAATATCCTGACCTTTTAAATTTTCCGAAATATGGTAAGTGGCTTAGGTGCGCACCAATACCCGACTCTCCCCTATCAGGCATCAAATAATGTGTTAACGTCAGAAATAATTACATAACGTTACAAATGTGACTTGTTTTGCATTACGGTTCTACCAAGAAGAAATGCTGAAAATATTCAACAATTTTGACCGTAAACAAATTGTGTGGAAAAATATATTTTAATTTTTTTCTCGCTTCCTAGACCACCGAAATGCAAAAGTAAATAATGGGTCATATTCCTTTTTTTATGCCCATTTCAACGAGCTATTACAATACATATCTTTACATTTGAAAAAAAAAAGTTGGGGGTGATTTTTACCCTTAAGCGAGAGGGGTAAATTCCATGAAAAGGCTGAAAAAATGTGCCAAACTAAAAATAAAGGGACCCGTTTTTTTTAATTTTTCCAGAAAATAAACAGGCTCTCTGATACTAATTTTATTCCATGTAAAAATTCCACCCTGTATACTTTACGCATTATAAACCTCGGCGCTTTGCGCCTCGGTTTATAAAAGCGCTCGGTATATAATGACCAACTTCTCTACCTAGGTTCCTAGGTATACTTATAATATACTATTTTCTATTTTAGTGTCATATCGCAGTCTTTTCGACACTAGAGGCGATTTTCAGCCTGGAATGATTATTTATCGGTAAATACCGTGGTTATTCTTTTGGTTGACAACTTTGACAGCCAGGTGTGACGTCACAGCCCCCCACCACTCAAGAATCATAACCCAAGGAACTGACCGCTGAAATGATTTGGTTATAGCAGTGTAGGATTATGTTTATCATTCCTATTTGTTTTTTCGTTTCAACAATGGTTTGTTGTTTAGGTACAAAAAATGGAGCGGAATCTCTCGTTAGTCCCGTTTATCGAACAGATTTTCTTTGGGGATGATCTAAACCTCGATCTAAACATGGTGAGTTGCAGTGAGTGAGTGAGTGTATACTTCTTCCATTGTGCTAGGCCACAACACAACCGCAAAATCACAAAACACCAATACCAATTCCCAAAATAATAACATCAAAAAGCTGTAACCAAAAGATTAACCCAAGTCCAAAGCTGGGTTATAATCGGTTATAAGTGGTAAATACCAAAAGCAAATCAGCTGATATGTGACATCACAACTTCCCCTACTTTGGTTAAAACCGCGACGGCGGAAATGCATTGGTTATAACCAAATAATAATCATTCCAGGCTGAAAATCGCCTTAAAAGTAGTTTCGAAAAGAAGCTCTTTGTGACACTCCTTTTTTACTTATCGGAGGTTGGTGACACTGACTGACTGATGGCCATCGAACTGTCATTCGCTATTTTATAATAGATTTCTATATTTGGCATGTAGTGTTACCAACCTAAACTATGAAATCAGAAAATATGAGAATAAAATTTCCAAGAAAAATTTGTTTTTCTTAAATTAAACAATACCAAAATAGGAAAAATAGTATAAAATATTCGTTTCATAAGACATTTTATCGCACTCGCCCAATATAGGGCTAGTGCGATAAAATGACGTCTTATGAAACTTGTATTTTAATGTACTAATTTTGTATTGCCTTATCTACACTTGGTACCTGATTACTTACCCATAGACAATTCATATATTCCTCCAAAAATAACTATAAGGCACGCAAGGACCTTAAATGATCCAAAAATATTTTGAACTTTAACGTAAAGCTTTACGCTGCTTATGTTTATGTAGGTAATAATGCCTATAATTGAAAAAAGTAATCTTTAAAAAACATAAGCACTATCAACTTGCTTACCTAAAGCAGCTAAAGCGATAGCTTTTGTAACCTGATCGCTCCTAGTTTCATCTTTTATGCAAAGCAGATCCATTAACGGTTGGCAAAGGTATTCTGAGAAAGTCAATACTATTACAGCCACTTCAGCAGGCCTTATTATTATCTGAAAGAAATTCAAATAATCGACGCTAGTGAAAACGAACAGATACTTACTACCATAAGCCAAGAATACAGAAATGCTGGTAGATTACCCCAAAATTTATGCAAGGGACCAAAGGAATCCATAAAATAAGCATACTCAGCACCCGATCTAGGAATGACGGTGCCTAATTCTGCAAAAGCTAAGGCACCTAAAACAATCTGCTAGTAGCTATTTTATTTGAAAATATGTATAACGCACCTTTTACCTAATAAAGACACTATTCCACAGACAGTCCAAATAATGATGCACATGCCAACAGACCCGCTGTATTTTAAGGCTGATGCTGGCGACACGAAAATTCCAGAACCAATCATTACTGCTAAAATTAAATTTATGGCTGAAAATAGTCCCAGTTCTCTTTTGAGACCAACTTCTTCATTTTGAGTGGGACTTTTCTCGTTTGATGCACCTGAAGTAGATATAAAGGAGAAATCAAAAATATTTAAGAGCTTCAGATTAAATAATTTCGAAACTAAACTTTTGAAAACAGTTGAGCTAGATGGAAATATATGACAGAAAACAGAGTTTAACAAGAAAATTGTTGCGTAAGCGTTAATTTTAAATTTCAATTTTCAATAAACTCATTCTCACTGTAATAATTATAAATAATTAATTAATGCTTATCGTCAATAACATTCAATTAAAAAAATTAGTAACAGAAGCAATTTGCCTATCAGTTTTGGGCACGCATAAGAATGGAGAATATGATATACGGAATCAATAATTTAATTCAATTAGGAAATATTTTGTGTGCATCTTTCAGCTTTGATTTTATGATAAGTAGACCTACTCTGCTCTACTGCGTTTTCATGCGTTAATCTACAGTTGGGTTTAACTTACTCATAATTGGCTACTTGGTTTTTCTTAAAAAATCATCACACTCAACGGACTCCAAAACAAAATCCTTTTTATCTGGAAAAAATCACAAGATAAAACAATTCGACAAGGTTTCATAGCACATCAGCACGAAATGCATTCCATTATGATTAGACTATTTAGTTACAGGCAAAACACATTTAAAAAAAAAAAAATTAGCTGATAGCAGATAAGCTAATTGCGCCAGTAGCTATTCTATACTAATAATAACTAATTTCATAATGGGTAAATTGTTTTCTCATTAAGATAAGCCGCGCCTCGGAGAAGAGTGATCTATCTTCTCAGAATAATCAAGAAGTTATTGAGCTGAATAAGTAGTGTTAGCAATTTTTTTATGAAATGTCTTCTTTGTAATCGTATTAAGAGGTAATGGCCCATTTCCTCAATTTTAAAAGGCCAACATTTTATTAATGTGTGTTTTGCGAATTATATACCTACACTGATGAACATTCAATCTGATCCTATGACTTTTTATCTGAAGTGAAAAGATGCAAGAAGTAATTTTAAATAATAATTTTATTGAGAAAATAATTCCAGAGTAGTATTTATCCCATGCTTTATTGTAATTCCTATTGTTTCTGATAACCCTTCGTTTATTTCAATTGATCATTAGTTTATTATTCAATTTACTTGTGTAGGTATTTAATAATAATAATAATAAATAATAATAATTATTGCAAATGTTTTGTTTACTTTTTTTTTAAAATCGCAAGCATCATACATTATATTATCTCTAGTATTAATGATGATAATAATTTACTTGAATAACTTGCAAAGATGATCATTATTTCAGTTTGCTCTGGGCTGATGTAACTGACCATATTATCAAAGTCTAAAATATTATATTTGTATTTATTTATTTTTTTTAGGTCAAACTAGTTAAATACCTATTGATTAAAAACCTACTCTTCCAATCGCGCCCTCTAGTATTAGACCCGGAAAACGATGATTCTTTTCCATGGATTGTCCCTAATCTAAGGATTGTCCTATGAGTCGCATGTGATTCATAATATGTTTTTTTGTTGTCTATATGTTACATAAAACGTTTCAGGGTCAAGGCAAATTATTTATAAATGTATTATCGAAGTCTATGATCGAAAATATTGATAATGCCTTTGGAATTCTTTTATTTTTGTGCTTTTTTATCATTGGACTTATGTTCCCGACTGAAAAGATGAAAGACAGTGGAAAGTCTAAGCCAGGTGCTCCATCCATCCATTGAATAAAAAGAAGCTACTTATATGTTAGCTTTTACTTATATCAATCAAGAAAACTCAACCAAATGGCCATTTTTTTTTTTTGGACGATTTTAAAGTTCAATACTAAAAAATCGATTCCAATTACCATGTTTTTGTTTTTCATTCCTTCATATGTTTGATTCTAATCCAGGATGTGTATGAAACCTAAAACAAAAAACAGTATTTGCATAATAAGCAAAAAATCCCTGTAACCTTGAATCAGACCAGCTTTAGCTGCTATAAAATTCACGGAATAATATAAACAATTGAAAAAAAAAAATCATAATTGAAGATTGGTATATAAACTGAAGAACGTCGAGATTAAATCAAAGTCTGCGAAGATGGCTTCCTATCGAGTTCTGCTTGTACTGGTTTTCGTTGCTTGTGCTATAGAAGCATTTCCTAGTAGCTTGACAGTAGAAAAGCCTATTGGAGAAAATACCAAGGTACCAAAATATATTATCTCTTTTAATCGTAGTAGGGTACAACTATGTATCACTAGAATTAGTTGTTATTATGTATCAATCAAACTATACTTAAAATATTTTCCATTATTCATACAAAATAAGTACCTAGGTACCTACTTTATGATTTAGATTTTGGAAAACTTTGAAAGATCATAAATTTTATTCTATTTTAGATAGAAAGCTGAAATTTTCAGCAATTCTTATCCCAGTAGGGAACTATACAATCCCTGAACATTTCAGCTCATTTGGACTTATATTTCCAGAAATAAAATCATGTTAAGCAATTTGCGATAAATTTATCAATTTTCTGAGTGCCTTTTTTCATAGATTTCGGCTCCAAGTCTCAGAATAATTTGGTGTATGGAGTTTGGGGGATCCCAAAGGACCATTACCAAACAATTTTTCAATTTTTCTGAGTGCCTTTTTTCATAGATTTCGGCTTCAAATCTGAGAATAATTTAGTGTATGGAGCAGGGCCGGTCCAATAGCATTTATATGCCGAGGCAAAGTTCCATTCTGTCGCCCCCTTCTCAAACTGTATTGTCAAAATGGTTGAGGATCAATATGATAAACAATGAATTTTAGGCTAGGTATCGTTAAGACAGTAGGAGAACAAAAGAAAAAAAGTAACTTCAGTTTTTTAAGTATATCATATGTTTACTTATTACATGAGATCTCTTCTCACAGAAATCTCAAACCAGTCGGAGTGTTTTTGATTGGTGCAAATTGCCAGCGACCAGTTTTCTGATAGTTTACAGCCAATGAAATTCGCTCTGATGCTCTGACAGGTGGTGATGTCTGTGAGAACAGATCTATACTGTAGATATATACAGGGTGTCAATTTCAAAACTTTCAATGCGAATATATCTGAAAGTAAAAAAGTTAGAAAAACGTAATTTGTTACAAAGGTTATACAGGTAGGGGTAGGAGCAACTATAGAACCAACATATTTCCGTTATAATGACCCTTTGGGCCTATGCACCCGAACCCCCATATTTTGAATGGCACCACCTCTTTTCTGATACCTACCTAAAATTTTCTTTAAAAAAAAAAAAAAGATCTTGTGCAGGTGAATAATATAAGTACTCAACAATATAACTTTAAGTATCACAAAAGGGGTGGAGCCGTTCAAAATTTTGAGGTTGGGGTGCATGGGTCACTGACCCCATAAACAAAATATGGTAGTTCTAGTTCCCCCTACCTATATAACATTTGTACTAAATTACGTTCTCCTAACTTTTTCACTTTCAGAGATATTCGCATTGAAAGTTTTCGAATGGACCCCTATAGTATATAGGTATTTTTCAAATTAACTTAACATAAAAATAATTTCTCAAAACTAATTAAATTATAAATTATCAGCACTAAAAATGAACCCGTCTGGATTTACGTCTTGCAAAGTCAGAGATGAGTTCGTTGATAGGTCTGTTCTCACAGAAATCACAGACCAGTCAGAGGAAGTTTCATTGGTTGAAAATAATCATAAAACTGGTTGTTGAAGATTTGCACCAATCAAAAACGTTCTGACTGGTTTGTGATTTCTGTGAGGAGAGCAGACCTATAATCAACACCATCGAACATGTTATAACCATCAATGGTTAAAGACTATAACGTTTTCAAGTCCTAGAGCGAAAGTCCGTTCAATTTATCTTGAGACAAAGCAGATCGAAAGTGCCTTGATGAGCGGTGACAGGTGACATAGTGACGACACATAAATTACCTTTTACCGGACAATAATGTTGAATCTTTTATTTTGTCCTTATTATCCTTGTAGCATACTACCTAATAGTTACTTTTGTATCAAGGGAATTATGAGGGTGTTAATACCCCAGGGCAAAGTTTGTGTCTCAAGGGCCTCTGGCAGGGATGCTATCAGCACTAAAGAAATTGTACTAGAAAGTAGGGAATAATTGTACTAGATTGGCAACATTGTGTACTAGCTGAAAGGGCACAAATTGTCAAAATTTGAATACAAATGTAGGCTCTGCTAATTGGAGGTAAATATCACTTGTTTTAGGTTCGGTTCCTCAATAGCGATGAGTTACCTCCGGGTTGGTTTTAACTCCAGGCTAAACCGGTCTAGTTGCAATGTTTACCCTGGAGTTATGCTGAACCCGGGATGACTCGCTATTGAGAAATCGGCCCTGAATGATAGAAATTAATAAATTTCTACATATTTAGTTATAAATCGACTACCGATTACCGTGATCGGCTAAATAACCGAATAAGCTTCGATAACACACGTCAAGTCACAAAATAAAAGAGTTTGTGTGGAACGTGGAAACCAACCCACAAGTAGAGAGTAGAGCTCAGAACTCGGGTACGGTACAGAGCGAAAAGCGACACTCGACTCGTAATCCAAATTGTACTAGATTTATGAGAGAGGTACTAGCGTACTAGGTGAAACATGATTGTGCTAGATTTAGTACAATTGTACTAGAAATAGCATCCCTGGCCTCTGGCCCGAGGGACACCAATTGCCATTGGGTATTAACACCTGATAATTCCTGTGGTACATAGATAATTTTATATCCTACTGGATCTACTGTATTTTGTCTATTTTTATAAAGGAATAAACCATAAACCAAAATTTATATTTTTTCTCTAAGTTTTACCTATTCAAGGTAAAAGCGGGAGTTATGGAAATCCTTAACTCCCTTGGGAGTTATGATATTCTTAACTCCCTTCCTTAACTCCCTTGGGAGTTATGAAATCCTTAAATCCCGCGCGGGAGTTAAGACCCTGTTTATGATTATCGTTACCAAGGTATTATATGATTATAATAGTTCAGTTGAATGTAAAACTTTTTATTTTCTACTTTACTATTATAGATCCATAATACCTAGGAAACGAAATACGTTAACACACCTATAACAACCTGATCCATAACGCCCGCTTTTGCGGGCGTTATGATCTATAACGCCCGCTTATAATACCTTAAGGTGTTTTTGTTGTTGTCGTTCTATTAATTTGCACTTTACCCTAGGCAGCCACTAAATGTCTGACTGAAAATAATTTTCGGTCTAGCCAGGATTCGAACCCGGTCTACCATCAATGTTTCCCATGTAGTCCAGCGCGTTAACCCACAGGACCACCACCGTTGCCTTACCTTATGAGATGTTTATAGATATATTAATTTATTTCGTTTCTATGTACAGGTCGCAGGTACAGGTACAGGTCACAGGTGCAGGTACATGTCAAAATACAAAACAATATTCTGTCACACAAGTTTAACTGATTTTGTTAATAACAAATTGATGAAAAAACATTGTGTTGAGTAGAAAATAAAGCATTGTATGCACCACGGGGATTTCAAGATTATAATGCCCTTCAGGCGAAATATATCCCTCGGGCCATAGGCCCTCGGGCTAGTTTCGCCTTCGGGCATTATAATCTACATAATCCCCTTGGTACATAAATAGCTATTTTTTTTTGTAATTAACTTGTTCACTCGAAATAATTTTATTTGCGATTTGGCGCCCCTAATTGTGGCGCGCTAGGCGGTTGCCTCGGTTGCCTGTGCCTAAATCCGGCCCTGGTATGGAGTCTGGGGGATCCCAAAGGACCATTAAGACACAAAATCTTAACAAAAAAAAATTGAAATTTCATCATTTTAGTACTACTTAGGTAGATTTAAATTTTGGAAAACTTTGAAAGGTCATAACTTTTTTTTTTATTAAAGATAGAATGCTAAAATTTCCAGAGACTCTTATCCCAGTATAGGACTACATTCCTTGAAAATTTCAGCTCATTTGGACTCCTAATTCCAGAAATAAAATCGTGTTGAGCAATTTGGGATGATTTATCAATTTTTCAATTTTTCTAAGTGCCTTTTTTCATTGATTTCGGCTTGAAATCTGAGAATAGTTTAGTGTATGGGGTTTGGGGGATGGCAAAGGACCATTAAGTCACAAAATATCAACAACAAAAACAATTCAAATTTCAGGTAGCTGCCTATACAAACTATATTTTATTTCTGTTCTGCCTAGGTTCTCATCATTGAGCCTGTCAAAGTTCCCGATGTAACTAGAGAAAAACGATCCCCTGGTGGCTTCGGAAAGCATGGAGGCGGAGGCGGCGGCGGAGGCGGTGGGGGTGGATTTGGTGGTAAATAAAACATAAATCTGCTAAAAAAATACAAAATATAAATTTTAATATGAAATTACATATGTTTTTGAGCATCTAGAAAACTGGAAGTATTTTTTTATAGGTGGCTTTGGTGGTGGACTAGGAGGAGGAGCAGGAGGTGGTTTTGGTGGCGGAGGAGGTTTGGGAGGTGGCGGAGGAGGTTTTGGAGGTGGTGGCGGTAAAGGAGGTAAGTACTATTCATCAAAGTATATTGTGTCATTAATTATACATATCATCAAGGTGGTGGTGGACATCAAGGAGGTGGACATCAATGGGGTGGACATCAAGGAGGTGGAGATCAATGTTGTGGCAATCAAGGAGGTGGCAATCATCAAGGGGGTGGACATCAAGGAGGTGGTTATGGTGGTAAAGGTTATGCATCGGCATCCGCTATGGCTTCAGCTCAGTCTGCGTCTGGATAGTAAGTTTTTTTTTTATCAATTTAACCTTATTGATTTTTACAAATTCTTTATGTAAATTTTGCAGTGGAAAATAAGGATTTTCAAGACACACTCTTGACCTCGTCGCTTAAATTTATACTTTTTTTAAGAAGCTTGAAAACGAAAATAATATTTTTTTGAATTTGAATTTAAATTTGTTTTATTTTTCTTTTTAAACCTTAACCAGCGTCCTTATTCTCGAAATCGGGGAACAGTGTTCTCATGAGAATGAAGGTTCTGTCTTTGTCAGTGTTATGGAAATATGAATATGAGCGACGAAGATAGAACCTTCCTTCGTTCTAATGAGAACGCTGCTTCCCTGTTTCGAGAATAAAAACAAGTCTTGATGCTTATTTTCCTAGACTTACCAAAGAGAATATTTTACACAATAAATTCTAAGTATACATTTTTAAGTTTATCTACGTTTTAAGTACTCCTATCTTGATGAACAAATATAATTAAAAATGTTTATAATCAATGTAAAGATAAAAAATATAAATATTAATAATGATATTAGGCTTCATGCGATTTTTACTTTTGTAGTAAAAATAAATAACAAATTACTTGCTATATACCTATATTTACCTACTTATTTTAACTTTTTCTGTAAGGGTAATTACTATAGTACCTATATAAGATATTTTAAGCCTATTTCTGGGAATGCATTGGGTGCATTTCTATAGGGCATAGGGTTTATGGTCGATTTTGGAAAGAAAAAAAACATAGGTACAAGTAATTGTAATATCACAATAATTATTAAAACCAACAAATTATTATCACAATTTATGTTCACAACTTATTTTTTCAAAAGCAACATTGTCGATACCCTCTCTGGTTATCGACGTTTCAGGCCTCTCATCTTCAGAATAATTCCACTGTTGTATATCGGCCGTGCCAAAAATGGCAAAAAAAATACCGCATCCTATGTAAACTGCTGCTCCAATATAGAAAATGGTGTGCCATTCACTTAAACCGTTCTAAAAAAAAAAATAGAATAAATAAGTACCTATATGAAAAACACCATAGCGAAAAACTAACATGTTCTGCAGTAACAAACCCAACAATTATGGGACTTATAAAGCCTGTGGTACTACCAATACAATTTGCTATTCCATAAATACTACCAGCAAAGTTTGGTGCTAAATCTTGGGCATTCGAAAGATTGGTGATGGTACTCGCTCCGTTGGAAGCCAATGATAAAGTAATTAGAATTATAACCCAAGTTATTTCACATCCGACGAATGTTTGCGATATAAGGAGTAAACCTGGCACAATATGAGCTAAAAATACTAACTATATTGTATGTTTATACCACAAATTATTCTACTCACATAATAAAATAAACGATTTTCTCACAGCAGTCTTGGTCATCAATTCCCTCCTCACCATCAAATCTCCCACGATACCGAAAACGAATCCTGCAATCATTCTAGCTAAATATGGCAAAGCCGACAAAATTCCTGTATGTCCTAAATCGAATCCCAATACAGTCGACATAAATCTAGGGCCAGCAGTCATAAGAAAAAATAGACCCCATAGGTTACCAAATTGTGCCACGAATAGAGCCCACGCTGGTAATGAGCACACTATAGATTTGTATGGAGGTATTCTCTGGATAAAATAAGAGCAATTATTTTAAGTATAACAAAATTAGTTTCTCACTTTTGTTGTTGAAACTGTTCCAGACAAACTGTTAATAATATATTCTTTTTCTTTGTCACTTATCCAAGGATGTTCTTCGGGAGAATCCCGCACTAAAAATGTCCAGGATACGGTCCACAAAAGAACAATTATACCTGTTAGATAGAACGCCCAATCCCAGCTTATGTGTTCAATTATATTACCTAAAAATAGTTGATAAGTGATGTATTAAGATACTAGAAATTTTTTATATGTACATGCCTAAAAGAGGCCATGTAAGGACAGTTCCTAATGAACCTCCCAAAGTGGCGCTTATAAATTTGCCCTTTTCCTCTGGTGGGGCCCATTTGGAGATCATACAGTGAACTGCTGGATAAACTGTTCCCTACAAGCAAAAAAGATTTATATTATTAAGACCTTTTGACAACATCTGCTTCTCTTAACATTTAATGTATTATTTGCGAATGACTTACGGCAAACAATCCAATAAAAAACCTCGACCCTATCAACAAATACGGATGTAAAGAAGCACACAGGGGTCCAAGCAGCGTCAACACTGAACTAACTATGAAAGAAATTGCCAGACACTTTCTGGATCCGTATTTTTCAGCTATGGCCGCCGCTGGAATGTTGCTAATCACGAAACCCCAAAAGTAAGCTCCTAAGATGTAGCCTTGTAGTTTAGAATCCCAGTTGTAGGTGTTGGGCTAAAATAATAAACATATTATTATCTATAAGTGAATTTGAAAATAATATTGCTTTTTACATGTGACTAGAATGGATTTAAGCTGAAATATTTTGTCAGTTTGTTTTCTCCGGTTTTCCAGCAATTTAGTCTTTACATGAAATATTTGTAAGATGACGGAAGAACATTTCGCGGTTCTCCTTCTCTTTCAGAATCTTTTAGAAAAAAAGAGAGTCTGAAATAACTAAAATTTCCCTCACACTTTCGACAGTTTCTTTGCTTCGTTTTTCAAAGAAGAGAACCTCGTTAAATAATAAAGCAATAACCTACCTAGTGATACAATATTAATAATTGTATTCTTTCTAATTTGTAATCATGAACTGCTGTGAGTACTATACGTAATAAAAATGTTATTGTAAACTTCTAGGTCGTATAAATGGGCCATTGAAATTTGGAAAATACACATTGCGATTATTTAATTACCTATTCTATTATTGTCAAAACAACTTGATAACTAATTCATGACCATAACTAATGCCGTTTATAATAAAACATATTGAATTTTAGATGTTCGGGATTTTTAAAAATTTGGAAGAAAATAATAAGATACTCGATAGGTTACATACCTTAAAATTTTTGCCACTTATTTGCTTTTCGGCCAAACTAGAGTCATTATAGTAAGTTGTATCAAAGATTTTTGTTCCATTTATAACTTTACACTCGGGAATAGCAACTAAGGAATTACTGGTGCCCTCAGTATCCACCATAGCCAGAAGAATAATGGAAATATTGGTCCTGAGCATGTAAAGGAAAAGGGTACTTGAAAAAAGCATTACCCATATTAGGGCCCTTATTGGAATGACACCACCTGTAGCAATAAAAAAATTATTTAAAAAAAAATATATATATATATAATATATATATATATATTTCAACAATTTTTACTTACTTTTTCTAGTTTTAGTGATGTTGTTTAGATTCATTTCAGTTACTAACATAATAAGAAAGTAAATACAATAAAAATCACAGGAAATAGATTATCAGCTGCAACAAACGAACAAACAATAATAAATCTAATATAATTAGTTCTTTTTGATTCAGAGAAAAATTGCCCAGTTATTTTCCGTAATTGCGACCAATATCATGTGAAAAATACTAAACTAATTGTAGCCAACCGTCGTTTTCAAATAAATCTATTGTATAGTTATTGTGCTTTGGATGGTCTAACCGTATCACGATTTTGGTATAAACATTATAGTTTTAAGGCCATAGAAAATCGACCTGGTCGTGATGTCGTATAACCAGAAATCGTTTTATTTAATAATTAGTGGGTTTGTAGATATACAGAGGAGGCCGGTTTTTATGTATAGTCATCAAAATCGCGTTTAATTGCCTAGAAAGAATGGCTATCTATTTAAAATGAATAATTTTGTTTCAAATGTGATTTTTTTACTTTGTTTGTGGAAAGGTATTCTGAAATATATATCTAATCAATTATTATTTTTTCAACAATATTCTGTGACGCTACTGGCTGATTTTGAAAAACTTCATGCCCAAATCCAAATTCCGGACACAATTTTCTCTTAAAATAAATTTATTAGTAGGTATTTCACATTTCACAATAATATCAATTTGCACTAGTTTGTGAAAAGAAGTGTAGCCCTTTTATAACCAATGCTTAGCAATTAGGTACCAAAAACAAGCACATGACATCAGTTTATAAATAATGAATGTGACTGTAATTAATGCAACGGTGAAAATACATAAAGGTAAACAGGCTGACAGGAGCAATTTATATGAAATTTTGATAGCACCTAATAAGAATTTATTTATTCATAGCTTCTATGACTTCCTACATAATTTATCGAAATTATTAGTTTTCCGAAGTCATCAGTAGGTAGATGGTAGATACAAAACTATTGAGAGTTGTCTTCTATTAAGTCCATTTTACTTCAGTAGTAACAATTTAGGTAGGTACCTACCTAATAATGATTCAATCATCCTTAAAGTATGAAAAAACTCCATCAGCAAAAAAAAATTAGACATAGATAGGTACTTTAATTACTGTTTACGAGTATTTATGATTTCATTGCAAATGGTAATTAGAAACATGTGCATAGATATTTTCGTTCACCTAATTTAAATAGTACCTACCCATAAAAAATAACTAATTATTATTAGATTCACACCAATCACACCGTCGCAAATTTTACTACAAAATTCGATTAATGAACGGTATTAAATGTTATTGTGCAAAAATAATAAAATGAAATCCATTTATTATTCCATGACGTAAAAAAATTAATTGCCGGTAGTAATTAGTAGAATATGGTACGTATTACCAATTTGGTATTTTTGCCATACCATGATATCATTATAGAAAGCCACCTTATTGATATCAATAATGGTGGTAGGTAGTCGGTAATTAGAACCACAATAGGTAATAGTACTAAAAACGTTATAGTGGAACATTTATCAAATCCCTTTGAATTTGCATTTTATTTGTGAACTAATCTACGGACATTTATTGATATTGATGAATTTTGTTGGAATATATACTTCACAGTTATTTTTTTCTAGAATCACCAAAACTTTGCGACTTTTATACTGGACCGCTGAGTTGCAAATAAAGACATTTTGTAAGAGTAGCTCGTAGCTCGGACTATTCGAAATGACTAAGGAAACCATGAGCAATCTAAGTAAAGCCATGTAGAATATTTTCTAGAGAAAATTCGTAAGTTTTAAAAAAATTTCAAAGGGGTTCATGGCTCTAGAGCCTATAAAATTTTCTCTATGTCTTAAAACTAAGTAGGCTATGCTAAGTAGGTATGTAGGTACTTACCAGTCTGACCACATTAAAATGAAATCAAATTTTACATTAGAGAAAAATTGTTTGATGGTTTGCATCATTATAGAAATTATTACATATAATGTATATTTTAAGTTTTACAATAACAAAAAACTAATATTAGCAGATGGGTATGTAGGACTAATTTGTCGACTCTATATTCGCAATCCGTTTTGTAAGTAGTACCTACCTATTTACACAGTACATAGTATATTGCAATTTTAGAAAGAACTTGCAAGATTAATAAATAATAAGCAAATGTATAAGAATGTAGTTTTAATGTAAATCAAATCAGAAAATATTTATATGTAGATGTGTTTTTTTTAAAAAAAAAATCTACATTATTATTATACAGTGTCCCAGTCGAGAATGCCCCATTTCAAATACCTACTTACAACTACCCGATAATTTTTTTTCTGTTATAGATAGAAAGCTGAAATTTCCAGCAATTCTTATCCCAATGGAGCACTACAATCCCTGAAAATTTCTTCTCATTTGGACTTATAGTTCCAGAAATAAAATAGCGTTAAGCAATTGGGGGTAAATTTATCAATTTTTCAATCTTCTGAGTGCCTTTCTTCATAGATTTCGGCTTCAAATCTCAGAATAATTTAGTGTTTGGAGTTTGTGGGGTTCCAACTGATCATATAAACGCAAAATCTCAACATAAATTTTTTTGAAATTTCATCATTTTAGTAAGAAGGTACTTACCTACCTTATGATTTAGATTTTGGAAAACTTTGTAAGGTCATAACTTTTTTTCTATTAAGGTTTAAAGTCAGGCCTATAGTTTATTACAGCAACGCGAGATGTCAATGCTGTCGCCCCTATAGTGTGCCCTAACTTGACTGTCAAAAAAAATAGAAATCTTCATTTGGTTAAATGGTGTGTTAAACGTTTTTTCTTTTTTTGGCGAAAATTCGAAGTATTATTCTGTTTTACATAAACAGGGTTGTAGTTTCGACCAACGCAAATAATTTTGAACGTTCATCCGTCGTTTTTTTTTCTAAACAGTGTGTAGCTACGGACGTATTTCCAACTATTTTTGCAGTATTGAGAAAACTACAAGTTCAAAAAAGGACCCCGCACACTTCTTATGGGATTTTGGTTGAACGCGAAATTTAACCAAATTTTGGTATGTTGTATATTTCGACCTCCTGAGTAAACGTTCTCATGGGTACAAACCGATCCTATGACTAGTTTCGGATATACGGGGATTTCTCTAATACTACCTCAGGCAACCTGAAAATACTGAATTTTCATGCTTTTTGCATGTATTTGTGGTAGGTAGCTTTAAAAAATGTTGATTAAGTTTAGACCTTTTACAAAAAGGTGCATGTTTTTAGTTAGGTGCCTATATATGTGAATGTACAATGTACGAGGGTATTTTGAAAAGTACTTGTTTGGTGGGCATTTGTGTGTTTTTAAAATAAACACAAATAGAAGTATGACAAACTATATACTGTATTTTTTCTCAAAATAGATTTTGACTTGCCACTGTCAACTTTGAAACATAAACAATGTGTTGGAAACATGTTCCAACAATCATGCTATCTCTTTTTGATGGCAAAATATTTTTATACATATAAAGTTTGCAACACTGCAGCGTTGTCGTCATGTCTATTTTGTCATGTCTGTCAATATATTGCGCGCCATTTTTGTCATTGCAGCAGTGTAGCTTGGAGCTTGTCCACGTTAACAAGCATCCAGAAACCTTTTCACATTTTAATAAATTTTATAATCTAGCTCTGCCCTGTTGGGCATCTAAGCAAGCTCTGGCTTCTTGTCATCTTGTAGTAGTAATTGTAAATAGTGTAAATATTGTGTAAATTGTTGTAAATATAGTGTCAGTGAAAAGCGCGTGTGTTTTAGTTCCCTATCCAGTCGATCATCCAGTCCACCTAATTATACAGTCCACTAATTATCAAGTTATTTATCTTCCATTATGTGGTTTTGCACACAATGCCGCTTATTGGTCGCAAGATGCCATTTGCACCTCATGCATGTTAAAACTGATTACAACCTGCAGGGACACCTCATTTTCCTACCAATCGGGGCCAAGCGTTATTGTTTATGTTTCAAAATTTTCAATGTCAAAATCCACCTTGAGTTCTCAACAATAAGATTTTCATCCTCAAATCCTAACTCGTTTCGACGCTTTACAGCCAATCTACGGACTTATGCAGTGCGATTTACTCTTACTCCAATCCTTCATTACACACGTAGCACATTCAGTGACGCTTTAACCTTTCTCTGGCCCGTAGGTCAATTATTTGGTATGGCCTTTCATGGAGTGATTGTTCTGTTTTATGGGGTTAAATAAAATCATTTAGGGCCGATTTATCAATCAAGGGATAACTCGCAGAGTTTGCTGGCCCTGGGCTAACTGTAACTCTGGGCTAACTTAACTACCTACTCAATTCGAAAAATCCAAGCTTTTTCAACCCAGGGCTTGTAAACTCTCGGCTTCTTTGAAGGTTGGCATTACTTATGCAACGTTGCCAGCTCACTTTTGTCGATTTTTCGACATTTTCTGCTCATAACCTTACTTTTTTATGGTATTTTTTGTCTAAGTAACGAAAATTTCGCTATCGTGTACTTACCTATTCTGTGTGGAAATATGTTGTCTTGTTTTAAAGAGAAGAAAATGTCTGAGAGAAAAAACCAGAAGCATAGGTACTTACGTAGTGGTACCTGTCTGTTGTGAATTCGAGTCTATGCTCGATTTTTGATTTGTTCTAGAACAAGTAAGATTGTTTCTTTTCGTGAGCGAAAACTCGCCGACGTCATCAAAATTGTCAAAGAGATTAGGGATTTGACTTCAACCTCACGTGGTAGGGGCGTCGCTCATGTTTTAGAAATTCTAGAACATCTCGATTTCAAAATTTAAGCCAAAACCACAACATTCAAAAAAATGCATTGTTGACCTTTTCGATCTAGAAGCCTATCTCTCTGGCGTCAGACTGTCAGTCGCCAAAAAAGCATAAAAACAATAATTGAAAGCCATTGACAGTGGCACAGAACGACAGTGGTTTGTTGACAAGACTTTTATACGTGTAGAAACTGGAAACTATTATTTCCTCGGTTTTTTCAAGTTTTTTTCCTAACAATGATGATTGCGTGTAGTGTGCCTTTTCGTGAAAATAATTC